ATCACGTTAATTATCCTAATCTTTACTTGGAATCAAACTCAATCAAATGTTTATCTTCTTATTGTTACTCTTTACCTTACTTGAATTGTTATCCTACACTTGAATATTGTCAACCCTATTATCACACAAATGATAAAATCATCAACTTAAACAGTCATGAACCTAACGATAATGTTTTCAACTGGTTGATACAAAGGAGTTCCGATGAAATTACCTAACGATAACCTCCCATAAACTTTTTGAACATGGACTCAACCCTTTGCTTTGGCAGAGACTGCTCAAAATTAAGATGACGGAAATGCTACAATATTGAGTAACAAGCTCAAGTGTTGAAAATGAACAAAGATAAAATCAATTAGAAAAAAAACAAAGTACTCAATTAGATTCATAAATAGATAAATTATGATCAATATAAAAACAATTTTTTCATTAAGTTAATTAAGTCTGATCAGTGAAGATCGACTGATTCGTTTGGTTTGATCAATGAAGATCAAACCAAAGTCAAACTTTACCCTTTCATCATTTTTATTGTGATTAAATAAAACTAAATTTGTTTCTAAATTATGTAAAATTCAAATTATATTGTGAAAAAGTTAAACGGCCAGTGAAGGCCAATAATAAGTGTCAGTGGTTAATCAATTCAGTCAGTGAAGACTGATCGATTAACCAGGTGAATCAATTCAGTCAGTGAAGACTGGATTTCACCTGAGTCTCAAAATCTACAACCAGTGAAAGTTAAAAGGTTAAATTATACAAAAGTAAAACAATCATTAATTGTGCTAAATTCAAATCAATTCAACCCCTTTTTTAATATTCATGTAATAATTACATTACAACAGGTAAATGTTATTACATCCCAATGGATCAAAATTCAATCTTAACGTAGGCTTGATTCAAGAAATTAAGTTAATCTTTTTTTCAACAATTTAAACAAATTGCAACTTTGCTCTTAATCATTAAGAGCTCAATTATTAATCAATTTACAGTCAATTTTTCAATTTAATCATCGGTTTTCGCTTGAGTTGAGTTAATCAAATTAACAGAACTTTTGAATTTCTGATTCAATCGTCGTTTAAACAACAATTTAGTAAATCGAACTCGAAATTTTCCCTAATTAACAGTTCGAAAACTTTTTTTCCTTTTTTTTAGAAAATGGTAAATGATGAGAATTCTTTATACAAAGAAAACTCTCTTTTCTCCTGTTCTTACCTGTGGATAATTAAACTCACGATAAAAATTATCTATTGTCAACTAATCTAACTAATAATTACCATAGAAACCGGTGAATTTTGTGTTTCCATCACATAACAGTAAATTTATACGATCGATGTAATTGTAAAGGTAAAAAATTACAACTCGACTGTTACAGTTACTATTTCATGATGATATGATAATTATTCCCATAGAACCGGGTTAACCTATCCGAACATGATTAATAACAATTAAATCTAACTTGTAGTAGTTTATCCGGTAACAATTAAGATGAATTTTCGTTTCCATCCAAGTGATCATGAATATCTAAGGTTACCATTAGTGTTGAACTTTTCATACCCTTGATACAAGGTAAACATTTGGTTACCTTTAAGCTGATGGTTAACGAAAACTGATAAATTGTTAACCTAATTGTTACGATTTATCATAAAGAAGCTCTGGAATATAATCAGATTTTGTTCTTAAAATTTTCTTATTTTCTCCTTTTCTTTTTCAAAAGTTCTCAAGCATTTATCTAAATACTTACTGAGGAAAATTTTGTTTTCCTTTCCAAGTTCTGATTCGAGTTATTATAATTTCTCTTTTTCTATTTTCTCATTTTTTATAATTCAAATAATCTACTATTCTATTAATAGTAATTCAATTTACTTGATACAAAAGCTTTTAAATGATTGTTAAATTGTTGAACATTTTTCTCAACTTGAGTGGCTATTAAAACAATCGATGAATATAATTATTTTATCAACAGTAATTGTATCGTTTTGATTGATTCTAATCATTTGTAAGTCAATTTATTTAAGATCAATAATTGATCAATATTGATCAGTTGACATCAGCTGCGATTTCTTGTCTATTAAAGTTATGATAATTGATTAATTGTGCATCAATCTGATTTGATTTGAAGGCGAAAATGGTTAAAAATTAAGCCAATTGTCAATCAAATGATCAACTAAACTATTATCATGATCTTTATTGGTCCCAATTGAAATTAAGATGCTCTTTTCTTGTAAATGGCTCAGACCAAATTAAAACCGATTAACATTGATTATTATGTTGTTCATTTACATCTTATTGTAATACACACACAATTGTATTCAATTGTTTACCCACCGGTGGGATTTTCTTTCATTATTAACAATTCATTATAATATTCATTGTCATATCGGTGAATTAATTCACATAGAGATTGAAATGAACTCTATTTTCATATTCAAGATAAAAAAAAATGTCCACCGAGATTTGTTCAGTTGTTTCCATGGTGTATGAGTAAACCATATTTACCGTTATCTTATTGTTACCTGTGTATGCAAAAAGTGATGATGATGAGAAACAATAAACTTTGGTTATTTAGGATGATAATATTTTCTCTCTCTCTCTCTTGAAACCTTCAAACTCCTTCGTTCCAAGAGCTTCCTCTCAGTGTAACAATCAAAATTAATTGTCTAAGATTAATCATGGAAAGTTGCAAGAGAATCCATACTTTGAAAGTGTATCAAGGGGTTGATTTGAATTGTCATCAATTACCAGAAATTGTTAAACTCTCAGCTGATCTCTTGTGGTTTTCACCATCTAATTATGATGAATATTACTTGATTTATATTAAACATATGAATATTTATCATAATATAATGAAAATTATCATCTAAGTAACTTGATGGCGATAACGATATGATGATGAAGCCAAAAGAAAAATGGTTTGAATGTCATCAGAATATGTTACTATTAAAGTAATACAATCAAAGTGAAGATGATATAAACCTATGGATGGAAAGATTAGTTTTTTTCTTATCCTGGTATTCATATAAAAAACTAACATGGGAATCATGTTAATAATGAATATACGATAATAATAGTTACTTCTGATTAACATTATTACTCCCTTGATAAGCATTTAGCTTAGATATTTTATCATAAAGTGTTACTCAATTGCTTTTAGGCGATTGCCAATGAGCAATTGAAATATTCACTGAGAATCCTTAGCATCCTCATCATCGTTTTCATCATCTCCATCCTTTTCCTTGTCTAGACTTAACAAGTCATGATAATAAGATTGAGAAAAAAATGTTCAGTCTGAATATTTGATTTCATGAGATTTTCCAATTTTTATTTTATTTCATTTCAAATTTCACCAAATTTAGATTATAAGTTCATTTAGATAACAAATAATCACGAAATTTCAAATGATCAATTTGGAATCATGATAATTCAATGTGATTCAACATTTAATCAAAATCACATGCAATAATTATGATAAATTTAAAGTTTACCATTTTGAATAATTCATATTGTTAATTAACTTGAAATCAGCTGATTATCAAAGGTAAAAAGTCAGAAAAAGTTTGAATAAAAACTCATAATATATTAATTATCTCCATGAATATCAGATGATGATTGTGATGATTAACTAAATTGTATCGTAATGATGAATGAAAAAGTCACATCTTTATCATACTATCATCGTAATTAAATTGAGATTTTTTTTTCACTTCAATCTACTAAATAGAATCAAAATAGAGTAAAAAATCATTAAGTTTCAATTCATTGCAATTCAGGTTATCATGAAACACCATGAAATTGTGATGAGTTTTTCTTGATTATCTCAACAAAAATCAAGCACAAGAGAAAATGAAACTTTTAATGATACAATTAATGGAAAATGATTAACTCTCATTGAAGGAAAACTTTAATCTGATTAATTGAGACACTTCTAGTTGATTAAAAATGATCAAACAATCAATAAATTTACTAAAAGTTTCACTATTTTTTCATGTTGATTGTTTGATAAAAATTGATTGAACCAATTTTAATTACTACTGATTGTTACGTTGATAGGTTTCTATACTCTTATAACCTGATTTAATTGATTGTTTTGTTTTTCTGGTTAGATGATTAGTTGATGATGAACAAGAAAAAAAACCGTTATGTTAAATTTTCTGGTTCCATTGTAATCAATGTGAGTCTGTACCAGAATTTTTTTTCATCCTTCTTCCTGATTCTTACCTTAACAATCAAAAGGAGTCTTTTTTTATTGTAACCAATTTAGCTAATGATTTAGCCTAATTAACCGGTAAATGTTTGATGTAAGAATGTTTATCTTTGCATTGATAATGATGGAGGAAAACATGATGATGAGAGAGACGATAAAGGTAAATGAACGCAATCAACTGAATGAAAGATTGAATTAGACTCATGGTGATATTCAGGATGGAGGAAGGAAAAAGTTCTGGGTTAATGTGAACAAAAAAAGATCCATATTAAATTAACATTGAAATCAAAGGACAATTTATGAATAATATCAATTTCTTTGTGATTGTTGAAACTTTTTCTTTGTAAACTTCAAGTTTCGAGGTGAAATAAACACTTTGAATACGATTTTTACATTGGAAACTCGAACCTTTCACTTTTCATATCTTCCTCTTCATCATCATCTCCAAATTCAGTGATGATAATGATGATGATGATGAGAGGTTAGGAAGATGCTCTTCTTTATCCCTTTTTCCATCATCCTTGTTAATGTATACAAAAGGTTATATTATTATTTGAATAAGTTGATGACAGTTTTATTGGAATCTTAAATTACGATTTAATTGTGTCTTTGAATCTTGTTTTGCATCACGTTGACATTTTCATCACTTGAAACAATTAAATTAACTATTGATTATCTTCTTCATTTATGAGATTTACTTTCTCATAATAATTAATGAGACTTTGAGATTAACTGTCAACATTAATTGTATACATTTTGATACAATTTATTGAACTGTCAAAATATTATTAAAACAAACAATTTAAATTTTGATTCATTTTGTTTGTTGATCAGTTTATTGTAATTTTTTTTCTTGGTTTTAATGTTTACATGGGAAAAGTTTACAATCAATTCAATGAGTTATTGTTATTTTTTTTGTGTATTGTTTGCAAAAAAGTTATCAACTAATGTATCCCATTAATCATTAATATTAAACTTTGATTGTTTATATTTGTTGTTACCAATTTTCTGACAAAAATAATACCATTTTCATGATAAAGTTCAGTTGGATAGAGTCATGATCTTCCTAAGTAATAGTGATTAAGATAATGGTAACTACAACATATCACAATTTGATTAACAGTAATGATAAACTATCAAAGTCTAGTCACATATTAAATAAATTATTTCCAATCATATGAATATTAATCAAAATATCGTTTAACCCGATCAAAAATTACACCATTTTAGTAATTGTTTCATAAGAAATTATTGAATTTCTTTGATTCATCATGACGATTCAGTTGGATAATCTTTGATTGTTGGTCTCTTATATCAGCTATTAAAGTGGTTTACAGTTAATTAACGGGAGACGATTGCAATTTAATACCTGTAAGAAGATTAGAAAATAAAGATTATCATTAAATTGTGTGTGTCAATTTTGATTGTTCACGTTGATTGTAAAATGAAGAGAGAAAAAGCAAAAAAAAAGTTAATTCATCAACAATTGATGATTGTTATTAACGTTTTTTTGCAAAGTAAAAAAGTTAAATTAGTTTTAAATTGTGTTGGGTAATTTACTTTCTGACAGTTGGGTTAACTTTGGTAAACGAGATTAAATATTATTGCTGGATAAATATTCTGGTTCCATCATCAAGAGTTAATTAACCAAGAGAATAGATTCTCATCAACAAAATTGTATTACTATTTGGTTAAGTTTTAAACTTAATCAATTCTTTCACTTGAAAGACACATGAAAACATCCTGAGCATCCATGATGATGATAAACCAAATTATTTCTTGAAACCATAATTCCCAAAATTTGGGAAATAAAAACTCAATTTTCCAGCAAAACCTCATCATATTAAACGACATAATCAGTAAAGTAGATTAATCAGTTAATTGTGTTATAATAGTAAGTAGCATGATGATGATGATGTTGATGATGTTGATAAAATTGTAATGTCAGGACTTGTTTTAATCAATTGATACTTGACTTTATGTGAAACAGTGTGTTCCCTGTGGTTAGTCTTGAAATCAAATGAATATCACACTTGATGATAGTTCAAAATTTCATTATCTGGGTGTTGGTTGAATTTGGGTGAAAATTTAATTCACTTGGAACATCCTTCTTTCAATCATCAGCTTATGAAAGTGGAAATATTGATTTAGTTTAATCAAAATCATCTTAACATGATTAGGTTGATGAATTTTTACAATTTTCTCCATTATTTTAGGTTCCAATCAAGTTCCATGTTTACAATAACTTATCCATGGGTAAAATTTTCTGTATATGGGATCAGTTATCCGATTATTTGTTGTGGACTGATTAGTTTCTTTTCTGGTCAGTATCATCATCTTCTAAGTAGAGAAAGAATTAGAGATTAAATTGATAGAAATTAAGTATAGCATGAACAGGTAAGACAAATAAGAAAAGGAAAAGTTGAGTGTAATCACTGAGAAAAAAAATCCAAATGCATGGAAGGAGAATTGTTATTTCAACTGAACAAGTTCTTCACCAGAATTGGGTTGTTTCTTTTCCTTATTCTTCTTATATCTCTCTCATGGTCTCTCGTTTTATCATTATAATTGAGAGATAATATTATGGAGAAAAAAATTAATGTGAAAAGATAGGAAAACATGTTGACAAAGGAACGTTGAAACAATCCAAGTTATTGAAGATTTAGAGTTAAGGTTGAAAATTAGTTACATGAAATCGTTAGAAGGTGGAAAATTTCATGTTCCAAATTGAGGTGGAAGAGATGGAGAAGGAAAAAAACACAGGAAGGAAGTAAATGGAAAGAATCATAAACTGGATTATTGTTCTAACATGGATATTCCGTTTCCTTCCCATGATGATAGAAAATAAAACATTTTTATCAGGAAGATGGTTCCATATATATGTATCAGAGAGTTTCCAGATCAGTTTCCCTCAGGGGTAATAAATTCTAGAGATAAATAAATGAGAAAGGAAAAAGGGGAAAAATCAATTTGAATCATTGAAATGATTTTACAGACAAAAAAAAAGTATCAACAATATCGTATTTATCATGTTTACCTTGACACACTAAGGTGATTTTGATGGAGATAGAATTGGATTTTTGGAAATAAATTGAGATGTGGTTGGGAGGATAAACAGAGAGATGAAAAATTCAAGGTGAGAGAGTAAATCATTGTGAGATATACTTACTCTTTGTTACCTTCATTGTTGATGGTTAATTACAATGTGTAAGAATTGAAGTACAATATGTTTACAGTGTGTTTTTTTTACAACAATGAAAACAATCAACAAAAGAGTATCTTCATTGTCCTAATTTCTTTTACTATTCTCATGGGTGGAAGAGGCAAATTGGTGAGTCCCTTTCGACCATGTTTATCACGCTAATCATCTGAATCTGGAGCACATGATAAGTACTTTTAGTAGAAGATCAAATGTATCTTTTTCCTTTTCATGATGAGTTTCTTTTCCTCCAGGTTGATGATCTGTTGGTTTTTAGACTGAGAGTTGAAATTCCATCATAAAGAAACAACTTTTCCTTTTTTTAATGTGGTGTATCAATGTTACTATTACAATACATGGAGAATTACCCTGTAGCCAAAAAGAAAAAAGAATAAAAAAAGAGTAGGTAGAAAATCGTTAATGGTTGATAAACAAATGGATTATTACTTTTGTCACTCTGTTTCTATGTTCCTAGTGATAATAGAATAGGTATAGTAATGTTTGAGTAATTTAAGTTCTCAAGAGGAAACTAGAAAAATTCTGTTCAAATTCAAATGAAACAGAGATTGGAACCAGGAGAGAGAGAGAGAGAGAAAAAAAAGAGAAAAATCAACGAAATGGAAAATAACAGCAAGAGAAAAAGAATATAAAAAAAATATTCTCTTCCTTTGTCTAGCCATGAGTACGAAAGATATTAGAAGAAAATAAGAGTTTAAAATTTAGAAAACAGCAAGAAATTTATGCCTGTTATTCTTACCGTAATTCGTTTTATTCCAAATTGATTAACGGTGACAATTTAGAAGAAGAGAGAAAAGAAAATATATTAAATGAAGACAATTGGGTGATCAGGTAAAGACACAAAAAGATGGACACTATGACCAATTCAAATATTGAGGGGAGGACAAGAAGAAGATGTAAGATGATAATGATGATGATTATGATAATAATGGGTAAAGATGATTCCAGGGAATAAGATGAATGCTAGAAGTTATAGAAAAAAAGAGAAAAAGAAAAAGAAATCAGAGAAAAGAGAATAGAACAAAAAAAAAGATAAAAAGAATAAGAATCTTTTATAGAAAAAGATAAATAAATATCTAAACAGACCATTAACTTACCTTTTGACTTTGACCATAACCTTTTTCCATACTGTTTGGCTTTCGCTTGTTCTTGGTCGTTAATTTAATTGTAATCCATTTTTCTTTAATTTTATTACTCACATGAAACTAGATTTTCATCCTGAGATTCAGTTGTTACGTGTAAATTATATACACAAACCATGTACATGGGTGTTGGTTTAATCTCTGTGATATTAACACAATAAATTAAACTAAATTCACTGTAAATGTTGTGTGAATAGGGAAGAGATAATAATGGATACGATTTGATTAACCTTTGGGTCAGTTTGCTTGTTCACTCAAATAATTGTACTGTTGATCTGGTAGAGTAATGGTCAACTTTGATTACGATGATCAACTTGTCCGCTAATTTTTGGTTAATAAACAAGAGACAAACAAATGTTAATGTTAACCCAATGGAGGAAGAAAACAAAATGAAACAAAAAAATTGTCAATCTCTTGACAACGAAACTTCAGTTAATCGGTACGATTTATTTTCTTTCATTGATTAATTAAAGAAAATTCTTCATGGAAAAAAAAAGAGTTTCAAATTTAATTAGAAATTAAGTTTACTTGTTTAATTTTAGAGAGAAAAAAAAATTAATTTAATTAGTCAACATTTTCGTTTTTAATTTCCCTCCTTTTTTTTATTCTCTCTCATTTTCTTTGTTTATGTTTCTATTTTTTTCTAGAAAAATTTGTTGTTAGAATTTAATTGTTGTTTACTTTTTCTTAATTAGTTGGATTAATTTCTGATTCTTAATTTTTCTATTAATTGTTGAGTGATGATTTTCCTGTTGTCGAAAAGATTCCCATTCAACGTTTACTTTTTGTTCAAATGAATTTATTGAATGTCAATCTCAGACTTTTTGATGTTCCATATTTTGATGTTTCTCTTGTCAATCAAAAATATTATATTGAATCTTTTTTTTTTCTCATCAAAATTGTTCAACTTTTCATGGAGATGATAATTGAACTTAGCAACAACTTACCCTGTGACTTGAAAAACTCTGAAATTGTCTCCATTGTTGAACAATGATTGTCCCTGTTGATGATGATGATGATGATGGTTGATATATACCATCAATGACATGGAACCTTAATTTAGTTGTGATTGTTTCTTTTTCTCATCGTCTAGAACTGTTACCTTTTTATTTCCAATGGTCGGTGGTTGTGTGTTTTACTCTTTGTCTAGGCTATTGTTTTATTCTGTCAATCACTGGGTTTCCCTTTTCTTTCTCTCTCCATCTTCGTCTCATTTAATGTTCTTTTCTGTCGTCTCATCCTCCCACTTGTTCCCCTTTCCTTATATATATTCTTCTCTTTGTTTCAACTTTAACCCATTTATTTCTATTATTTTTTTTTCTTTTATATTCTTGTCTACATTTAGGTTTCAACTTCAGTGATCCTGGGATTCATTGGAAGGAAAAGGAAAAGGAGAGTCACAATCTTCTGAAAAGTTGAACTCATTTTTTTCTTCTTTACATTCTCTCTTTGTGTGTGTGTGTGTTTCCTGTTTTCTTTACTGTGTTAACCCGTTAAATTGTCATCTGTATATATGATCGTTGTTTGTGTATGTGTTTCTCATTTAATGTCAATTTTGATGAATTGGTGAAAGTAACACGGAAACAGAAGCAAAAAAGTGAAACCATCTCCTTCCTCTCTGGTTCAATTGAAGTAATGCATTTAAATGGAATCTGATGAGAAAGGTTGAAAGTTTAAGAATTTGGACCAAAAGGCCATTGTGTTGTCATTGGAACCAGTGGAAAAGGTCACCCTTGGTTACCAGTGAATCGATAAAATCAATTTTTTTCATCATCATCATTTTGCTCATCATTGACAACAACAACAACAACAACAACAATAATAATCATCATCATCTTGACAACACCTTATACATTTCATCAATATCATCATTATCATTATCAACAATCAACAATCAGCACATTTACTGTGATCACTGCACCAACAATAATTATCAACATCTCACAAAGAATACAATTAAATCAAGATCATTGCAGAGCGCTAAGTACTCTCGTTACCTCAATTTTAACATAAAATTGGGGTGATGATGATGTACGCTCAATCCTTTAATCGAACTGGTGACCTTGATAATAGGGTAATTCTCAATGTTGGTGGAATACGTTTTGAAACTTATCGAACAACTTTACGTAAAATACCAGCAACAAGATTATCCCGATTAACCGAATCACTGGCCAATTATGATCCAATATTAAATGAATATTTCTTTGATCGACATCCTGGTGTTTTTGCTCAGATATTAAATTATTATCGAACAGGAAAACTTCATTATCCAACTAATGTTTGTGGACCACTTTTCGAGGAGGAACTTGAATTCTGGGGATTGGATGCAAATCAGGTGAGAGAAAAATTTGAATAACCTTTTCAACCTCATAGACGATCATATCCTAGAAAATTAAGTATTATAATCATTAACCTTACTCTCTAATTATCACCCTGAACATTTTCACCTTTCAGTATATTATCTTTTCTTAAAAGAAAAGAATATTGTTTTTGATGAAGTAAATAAAGAACCCAGAGAGATTGTTGATTGAGCTTTTCATGGTGGTGAACGTGTAGTATTCATGGAAAAGTATGTTGAATATTATCATTTAAAAAGAGTGAATGAAGAGGAATATTATATTGCTCGAACGATGGAATGAGAAAAGGGAAAAGACAAAAGAAGTGAATGGAATTTTCTAAGATAAAATAAGAATAGTTGATGAGATGTGATAGAATGATGGGAATAGGAGAGAAAGAGGCAAATGATGAGGAAGAAAAATGTTCAAGTGAGAAAGAGATAAAAATAATAGTACGAGAGGCGATTCTTGATAACATTTCATCATGGAAGATGATTAACTATGTTAGTGTCTATGTAATTTACCTTTTTTTTTCATTATCTTTAATATTTTTTTCTCTCTTTGGTTCGATTTTCTTTCCTTAGGTTGAACCTTGTTGTTGGATGACTTATACTGCTCACAGGGACACTCAACAAACTCTCGCCATCTTGGATAATCTTGATCTTGATGCAGATAAATTAAGTGAAGAAGAACTTGCAAGAAAATTCGGTTGGGAAGATGACTACCATAAAGGTATTGGTCAACATCTTACATTTATAGTGATGATGATGATGATAGAGAAGATTAAAAGTCAAAATGGAGGAAACAGATGAAAGAAATAAAAGATAAATTCAATAATATACATGAAGTAATATGATGGAAATGACCTCAACAATTTGACCATTTACCATGAATCTTTTTCCAATGTTAACCAGCTAACCAATTTGTTATGATGAAGATGAAAGATCAACATTTTCTAAAGCATTTTCATCCCAATGTCAATCCACAACCTCCACCTTTAAACCTTGAGACTTTTCCGTTGAGTTTTCCTAATACACCAAAGCCCCTGAAGCTTAAAAGTCTTGGATAAGAATCAACAGAAAACATTGAAGTAACAAGAAAGGACGAAAGGAAAAAAAAATTGAGTAAAAAAAATCAATAAGGAAACATTCAGATTGACATTGAAGCTCATTTAAGTGTAAACAAATATTTGATCAAGTTGTTGAATCAAGAAAATGATTCTCTTTCCTTTTCCTCTTTCAGTTTCATTTTTCATTCTCAGTGTTCAACTGACCTAAATATCGAAAAGTTTTCCTTTCCCATTTCCACCTTAACTCCCTGTTTCCAAATCTACTTTCAGAACTTTTAACAAAGAAAAGGAAAAAAACAATATCCCCTGTTTACATTTAATCTTGAGGAACCAGATCATGAACTTGACATTTGCCTCCATGATGAAATTCAATTAATCCGATTGTTTCCTTTTTCAACTTTGGCCCCTTTTTATCAATACCACCACACACTCTCCATGTAACTTACTCAATCACATTTCCATGACCAAGACTATCACTCAGTAGATTAGAGTGTGAATAATTTTATTATTAACTCTAATTGCTATTGATTAGCCTTATGAACCATTTTTTTCCGTTAGTCTCGATTATTATATAACATTAATGATCATGATTATAAATATAATAATCTTTTGTTTCTCTGCTATGTAATAATATCACTCCCTGTATAGTTAATGTTTAATCAATTCCAGTTCCATGGGAAATCCTGTGTCTTCATCGATTTAATCATGATAATCAACAGAAATTTCATCATGTATATTATTAACTATCTCAATGTTTAATTTATCTTTAAATATTGTCTGGATTAATTCAATTTGTATCCAAATATTTCATTCATTTGTATGAGTATCAGAAATTTAATCAACTCTGTTTAATTGTATCAATTGAAAATTGATTGTTAAGTTCAGGTTAGAGACTCAAAACTAAATTAAGGCTAATTTAGCTCTAACTGTAGACTAATTGTTGATAATAATTATTAATTGATTTCATCCTCATCATCTATTATCTCAAGCAATTTAATAGTAACGATGATTATCTTTGTTTCAATTCAGTTAATTTATTAATTTTTTTTCCTCCGCCAAGTTTAATGATAACTATTCACTCATCATCTTAATCATCATTTTCAACTACAAACAATTTAATAGACAATTTAAAATACTTTATATTGGTGAATTAACTCATTATTAGGGTGATAATTTTTAATTGTAAACCATTTGAACTCATAATTACTTTGATTTACTTGGTTATCCTTTCCAACTCATATTATAAATGGTATCATTAATGTAACAATTTAATTATGATTATCAATCATCATCATTACCCTGACTCTTAGGTTAACATTATCACTTTCAAAAGTTCTTGATCATTGTTCATTAATTACTATTTATCAACTGAATATAATTATGAATACAATTAACAGTAGATTTTATTTGATGGCCATGATCACATTAATTGTAATCATTTGCCTGAAATCTCATATGACGTTAAACGAACTCATATCAATCATTATCATATAAATTGTTTAATCTTCTCATTGATTAACCAACTTTTCAAATACTAATCACTTTTATCATCTTATTATCTCAACAATTAAAGGTAATTTATCATGTTGGCAAAAACTTAAACCTAAATTGTGGCTTCTATTTGACGAGCCTTACTCATCTCATGCTGCAAAAGTAAGTCCATTAATCAACCCACTCTCACACTGACCCACCTCTGAACAGAGTGACCACTCACCTGATTGAAAACAATTAGAGACAATTAGTGAAACTGATCAGAATTGATAAGCTTAACTGAAATCAATCACTTTAGTATCAATAAAATGAGTAGTAACAATTTTGAGCTTGATTGTAATACAAAATCAATTGAGTTGAATTTGAATTTACCTTCAGTAATAACAATCAGTTATTTATGAATTTCAATATTAAATTGTTAAGGTTAATGTTGATCAATTGTTGATCACTTGAAATCTTAAAGTGATTTAAATAATTTACAACACGGATATACATGGTAATCATAATCGTAATGATCTAGATGATGAAATTGATTCTGAAATAGTTCTGGAATAGTTTGAGACAAACATACATATAAATCCACTGTAATCAGGTAATAGTACAAACAAAGTCCTTTATCATCATGAATTACAAGGGTATTCATGAAGATAGAAATTGTTTTTTTTTCTGTTGTGTTCAAGTTGAACATTTGAAAAGCAAATTCAGTTATAAACATTAACCAAATACTCAAACAGAAAAATTATTATCATGATACTTTCAGGATACACCAATGAACAAGATAAACAATTGTTTACATAATTCAAATGCATACCCTCCTTGTAGGGTATTAATATACATACAATTTGAGTAAATAGAGAGAGAGATATAATAACTAATAGGATTTTTGTTGTGTCTCTGAATCTTTTTTTTCTTGCAGTTATCATGATGAGATTCTGAATAAAATGAATTCTTAATTGCTGTTAAAACTTTTCTATTGATTCATTCAACATTTTCTATAGTTTATTTAAAGTAACTAAGTTATATTATATACGATTGGTGGTCAGTTTTGAAATTCTTAGTTAACCTTGAAAAGTAGATAAGGTCAACATGATATTAGATTTTTATTGAATATTTCATTCCAGTAGTACAGTTTGTCCATCTCGATTGACCATTGGTTGAAAGATATTGATGATTATGTATCATCATGGGAATTTATATGAAATATAAGTCAGAATTTTGTTTTTTTTTTCATGATTTATTCAGATGACCAACATGATATGATGATGATTATCATCTTGAATTATGAAATTTGAATGAAAATGTGCATAACATGAATTCTGAATTAGTATCGGTATCAAGTTAACACTTAGAACTGATTCAATGAAGGTGATGATTTCAAATATGGTGAAAAGTTATCATGATGATGATCAAATGAATCAGAATTATCGGTGACAGTTTCTCATTCCCATGAATAATATATTTCCATACATGTGATATATTCCTATGAAAATTTCTCTCCCTTTTCTCAAAAGTTCATCTTTCTCTTTTCATGTAAACTTTTCAAACAGAATTCACAATTCATCCGAGTGAGTTTATAAGTGTCTCCATGATACTTTTCATGATAATCATATTCAGTAGTTGATATAATATCTATATAAAGCCTATTGACTTGATTGTGAGAATCAGTCAACTGTTTTGATCCATCAGATTAGTGTGACAATCCAAGATTATCAGTTAATTCTTGTTTTCCTTTCTTTAGTTGAGTAAAAATATATCACCAGAATCATCATGTAATAGTCTCAGTTTTACTCGGTAAATTTATCCTCGACTTTCATTCGTATTCATGAACAACCTTCATCACCCTGACAGTGAATTCCAAGTGTTTTTTTCCTCTCTTTCTCCATCCGTGTTGAGAACAAAATTTTGCATGATAATGATAATTCTCAGTCTAAGTATGACTATCAATGAATAAATAGAAGAAGGAGAAAAAAAATTCTGTTACTCATTGTTCATGATACAATTGACAGCTCATGGGAATTGATAGATAGACAGTTGAACACTTTCATGATACATCATCACCCACCTTTTAAATTAAACCTCAGGAAAAAAGGTCAAGATCTTGATAAATCTTCAGATTCACTTTGTCAATTCTTGTATGAAGATTAAGCTCAATGAAAAGAAATCATGTTGAAAATTTGAACCAGAATTTTCTCCTTCATTTCATCTATCATGGTCTGGTCAAAATTCTGAATTTCCCTGAGTATTATCCCCATTTTCAGATTTTGATATTTTACTTTACAGAATCTCCATAGTAATCATATTTTACTCAGTTATTTGATATCATTTCATGATATTTTCATGATTGACAGAATCCAAGCTAATCTCAATCTATTTCTACCTTTTCATCCTTATGGCCATCGGTCATCTTAATCTTAATATCACTCAACTCTCTCTCTTTTTGATTTAGTTTCTAAATTGTAGCGATTTAAATAATGCAAATAGTATTATCGATATTCAATTCCTATGTGAATTCAGTAATACTTTAATTGATTACAATAAGAGTAATAATCTTAATTGTTGAACCTTAGCTTCATTAACCATGTAATTGAAAAACTGACTAATTAATCAGTGTAATTGTTGAATATTATCTACAGTGAACACGCACAGATTAATTAATCAATCAAAATTTAACCTAACAACTAAATTAATTGATTAACTTTTCATTTCCTTAGTTTACATATCCTCATGTCTATTCAATTAACATTTGTAATCTAATTATTTCTTATTTTCATATTTTCATCCAACTTCTCACATTACCTGAATAATTGAAATTCATTCACCATTGTAATCAACTTATAACAAACTTGTAATTTGGTTGATCATCATCATCATCATCAAAATAACCGCTTGGCAATCAATCAATCAATCAAATCAACGGTGCATTCATCTTGATACCAAAACATTGTTTCAATTGATTTAACCTGATTATCAACAATTAAAAGGTTACTGCTGTGATATCCGTTTTCTTCATTTGTGTTTCAATATTAACTTGATCTTAAATCTTGGTTGTAAAGTTAATCCGATCATTTTCAATTTTCTTCATAACGATTTGATTGATTTCGATATTTTTTTTCCTTTGATTGATTTTCTCAGGTCGCACCCTGTAAATGGCATTTTATTTGTGATATGATAAACATAATCGACGCGGTGGCGACATTGTCCTTCTATTCGGACATGTTACTCCAAAGATTAGCCCATGGAATTGAGAATGCTGATATTCTTGATTTTTTCAGCATCATTCGTATATTGCGATTGTTTAAATTAACTCGACACTCTCGTGGCCTAAAGATTCTTGTACATACGTTTAAAGCGAGTGCTAAGGAATTATTTTTACTTGTATTCTTCCTGGTATTGGGTATTGTTATCTTTGCCTCGCTTGTTTATTACGCTGAGAGATTACAAACAAATCCTCATAATGATTTTAAAAGTATACCGGAAGGCCTTTGGTGGGCCATTGTAACAATGACCACCGTTGGTTATGGTGACATGGTGCCCAGAACTTATGCTGGTATGATGATTGGTGCTCTTTGTGCAGTTGCCGGTGTACTTACAATTGCTCTTCCGGTTCCTGTTATTGTCTCCAATTTTACCATGTTCTATTCACATACTCAGGCAAGGGAAAAGTTGCCCCGACAACGGAGGCGAGTTTGTGCCTCACCATTGGACGGAAATGGTTCAGGTACTCCGGTCAATTCTGGGCCACAAGGAGGTGGATTCGGTCATCCTGCTGGAAGTATGGTTGGGTCAACCACGAGGCGTTTAAATGCTATCAAATATCATGGAATTGATACTTTGGAAATAAATTTAGGTAAAAAAAATTCGATATTTTTGTTTCGAGATTAACTTGATTTGAAAACTATTATTTTCTTGTCATTTCAAATGAGAATAAATCTCCCCCTTTTCTTCAAGATGATTCTTAATATCAAATATCAGATGAATTCTGAATTTTCATGGTGAATTTATCTTTTGTATTGATTTAAAATCTTCTATTCTTTACCTTTATATTTATCGTCAGTTCAATTGTTTACCTGATTGAACAAAAGAAAACAACAAGATACATAATTATAATAGAAAAGCGGATGAATTGATTTCTCAATCATAATCTAAACAATCAAGAATCTCAATCAAGCGAAAGTTTAAATCAATCATCATTTTAATCGTGAATATTGATTGTTAAATCATCAATGGTTCAATGAAGTTGATCATTTGTTTTGTAATTCAAGAAATTGAAATTTCCTTTAACCATGAAACAAATTCACCCAAGATAATCAACTAATTGTATAGAATCAAAATCAAAGTAAACAATTGAATTGAAGAGTAGAAATTTTTTCTCTCATATATTAACAAGTTGATCGTAATTTCAATCAATTAATTAAATGATAATCTATTGAAAACCTTCAGTTAATTAATCAACAGCCATTTAAAAATTGGTGTAGAAATGTTTCCAAATATTATCATGGTCATTGATTTAATCCAATTGATTCATTATGATGATCACAGTCTCTAGTATGTCAATTAAATAAATTAATGACCAGAGGTCAGTATTAGTAGTTAAGTGGACATACTTAACTTATGAATGAAAAGACAGGGACAAAAACCTTATCCTTATAAAAGGATAAATAACAAAAAGGTCAGAAAGTTGTAATAACAATTATCGAGTAAATAAACATTGTTACGATTCATTAAATGACTCATATTGAATTTGTATTATCATCATGATGAAGATGATGGGTGTGGGTGAATCTACATCTCATTTAACATGATATATTTCACCAAACAAAAGATGAACAATATTGATGAAAACAATGAACAGTAACATGAACATAACGATAATGATAAAACTTGAAGCTTATAAATAGATATTGAATAATTTTCATACAAATTGTTCATTCCGAGTATGAATTATGTGATCAGTGAATTTCATGGCAAACAAATGTTCAAGTTTCATCATCAATATTACTATTGAAATTATCATTCGCAATTGTATCATATTCATGATGATAAATATGAATAGGAAAATACTATATAAACAAATGAATGAATTTCCAATATTACAATTTGGTTTTTCATTTCTCTCCAGTTATTCAAATGAACAATTATATTGATTTACTTTTTTTTCGATTGAATTTAATTTTTAATTGTGTTAAATTGATTAATTTTCTGTTGTAATTAATATATTCTCTATATTCTCTTATTGATTACAGGTAATAAGAAAACTGTACAGAAAACCGGAACTTTGAAAAATTCCGTCCCAAGTGCTGATCTATTGGTAACTGCATCGGTGTCGAAAAGTGGTTCAGCAAATAATATACGAACAACTTTAATACCAAAGGTGCCTGATAATAATAACGATAATAATAATAATGGTTCTAATAGTAATAATAATAATAATAATAAGGATAAATTGTCCAAGTTAACGGTTTCTAATCATAATAATAATGGTTCATCATCGGGATTGATTAATAATAAGAAATTGGATAATCATTTGGAAGCGAAAGCAAGTACGGGTAAAAGGGACTCACTTCCATCCAGTGTTGTTGTTGTGGGTGTTGTTGAAATTGGGACTGGTCAAGAGGTAGAAGGTCAGAATGATGCTGATGGATTGAAGGTTGATCGGGTTCAATGAAAGCATAACAGTGATCACCAAATCTACTATTGTGATCATCAATGGTCAACGAATCAATTGGATTGGAGGTTGAACATGTTGGTACAATGTTACAATTTTCCGAGATAAATTGTGGTGAACTAATTGTTAAATATAAATAAGACAATTTGTATAATATAAAAAAAAATCAAATGATTAAGGGATTGAAAAATTAATTGTTTGTATCACAACATTGAAAAAAAAATATCTAAAACACTGATTGAATTGAATAAAGAAAAAGACTTACCTTGAATCATTTGGAAGTCCATTTTCATTCTGGTCAGTATTGGCTCTTCTAATGGTCATTCGTTGTAAATATTTACGCTTTCTTTCAGCTTTACGTTGACGAGCTTCCAATGGACTGTAATAATAACCTTGGATGATTAAATTGAAAAGAAAATTGATTAAAAATTTAAGAGTAATCAGAGTATTAGGAATATGATGCAATAGAGAATTGAGTAAACATAAGAAGTTAATTAGATCCAAATGTAAACACAAAAGGATTTAATGAGTTAGTGTGAGTTTGGTCAATCGGTGACCGAATGGATTAACCAGGATAATAGAGGATTAGTTTAAATTGTGAATGAAATAATTACCTGGATATTTTTTCATGTGATCTGCATGAGCTTCGTTGGCTAATTGGTGATAAACTTCTTTATCATCTGCGCCCATTTTTCGCCAATTATCACCCAATATTTTACTTATCTGTTTGTTGGTTAAATTTGGATTATCTTGAGCGATTTGCCTTCGATTTTTTTTACCATATAACATGAAAGCATTTGGAGGTCGGGGAATCCGTCGTTCTTCAAGTTCCTTCATGGTTAAGTAACAAGATCAAGAGAACCAAAAGAAAACACTGAGAATAAGATGACAGAAAAAAAATTCTAAATTAATCAACTAAGCGAAATGATGAAACACAAGAGAAAATGGAAATTTGAATGATGAAAACACTTAGTGTTTGTATTGTCACGAAAGATTAAAGTTAATTAAGCAAAAACAAATGATGAAATCGGCAGAAAACCAAAGGTACCACCAGTTGAATGTAAAGTGTAAGTATCAACCCTTTTTTGTTGACAAGTTAATTAACTGATTATAATTAAAACCATCCCACCAACGGACAAATATGTTTGTTAAACCATCTTCATATTGTTGCGGATTCGGTAAATAGCAAGACAAGTTAACATTTTAATTAAAATCCCTGAAGATTTGTTTTAATTTAACTCGATCAGTTTTTTGTTTCTTCTTCAAATTCAACTTGATCATTCGTGAATTTTAGTACACATAGTGAAATAAGGGAATGATAATCCACTTGATTCGAATTTGGCTCAAGTACCGTCGAGTCACCAAGTACAAGCGACTCTATGAAAGGGCCAAAAGACGCAATGCCTTTGGTGGTGGCAAGAATTCGCGATTTTATAGATATGGTCGTTTTCTATCTAAACTGTTCGATATTCCCCTTTTCCGTTGCGAATGTATTAGAAGATTATGCAAATTTGCAAAACCGTGGTCACTCATCGGGAATCAGTTCGATTGTTATTTTTCATCATTGGTTTACTTTTCTCTTGGTTTTTGTTTATCATCTCTTACAATTTTGATTCAAGCTCGAAAATTGTTCTCATCCTGAAGAGTATTAGTCTCGTCGGTATTACCAGTTTAAGTATGGCCTTTTCTCTTTACTTGCGAACTATAGTTTGTTTATTGTTACCCATCGTGTTGACATCGAAAGGTCGTTATGTCATCTTTTTCCTCATAATAAACATCTTAATAAACGGTCCCGTGTTGAATACGAGGGAAAATTTATCCAAAAATTGGAAAGCCATTAAATGTATTGCCAAAAGTTTAGCTCGTCAAGCGGTCAGGTTGATTAAAGAGAATCCGGTTATTAAATTTTTGATAAGCGTTGCTAAGCGAATGAATCAACTATTCAGAGAGGTTGAAAAATCGATAAAAAGAACTATCAAATGGATTAAGGATCTCATTGATTCGATAAATGAGATTTTTTACATTATGGCTACAGTAATGAGGATAATTGGTGAAACTCTGATGTTTTTATTTAAATGGATGGACTGGAAATGTCATGACGCGGTTGATGGAATTGTCGCAACTTGCGTTTTTTATCTCAGTTGGTTCGGCCATCTTTGTCATGTAAGTCCTTTGTAAACAATTAATCCATTTAATCGTCAATTGATCAACTGAATATCAACAGGTATTAAGACCGGTTTGCTGGCTACATACTTTTGTCGTAGTAGTGCTGGAACCGACGCGGCAATTTTTCGGCCAGATTTACCATGAAATTTTTGAATATGCGATAAAGAAACTCAGTCAATATTTGACAAACGCTTGGGAAATTTTGCAAGAGAAACTTGAAAGCATGTTTTCCCCCGGAATTAAGCTAAAGGATGATTTACATGATACTAGCGAAGAATCTGGTAATGTGACTGCTGGTTTTCGTGACATCGCTTCCACACTGGATGATAGATTATCAATCTTCATGAAATTTCTTATCGTATTTACTCCGTTGAATTATTTACTTGTATTTTTGTGTATACTTCGAGCTTGGTCGTATTTGAAACGTTTCCAGCTTTGGGATTCGTTTGATAATGTTTATATCACTTCGGATATTCAGAAAATTGATTGGCAACGAGCGATATCTGGTAAACAAACTATCCTTCCATTGAGCTTCAAAATGGGTAAACATTATATTTCGCCTTGGTCTCTCACCATGACATCGGATGAATTGAGAAAATTACAGAATAGTTTGATCATTTACACAGTCTTTTGTGGAATTATCGTTTTCTTTTTGTTGTTAGAATATCTTATCTTTATACCAATAGATCAAATGAGAAAATTTTCCATTCATTCTGGAACTGACTTCGCCATACCAGGTATTAAGATTTATCCTAAGCCAGGTGAGGAAATTAATTTATTTTCGTAGTAGATCAAAATTGTTTAATCACCTTTACGCATTTTTATCTTAGAATCAACGCCAGTCGCTTCCATGGTGAAGTCCATTCCCATAGTGGATGACGAACCGTTTGAAAATTTCACATTAGCTGCTTGTACTCCGGATCCAATTGTTCCTGATTCTACTGCCTATGAGAAGATTTCATATCTCTTGTTTTTAGCATTTTTAGCTATAACTTGTGAAGCTTATGCTTTACGATTTCGCTTTATGATCGCTGGTTTCATGTATCCAGCAAGAAAATTTGCTCGAGCTGCTTGGCTGTACAACAGAATATTGTCATCTATGCCCGCTGCCAAAGTTGAAAATCGCAGTAAGATACGATCCAAGGTAAGAGGCAATTCAGAGATTGGCAAAACGTCCAGAATCAAGCGTTGGATGTACGCGAATCCATGTACAGCTAAAATTTACGATAAATTGGTGGGTAAAGGTAAAATTTGTATCAGCTGCGGTGTTTCAGGTGAAGCGGACGATACTGAACACTTTACCAGGTGTATTAATCGACATTGTGTAGCTTTTTACTGTTTAAAATGTTTTGATGAAGTGGATAGAGTCTGTCCAGTTTGTGAAACAGTAGCACCAAGTCCAGAAGAATATGCAATTGATACTGAGATTGGATCAGACGATGATGATTTAGATATTGATGATTTTAGATACTATTATGTTGACGATTGGAATCCAGAATCGAATGAGGATACATCAAGAGAACCAAAAATTGATTATAAAAACCTTGAAAGCTTAAAGAAAGGTCGTCCAAAAGATTATTCAAAATATCTGAGAAAAAGGCAAGTGGAAGATGGTCCAGTTGATTCTGATGCTTCAACGAAATCTGAAAAAGAGAAAAAGACTAAAAATAGTAAACAAACTAACCAAAAGCCCAAATAAACCACAAAATAAACCAAATGCTTTACGAATACTATTGAACTAATTAAAGAGAAAAAATAAAGAAATTGACAAATTAATCAGTCAAAATGTTGCGAAAATAAAAAGTAAACAAAAAATGTTCCCAACTGACAGCAGAAAACGCGGTAAACTTTTCGGTAGAATTTTTCTCATTCAAATGAGCCGCAGGTCGAATTTGATTGGCCGATTAAATTTGTTCTTTTCCACCCATTGGCTGGTTCAATGTTCTCTCAGTGGCGACATCTGCTGAAGACTTTCGACTGGTGTGTGACAAAAGCTCTTCAACTGAGTAACTATCAATCAATTTCTCCACCAAAATATTATCATTTCTTTGTCTTTAATCACAATTAAATTGTTTTCTAATTTTAATTAGTTGTGACTTTTCCTAATTGTTCTTCTGTTGATCACTTTTACTAATTAAAATGGAGCTTGATAAGGAAGAGGTTTTAAACGAATTGATGAGTAAGTAGATTTCTTTTTGTTACTGTCTTGCTTTTTTACTCTCCTCTTTCTTGTTCTCTTTCTTTTTCCTCCCTTTTCTCTCTATTGAAAGAAAGAAACCTTGCCTTTTTACTTAATTAGATTTTCTGGTTAATTTTGTTTAATTGTTTTATTATTATCTTGGTGTTTCCATTTATTTTCTTCACTTTTTTTCTCTTTCATCCTTAATATCCAATAAGGTTACCTTGTTTAGATGAGGGTTTCGGCTGTTCATGTTTGTCTTTATCTCATATTGTTTCTGTTAAGTGTTGCACTGTTGTCAAAATTTGATCGGTTACATGATCAGTGATCCTGTTTTTTACATTTCCCTCTGTTTATTTGTATTTTGTTTAATTAAATTTCATTTTTGTTTCCTCTCATTTAGATTTTGAAAAAAACTATGGACGTGACTGCGAAAGTGGTTTACCTGATTGTCTGGAAAGATTCCTGATCAATATTGCTAAATCCGGTGACACAATGTAAGCATGAGTTTAAGTGGATTAATCTAGATCTTGTCGTATTTACTTTAATCTTTTCTTCTTCTTCCCTCTTTTTTTCTCTCATTATCTTATTTTGATTCTGTTTATAGTTATCCTTGGAATAAGATTAAACCTGTGATTTTGAAGAAAATTGAGCTCGTGGTCAATGAGTTTAATACCAAATATCCTTATGAAAACAACCCGGTTCTACCTAATGTTAAATCATTCAATTTTCAAGAGATGAAAGATGAAATAATTGAGAAATTTGATTACTTTTATGGAGCACCATTTACCATTCAAAGGATTTGTGAGCTTCTTACCGATCCATCTAAATATTATAAAAGATCCGACAAATTTATGAGAGGTCTAGAGAAAAATGTTCGTGTTATATCAACAGTTGAAGCAAGAAGAGCAGATATTGAAAATGAGCCCAAATGCTTTCAAAGAGATTTTTATCGCAGTTCTTCACCTTTACCTTCTTCATCTTCCTCCAATATTCTCTCATCTTCACCTTCATCGTCATCTTCATCAACCTCATCTTCGCCATTGTCTTCTGCTTTCATGAATGGATTAAACGACAAAAACGAACCTACATCACCCGGGTTGTCTATTTCCAGTCGATTATCACAATCCTGTTCTCCTCTTCAAGATCAAGGACCATTGCCCAATTCTCCCGCTCCCTTACAACAGCTCGATAGTTTTACCACTGTTTTCGCTTCACCTCCATCCACCCCACTTGCTGTTGTATCCGATATTCATCCTTATGATGGAGGTTCACCATCATCGTCTAGTTCATCTTCATCTGAATCCTCACCTCAACCTTCATCATCATCTTCACCTCCCCCAAGTTTAGCTCATGATGAAAATGAGCTCAATCAATCAGTCGATACCGATTTTGAAGATAACAAAGATAAAGACGATGACTCTAACGGAAGCAAATCCGAAGATTCGAACGAGCCTACAAAACTTGCCGAAGATAAAACCAATGTAGTGGAACAAGGTGAACCAATGGATCAAACTGATGGAGCTCAGGAGAAATCAGAAAAAGATTCAATCAAATTAGATACCCCGAGCTACAAGTTTACACCATTTAAACCATTTAGCAGTATGGATTCCCCTAATGATGTTACACCTAAATCACCCAGATTTCAACCATTTAGCAGTATGGATTCCCCTATTGATGCTACCACTAACGAAGGGAAGGAGAAATCAGAAAAAGATTCAATCAAATTAGATACCCGCGCTACATTTTTACACCATTTAAACCATTTAGCAGTATGGATTCCCCTAATGATGTTACCACTAACGAAGGGAAGGAGGCAATCGTCGAGCAATGTTCCGTGAAGGAATCTAACAGCAAAGAAGAAAATACTTCAGAAATTACTGAATCTACTTCAAGCCTTAGTGAAAGTTCATCGGAAAAGAATCAAGAAGATATTAAAGAATCGCCTTCAATCATAGATGATCAAACCTTAGATGAATCAATTGAATCTAAAGCATCTCAACAGATTGTCGAACCTGTTGAGACCTGCCAAAGTTCTGTTGTTGCATCAACAGACTCATCTCAATCATCTGGTCAAAAAGAGGAAACTGATGGAGGAGATGATATCAAATGTGGTGGAGACTCTTTAAAAGAAAACAATGATTCAATTAAGATAGAATCAATTAATAGCTTAAATACTTCAGTTGAAGAAAATTTGACTCAAGATAAAGAAGACCAAGAATCTAATCAAGAACAACCAACAAGTTCAGGATCATCAACAGTTTCTGAAGAGGAAACAGCCGACAACAGTGTAACCACAAGCAATCAACAATCCAACATTGACGAAAAGCCTGAATCTCATTAATTAGCCCATTTATTAATCCATTTGAAAGAAACAAAATCTATATATACATTGACAAGAAAAACAATACACAATTTAGAAACAGATATACATTCACTCTTATTAGATTGATTTTCCATCGCAAAAACTAAATAAACATCGTGATAACTTGTGGAACCAAAAAAGTACAGTTTATTTACGCGATCAAAACCGAAACAGCATAAAAGTGCTACTATAACTGGGAAAATTTTGTATTTTATTTAACAAGCATAATTTTTAATTTCTATTCTAATTATCTAGTTAGATAAACCAAGAAATCGATGACAATCAGCAATTGAGACACAATCTCCAGCACAGCAAATGTAACCATCCCCACAGGGAGTTCCCTCAGGAAGGGCCAGTGTTGTCCATTGGAACCACTTTAGTCTACAAACTATTGATCGACAAGATTCGTGCGCCACAAACTGAGCATTAATACTTTTCCCTATTCTACAAATATCTTGGTTCGTGAAAACTTGACCTGGTAATTCAGTGGGCATATCGAATTGTGTTAATTGTTCACCTTTTCTATTAGTTCGAGTGACACAATCTCGTGTGTTACTATTTTCACCGAAACGAAAAGAAAACAATTTTTTCAATTATCCGATTCGATCAGAGTGTTAGTCTATCATTTAATACTTTACCTGCTCGTGAGTCTTTCGCGAAACATTGTCAATGTACATGGTGACCAGTAGGTTTTTTCATTACTCACTACAGAGGACATTATTGATTGAGCATCGTCACAATCTTAAATTTAGAGCAATTAAGTAAAAATTGATAACAATCAAAGAAATAAAGTCAAATCATTTGGAGTAAATCTTAATTGGAAAGAATCACAAAATGATCTGAATAAAAACTAAACTCACCATTACTAATAGCGTCATGCAAGGCTCCAAAACTTTGATGATTTAGAAATAATCAAAAAAGAATAGATTAAATTAATTGTTCTCAACTAAATGATTGACACTTTACCTGTGGCCCACTTCATGAATCAAAACCCACCAATCATCAAAACTGGTCATTTCTATGAGCGCAGCTCCAGTACACACAATATTCACAATGGCAACACCTAAAATCATAATTAATTAATCAGAATCAAATTAGATTATTGTTCATATCTCATTTTCATCTAATTTACCTAAAACATCAGTTCGACGGCGATCAGTATCTGACTTTGATTTTGTGGCGAAATTGAGTCTTTACAAAAAAAATTAAGAATTAACTTAAATTAACGACGAGCAATCAACTAATTACCCAGTTAAAAATAATGAATAACTCCAATCGTAGATTGATAAATTTCGGGATCTGGTTGAATAACTCCTAACCCTTGCGAGGGCCATATTTGCGTTTAATTGTCCACCAAGTGATTCCCAAAAACTTAGCATTACTTCATAATAAACTACCCGGAAATTAAGTTTTGCAAACAAATCAGATTTAATTGCTGGCTCGTTGAATCGTAGGTCAATCGTTCTAAGGGCATATCGTAAAAATTTGATCTCGTCAATTCCCGTTGAATTTAATCGGTCAATAAAAGTTTGGTCAACAAAAACAGCTAAATCTAAAGTCGCTTCACTTAATTGTGATAAAGGAGAATCGCTTGTTGATTCGATTTGGGCACAATTAGTGATTGATGACAAGATAAAAATTAGTATCAATTTCATTTGATGAAAGAAACGGTTAACATGACAATTAGATAATGATGAAAATTTTTTTTAGGATAATTTAAAAATGACAGTCAAGTGGTTGTTTTGGTTTTATGATTAATGTTTAAATTGTTGTACAGTAAAGTATTAATTGTTTACTTAATTACGATTGAAAAGAGAGAGAGAGAGATTGGTCAATGATTTAGGATATTTACAAAAGAATCAAAGATTTTTTGATTGGAAATTGCCACTAATTGTAATCAAAGTAATCCTTGTCTCTTTAAATCTTCGTAAGTCTTTTTGGTGACAACTCTTCCTTCAGAGTCTTCATATTCCTCCTCTGTTGATGTTTGAAATTTTTCCTTTTGTTTTTCATCTTTCAATTTGTGCCACAATTTAAGCGCATCTTCAATTTGAGTTACGTTGGCAAAATGCGCCGTGTTGGGTATTCCAAGACATCTCATCCCGTGGGCATGTCGCCATTCAGCGAAATGTAATTGAAATGCTTTTGGTCCTTTGTAAGTCGCATTACCACAAATCTCACAGGTAAATGTTATATTTAGTCCATGTAACTTGTAGAGCCAATAAGGTATTGGTTTACCATCCCAACCAAGAGGAACATTTTTTGGATTATAAATAACCTCGGAATCTGGTTCGTCTTCTGATTCGGTATCGGAATCATCTTCATCGGAGGCCTCACGCTCACCTACAGTTCGAGCTTGTTTACGTTGGACATTCTCTTTGGTTGCATGACGTTGTTCTGATAAAATCTCTGAGAAATTGTAGATCTGTGCTTCCAGAAATGCGATCCCCTTTCGCTTTTCCATTTCCACATTTTTACGAACTTTTCCAGGTTTTCCTTTAGCAAATAGATTTGGATCCAATTCGTCCATCGTTTTACCTTTTGTTGACCATAGACGATTGGCACGTTCTTCTAATGTTCTAGAGATACAAAGAAACATACATTAGATTAGACATTAATTATGTTGATGTCTAACTAGACGAGAAAGTATATTTACCCTCCACATTTGAGGTTTAAGGCCATCAAAGCGGTTTTAAGACGGTCGAGTCCAAGTGATGCAAGTTCTGCTGCCGATGAGAAAGCTGAAAGATCTAATTGTGCTCCTGATCGAGTTAAAGCACTGCTTGTTTCTTTCTAGAGAGAGAGGGAAATTTAACAACATTGGTGATTAGTAACTTAAGATTAGTTGACATTTGATATCTGGTGATTTGATTCAATTAGTAATTAGCAAAAACAACTCACAGGCCAACCAGGAAAATTACCGGATTCCCATTGTTTCTCAAATTCCACTGATATTTGTTTAACTTGATCTTCGAGGTCTAATAAAGGTTTAACTCTTGAACAATAATCCATGAGATAATCTAGAAGAGATTCTAGATACTGTTTGTACTCGGTAGTCATCTTTCGGTCTTTAGGTATATCAAAAAGATTATCAAATTGACTAAGATACTTGAGATAATTAATTTTCTCAATCCCTTTAAGGTTACGATATTTAAGAAAACAATCATTTAGATCAAGAAACTTCCCATATCCTTCCTCAGCCGTAAAATCAACCAGATCACCACCAGTCTCTCGCTCTTTCAGAAAATCATCAAATTCAAGAGACATTGGACGAATAGATTCATTTGGACTCTTTTTATAAAACTCTTTGATTGTCCTTAAACGCCCATAAAACTCAGAAAACTCATTAGAACCCGTCATTGAGGCCATTTCCTCCTTCCTTAGACCATCTTTATCCTCATACGAATCGATTAAACTTTGGGACACCTCAATGTATCTATCCAACAGGGTTTTCAGTCTATGTTCACTATTGATTTGATCTTTGTTCTATAAAGAATATAAAGAAAAAGAAATAAAACAAATTATCATCAAAACAATTAATAATCTAAATACTAAATAAACAATTCAAGTGAAAATGGAAATGGAAAAATAAACTTACACTGGTTTTCTTAGCCATCATTTCCTTAACCATAGTATCTTCAACTCTCTCACGTTCTTCATGCCAATTCCTCTGCTGTTCAATAATTGATTCCATTATGACTATATAAAAATCTAAAACTGATTAAGGACAAAAAACTCAATCAATTAATTGTCCAAAACTCAAATTGATTATTGAAAAATTAACCAAAACAAAAAATGAAATTCAAACAGCGGTAAGAAAGAAGGGACCGTTGACTAATTGCAAGTCGTTCCAAATTCTTTTTTGAAAAAAAATGAAATTTAATTTAATTATTTTCGAGTTTAAATGTCAAAGAATCGAAATTAAATTAAAACTTTTACTCTCGAACAAAAATCAAAACAATTAATCTGCTGATTATCTGTACAATTAACGATCGTAAGATGAAATTGGCTTATAATTGACATTGGAAATTATATAAGTAAACAGGATAATTAGTCTCATGGTTGCAATTTAATTTAATTGTGATTAGATTTTTACAACAGAAATCAAGGAACTAGCAATAAAATAGTGTGAAAACAAAGCAGCAATCTAATTAATTAATCTAAATTATTGGTAACAATAATATCTTAAAAGGTTAATCTACAGTTTAACCTTTAATAATAATCACTAATCAGTAAATTGTTTGTTGAAAAAATTATTAATCTAATTGTTAACCATTTAAATTGTAGATGCATCTTAATTGGGCGAAATCTATTGCTTTCAGTGAACAATTAACTTGATCATTTTTCATTGCAAGTAATTGCAAGGTGACAATTAAGTTCTGAGTGAGTTATGGTTAATTTTAATTGTAATACTTCATTTTTTTTTTTAATATAATCAAGGAGACATTTTCACTTTGGTACATAATTAACTTAATTAACATGAAAATTGTCTAGATACACAAATAAAAGATAATCAACTTGTTAATTGTTGAACATTAATTTGATTGGAAAGTCTAATTTCTTTGACTTATCACAATTAAATTATTTTTAATTTCTGATTAATCATTAATTTCCGCTTCCATTGCCAATGATACAATCAGAAATTAACTTGCCCTTCAATTATTTACAAAACAGTGATGATTAAGTTAATCATTTCATGATCAGATTTATATTTTACATTTAATCAACCATGTTAATCATAATCAAAGTAAAATGTAACCAATTTTCAGGTTTAATTGTACAACAATTAACACTAATTGTACTTTGATCATGCTGATAATTAAACATATACATGATTGTAACTGTTTATCTGATATTTAGTTGAACAATTAAATATCATTTCCACCACAACAATTAAACAGCCTCAACTTTATCTCCTAGCATTTTAATTGTTACAATTATCATATGAATCACAAATTGATGGTGATAATGATTGACACAATTAGTTAATCACAACTTCTCTCCATAGGTTATTACTTTTAATTATTTTGCTTTTTAAACTTTTCTTTCATATTAACTTTAATTCATTAATCTAATTAATGATTAATTGTGCTGGAGGTATGATGTTAATTGTTAATCATCTAATTGTGATAAGAAAAACAAATCAAATCAAGAGAAAGAGACAAATACTTGATTATGATTAACTCGAGGCATTAACCAGATTACATGCTGATTAATTAGATGATTAACTAAATAGTAGTTAATTAATTGATTGTAGACTGTGACAATGATATCCGACTGTCTAATGACAATTAACTCTTAGAGTAAGTAAATTGATTGAATTAAGTATTATTATGAATGAGTAATCAAAGTTGATTATCAAATTATTAACTATGGTTCAATCAATCAATCTGTTAATTGTTACAATTAACTCTCGATAGTTTTAAAACTTTACTTTTATAGTGAACAAAAAAATCAACAGGTCAACAGGAAATTGATGGAAAGTTAATTGTTACAATTAACATATTCTATTTAATTAATTACCAATTCACACCCACATGATCAATACCCAGCAAAGAGCTGCCGTTGATTTAATTGTTTCAACAATCAGGCGAATAATTAAATTGTTAGAATTGATTTTCACCACTCAACCAATTCTTTGATCTGGTTAAATTTAATCATTTCGTTAATCAACTAGATTGTTAAATTAAGATGATAATTAACCTACAACATAGACATTAAATTGTGATTTTTGTACTAATATTAATTATTGATTCACTAATTGTTGACAGTTTGATTATTTAGCACAAAGAATGAGAGTTAATTAAAAAAAACTTAAATTAATGGTTGATTGAAATCTATCACCTCGACAAATCAATTAACCACAATTTAATCAAGGCTCCTTATAAATTAACCACCAGTCTCTAATTGTCCTCAATTGTCCGATTAAATTGTTACAATTTTACAACAATCAATAACCCTCGATGAGAAAAAAAAATTGAAATCATTTTTCCCTATTCCAAATTAATTAATTAACTCATATCAGCTAATTGTCAACAATAAATTGATTATGTTTCAATGCTTAATCTTAATCATCAAAAGTCATTATCATGAAAATTGATTAACAATTGATTTGATTAACTTTAATCGGGTTGATAACATGATTACAATAATCAACCTTGATCAACAATAGTTAATTGCTGATAATAAGAGAGATAGAATGAAAAAAAAAGTTAATTTTCAATGATTAATTAATTTGATTAGGGTAAAAATAACATTTTTGTTCAATAATAACAATTAAAAACTGGGGTAAGCGCCTTAATTGTGATCAAGTTAAATTGTTATCATTAGAACTGTTTATTTAATGGTAAACAATTAAAGGTAAACAATTAATTTGGTATTGACAATAATGAGGAAAAAAACATTTATACTTATGGAAGATGATTAAAAGAGGAAACAATCAACAATTAAAAAAGTTTTACAATCTAATTAATTAAATTGTATTGGGAAATTTAAACAATCAAGAGCAAAAAAAAAGTCGATCAATGATAATTTACAATTAATATCGTTACATGTAATATACCAAAAAAAAATTAGCAAAAAATTAAGTAACAATTAACATAGACACAGAAAATTAACAAAATAATGATAACTTAATTGTGATTTAATTTACCTAATGGTTAAAAGTAAAGCTATGAATTAAATTAGGTGTCACCATGATAATAAATACTAATTGTAACAAGAAACTGATAACAATTTAGGTCAAAATTTAAGATTAATTAAAATTAATTAGTGTAAGTATTAAATGATAACAGTTGATCATATTAACACAGTAGCAATTAAAATGTTAACCAATTACACAATCAAAACAAGAAGATGATGAAAGATGAAAAAAAGAGGAGGATGATAATGATATTATCATCATCATCATCATCATCATTGATGAAAAAAGAAACGGGTAAATGGGGATGGAGAAGACAAAAAAATAGACAGAGGAAAAGAAAGGGAAATCAAACTCATACATGATGATGATGAAGATGCAGGGGATCATAAGATAACAATAGCTCCCTCATCATCATCATCATCATTTCTCCCCCACTTACTCCTACTTTTACCTTTTCATCTCTCTCTCTCTCTTTCTCTCTCATTATCATCTTCTCACTGATTACTTACTTTTTTTTCATTCACCGGTTTAATGTCATAACAATATTACAGATAATTGTCATCATCGTCCTCATCATCAACAGTATTACAATTATAATTAATATATTATCATCATCATTAGTATTAATTGAGGTGGGATCACCTTTGGGATGCTTAATGAATCAAGATATCGGCACAAAGTCATTTTTTGTTACCTGACAAACATTTTCAACTTCATCTTCATCATTTGTTACGATAACTTTTGTTTCTTGTTCCAATCATTTTGTAACTTTGTTCATACCTGATTTTTTGTTTAATTTACTCACAATTAACAAACTCACCAATCAATTGATTAGCTGTGTTTTCAATTGTTTCCAAGTTTTTTTTTTGTTTTAATTAACTTCTTGTGTCCATTATGATTTAAGTTTTCATATTTACTATTTTTTGTATCTCATTTACCAAACAATTAAGTTGATCATCTTGAAAAAAAAGCGGCAACATTTAGATATTGTTTTTTTTAATTCTCTAATTGTTTGAACAATTAATTTCAGACCATCGACAATCAAATCATCCTGTTGCCTCCATTGAATATGTGTGTAAGTAATTAAAAAATTATCACTTTAATTTTTTTTTGTTTTATTATATTAACAATCAAGTTGATCAAGTAAATTGTAAGGAAAAAGAAATAGTTTATTTATTGTTTACTTGGTGTTAATTGTCAGATAAATCAATTAATTATATTATTATTTTATTGAAACTTTTCGTTATCATATTGGGTTGATTAAATTGTTTGTTAATTAGTTTTCCAATGTGTACAATTAATCAAACTGTGATTATCAATATGTGTTGGATTTAATTGTTGATCAACTCTCTCTCTCTCTAATTAATTTAGGTTTTTGATCCTTCATCATTAACACTATGTAGTCCATTGGTACCGATAACTGTAGCCTACTCACCGATTGCTACATCAACTGCCCTTTGTCCAGCCTTACCCACCCTTCCAACACATCATCATCATCATCATCTTTCACCATTACCCACACACCATCATCACCATCACCACTTAACCCCAACCTTAACCACCACCCCTCAACCTGCCCAATCACAACCTCCACCACCACCACAACAACAACAACCATCACTTGTCACCGCATCGGTGACCACAACCCAAGTGGTAACAACAACATCGCCCTCACCACAACAGCCCCAACAGCAGCAGCAACAACAACAACAACAACAGTCACAACAAACAACGATAACTACACTGCCCCTACCACCTCCACCACCCACACTCTCTCTCATACCTCCACCCACAAGTACAACTGGTTATTATATTCAAGCACCACCACCACCACCACAAATCACAACAACAACAACCTCACCAATCAATGGATGTCCACCATTAATTAAACCTTCACCATGGAATCAATCATAGTAAGTAATCAACTAATTGTCACAATTGATTATTTTACTCTTTTTGTCTCATCATCAGCAGTTACGATTATATATTAATATCTTTAATTGTTTGGGTGCAACAATTTATCTTCAATAACTTGATCAATTATTGCAACAATTAATCAATCCATCTACTCCTAATCTAAGCAATTTAAATTATTTCATAACAACCTCTGGAATCATGATTGTAATTAATAATATTAATCACTTTTTTTTTGAGTATATCATCAAATTATCAGACTGATCACTTAATTGTGATGTAAATCAAATCAATGAATAATTCATCAAATTAGAAAAGGAATAGAAAAAAAAGTAAATTGATTAGTTAATCATGTTCATCAAGAAGAAGAGGAAAATTATTTCTCTGAATTTAATTGTAGCCCTGATGATGATTTATTGAGATTTAATTAATAAGTACAAATGAAAAACAATCACCATTCACTCATTACAATTAACCATGATTTACTCTTGATTGTTATCATTCAAATTGTGACAATTAATTTCCATAATCTAGAAAAAGTGAAATAAAAAAGTTTCTCGTCATTACTTTGAATCGTTTTCATCACAACAAAATTATCATTATCATCATTGTTGTAATATATTCATTGTTGTTAGTTAATTGTTTACCAACAATCATCGTTGGCTAAATCATTGTCAGTCCATTTTTCAATGATTTAGTTATAATCATGACAAAATTAACGACATTGTAAAGATAAAATTAGTTTAATCATGATTTAGATGAGATTCTAAATATCAACATAATCGAGTTGCTATTTGAATATTTTTGTTTCATCAAATTTAAGATGATTAAGTTGATTTGGTTAGATGATTTAGCTAAATGATGCTAATTTATTAGATTAATCAACAATTGAGTTACTTAAAGAAACCTAAATACAAAAGTTAATCATCTTTTGAGTGTCACATCATTACGTTGATTGATGTAATTTATTAGTTAATTGCCTCTGGCAAAATCACAATCATTGATTGTTGCATGTTATTAATAAGTGAGAAAATCAAAGATTAAGTTAATTGTTTCAATTGTTACGAGAAAATTGTTCAACCAGATCCAAATTTTTCTGCAAGATTGGAAAACTTTTCTTTACCTTATAACAATTAAGAAGGTTAATTGTTGATAACAATTAGCATGCGAATTTAATTCATTGATTAACCACACAAAAAGGTTAACCAACTAATCAAAAAAATTGTCTTAATTGTCGCAATTTTTATGATTCGTTGTTGCTGATTAACTTTCCTTTTCCTGGTTCCTAGACTCTAGTAATTAACATTGAGATGAATGATTAGATTTACTAAATAGTTGATTGTAATTAAGGAATAAAAGAAAAATTAACTAAGTAATAATCAACAATTAAATCTTCTGGTGTTCATTGATTAACCTAATCAACTTTATATAAATAATAATATAATTTTTTTCACCACTTTAACCAGATACAATTAAACATCATTAACAGTTAACTACTTACTTGTTGGTTGTTTATTATTATTGTGATTAAGTTAATCATTAATCAGATAATCTAATCCTACTAATAGAAAGGGGGGAAAGTGAAGACTTAATTAACTTCTAGTTAATTGTGTTGATTAAATGAGATTTGAATCGTGAAGTAAATTGAAGGAAAGAAAGTCAAAGATTATAATTAAAAAGTGATTAGTTTAATTGTTACGATCTGATTGTTTTGATTTTACTTTCAGATATTTAGATTATAATCCTTAATTGTAACTGTTAATTAGTTAATACAATTAACTTTTTCTTGTAACTTTTTCAATGAGAAATTTTTGTTTTCTCAAGATTAACTCAATTAATCAATTTGCTCTTTGGCAATAATTACTTTAACAACAATCAGCTAACTGTTCATATCTTAAATTGCAATAATTATGAATATCAGTAGGCATTAATAACAATAATGATAATCATGGGTAATTATAATAATCAGTGATTAAAATCAACTAATTATTGAAGCTAATCAGTGAGGAAAAGTAATTATAAGAAAAAAAAACGGAAGGAATTAATCACAATTAATAATGATGAAAGTAAAATTAACAGAGAGACACAATTAAAGGTTAAAACTTGATCTGATTAAATTGTGAAGCTTTGATCACAAATTAGTTTAATTATTTCCTCATGATTAACTTGGATTGATGATTGACAAATTTGATTGATTAACGTTGATTGTTGATTGAACTTTTTCTCTGTCTCTCTTTTTCACAATTAAGATTAATTGTAATTTGTGTTCAATGTTTCAAAATGGAAAACCTTTGTTAATCAATTGATTCAATTCTTATGGAAAACAAAATTAACTGTATTTCCCGTAATCAGTTAACAATCACAATTAAAGGATTCGATTGATGGTTAATTAGATTTTTCAACAATTGATCATTATTCTGATTATTTACTTTTCCATGTTTGTATTTCATTTTCATTTTTAATTTCACCTTGATTAAGGAAAAGAGATGAAACTAAATTAGTGATCAACGTTTTTTTTTTAATTGTTACCAATTCATGTTAACGATAACTTGATTACCTTTTCTGTGTTGATTTAGATTCGCTTTTCAAGGTTTTAATTGAAGTGAATTAGTTGATTGATTAATTATGTTTTAGCTTCTTAATTGACATCGGAAGTTGATTGTTCCGTAGTGTTAATTTGAATCTTTCATTATTGTATCTAATTTTTGCTTTATCAAGTTAATCAATCAATGCTATTGATCAGTAACTGATTGATTAGATTAATTATTGATTGTTGCGTAAGGTTAATTGTGAATCACTTTTCGTTAATTGCATAACTGATTGGCTTTTACTTTTTGTTACATTTTCACAACATTTGACAGTTTCTATTGAAGGTTAAATGATTATGACAATCAGAGACAATTGAAAGTCAACAATTAAATTCTATTGGTTCAATGTGCGTTAATTAAATTGCTAAATTGTCATTTATTGTTTATCCAATCAAATTTGATTCGTTGATTGTTTGTTGTTTTGAGAGTCACAATTAACTCAAAAAAACTTTTTAATTCACTAATTTGGACTTTGATTACTCCATTGGCAATCTAATAGCAATGAAGATTAATATTCAAACAATAGAAAACTAATCTTCATCAAAGTATTTGAACAATTTAATTTAATTGCTGTTTAATCGTACATATGAAAGACCAAAGATCAAAACTCAATACCACCAGTGAGTTAATTGCGGCACAAATGAAAATGAATCAATTGAATCGTTAAGTTAATTATCGTTACAATAAACGATTTCGTTACAACGAAATTAACTTTTACCCGTATGATTGATAAATGATGATGATAATTAAATAAGGTTAATTAGCGACTATGGTAAGAGAGGCCGCGATTCTGCTTGTTTTGGATGTGTATTGATTTTTTATCCGAATAATTAGCCAACAATTAATAAATTAATTAATTAACTTCCATCATCAACTTATATACTTTGAATGTTTCATTCATATGCATAAATGTGAGTAAGCATAAAAATTGTTCACTCACCAGCCTCATGACTAGACGAAGCTGATTGTTTACTAATCAGTTCCGGAAGGATATTAATTGTTGTTTGTATAATTGTTTATCAATATAATAATTAACTTTTACTATTTTATTTTCTTGAATAGTAAATGATTAGTTGATTGCTACCACTGTTTTCTTAAGCAAATTAAGTATTACAACTACAATCTGATCAATGATTATATTAAGAAATAAGCATTTAATAAGATATTGATTTGGTAATAAATGTAAATAAATCAACTAATTGTTGCAACAAGTTTTCGGATAAAACCTTGAAATATTGTTAATTGTTGTTATTTTATTATTAATAGAAAGCATTACAATCCGGTCAGTTAATTGTTAAATTGTAAATAACTAGATTAATAAATTGAAAAATTAATTTTGTAGTAAAAAAAAAAGTTTTGCAATTCATCATAATTACAATTGTAACAATTAACTAAGCAAAAATTGATGCTAATAGTTTCAATGGATTTAAATTGCTCGATTAAATTTTGTTCACAATTAGTAGTAAATATAAAAAAAAACAATTTCTACCACCCGATTAAATGTTAATTGAGTTGATTGTTTAATTTTACAATCAACATGAATTTTTTTTTCAATATTCAGTTGATTCTCAACGATCGGCTAAACAATTACAAGGTTATATATCTGCAACAATCATAATGATGATGACGATGATGATGATGATGATGATGATTAACTGTTAATTTGGTAAGAAACTGTGTACACAGTTGACTGACAATAGTAAACATCAATAATCAAAAAGGTAAATTTAATAACAATGAGTAAAAAATTGCAAAGACAAAGAGAAATGAAAAATTATGAACAAAGCATAAAAAATTATAAAGGTAATAATTTATTATGATAAATTATGGCGATGATGATGATGATGATGATGATGATCGTTATCATGATGATGACGTTGATTCTGGAGGGGGTAAGTGATTAAGGAAAGTGATTATCTTATATGTGAGGATTGGGATGTCAATGTCAATCCTATTATTTTTTTGTCTTCATTCATTTACTGCTAATTGTGACATTGATCAACTCAACTTCAACAATCAGCATCATCTTATTTACAATTTAAATTGATTCACCTTAATGATTTCAACGAAAGTGTTAGCGTGTTAATATTGTTGTATGTTAATTGTTGCCATTGTTTTGGATCGGGTTTCCTGTTGTTGTTGTTGTTGTTGTTAATGGGAAACAATTGAAATATTATTATTATTAATTGTGATCAAAACAATTGTGATAATAACTTTTTGTTTCTCTTGATTAACTATTAAATTGTTGGTTAATCAACAATCAAAAAAAAAAGAATTAACTTTTTTAAACTTTATGAGGTTTGAGAAAAGTTTTTCTTTATCAATATTTATCAGTTGTTGTTGTTGTATTGATTATTGATTGTATTTTTTAATTGTTGTTTCTCTCGGTTCCCAATCAATTTAATTTGATTCTCCATCTTGACTTGGCGATTTAATTGCAAATCAATGGGTCATTGATTTAGATGAATTAATTTGTTCGGGTTTAGGTTTGGTATCTTTGATATTCAGATTTTGATTGTTCATGTTTAACTTTTGTTGGTTAATTGTTTCAGTTTTTTTCTGTAACAATCAATTCAAACCATTAAGACTTTGATTTCTAATTTCATTGGAATTAATTATTGATCTAAATCAAATTATTAATAACATTAAATATGACAACTTATCTTTACCAATTGATAGTTGTTATTAATTGTTGTAAACTTGATTAATACCAATTTTCAAGTGCTGATCAACCAGACTGATCAAATGTTATAAATTGTCGTGATTTAATTTCAGTGTAAACTTAATTAAGGGGGAAAACTCAATCAATTAACAATTAAAAGGAAGTCATGAATCTGATTACCCCATAGACTTTTGTCAATCAATTAGGACGCAATTTAAACTCAACTTTATTCATGACTAATTAACCAGAATTACAATTAACTTGATGCAACAATTGAATCAAATGATACGTAGGCGTTTAATTAGCTTAATTCATTTAAAAGAAACGAAAATGATGCAATTATCAAATGAACAAATCACTATTGAAGAAAATTAATTTCCTCATCTAAAACAAAGGACTGATTATTAATTGATTTACAAACAGAAAATACCAACAATTAACTAATTATAATGATTTACTTTTCAATTTACTTTAACCAGTGGTATGGAGCACGTTTGGATGGCTCATTTTACATCGTTATTTAAATCGTACCCACACCAATGGTGTTTGATGCCGGTCGAATCGCGACCCTTGGGTGGTAACTTTTCCACCTTTGTGGACTCGGCGAAGGTGCGATTCTGTTGCGAGGATTGTGGCCATGGATGGACATCAATGAAGGGCCGAGTAGCCTTTTGGTTTGACCTAACCAATTATGCAGGATACCCTCAGGGGTTAGTTGCATTCAAATTATTTGGTCAACAATGTCAAAAGTGTAAAGCTGAAATCTATGAGCCACCAATGTGGTATCCAGAGGAAGTATTCAAGGTATAATTGATTGATTAATGATCATCTTTAAATTGAATTTCAATCAGACTAATAACTAATTAAATTATCCATTTGCAAACTGATCAACAGGTACTGGTTAATCTTTTCAATAGAGTGGGTCAAAACTATTATGGTTTCTATTATCCACCATTGGAGAAAACCCGTCGACCTGGTAAGCCTCGAACTCCGCATAATAGTACTTTATGTCAAGCATGTAAAGATGGAGTTTGTACTAATCGAAAATGATAATTAAACTGTAAATCGAAAATGGTTAACGAAAAATGATTCCGTCCAACGATTTCACCACGAAACACAATTATCGTCACCATCGCCGTTATATTTACATCTAATGAATTAATTTAGTAAAAGTTCAATTTAGTTTGTTAAATTTTCACAACAATTTACTGCAAGATCTTCATACTCTCACCTTTACATTGGACTGATTGGGTTGATTTAACAATTTAATGATAAACAATCAACCAATCGAATAAGAATCATCAACTACTTTGCAATTCATCATCAATTTAACTAAAAAAAACTTGATCCATTTGATTTTAAAACCATGATCATTGTGGATTAATCTCATAATTATTATTATCACAACAACATTTAATATTTAATCAATTGTTCAATTCTTAATTATCACTGTCAATGTTTCTCTCTCTCAACCATAAAAATTAATTGTTGGATTTAGTTATCACAATTTACATTATTTATCAAATTTTGTTTCAATTTTACATAAATATTATCACAATTTACAAATTATTTGACATTAATTGCTTCATTTCAAGGTCGATTAATGGTCAGGATCAAAGGTTTTCAACTCGGCATTTGGTTACTGGCAGTTAAAAATAATGAATAAACCCAATGAACTTTAGGATTTGGCTGAATATCACCTAACCCTTTCGCCATAAATGAATTTAACTGTCCATCAAGCGATTCCCATAAATCTAAAATGACTTGATCATAAACTGCTCGGAAATTATTTATAATAAGTTTCCCAATCCAACTAGATTTGTGGTCAATCGAATCAAAAGTCAATCGATTTCAGTGCATATCGTAAAAAGATAATCGGTCAAAAAAACAGTTAAAGCCAAAATCGCTTCAGCCACTTGCGATTTCGGAGAGTCACCTGTTGACTTAGGAAGTACAGAGAAATACAGAAACCTATGGCCAAAAAAGATGAGACTCTTCAAAAAAATCGTCATAAATTAGTCGAGTTGAATTTCCCATTGATACCCATACTAATTTCATAATGGAGAGAAAGGTTTCCAAAAAAAACGAAAAAACCTCAAATTTGATGTTCCATTATCTTCACTGTCACTTAATATACGAACTTGAAACGACCAGTTCTAGATCACGAACTTTTCATTAAAGCTAGTTTCATTTACATTGGACTCGTTTTTGAAAAGATTCAGAATTTTTAAGAAAAAAAGAAATACAACTCGAGTAAAACTTTCGAGTACTTTCGACCTCAATAAAACCGAAGTCGAAAAGGTTGAGAATCTGAATTTTTCTAATTGCCATGAGTATATGTATAAACTATTAGAATCATGAATTTTTTTTCTAAAACTTCATGATTGTTCAATAGTTATGACGATTTTTTCGAAGAGTCTCCTCTTTTTTGGCCATAGTAATACACTGGTCATATGTACAAGTATGTTAAGCGCTTTCTACCGGGTGTTCTAATTGTTTATTGATAATATTATTGATTCGGGCCACCAAATGGCCTTGAAAGTTATTAGAATGACCGAAATGACTTTCATATTAAAACGTGATAATCGATTATCACCCAAACTCGAATCTCATAAAAAAAAGTCCTTTAATTATTCTGTCTTAATCAAAATTTCGAACACTTGTAATTACAGTTGTTTCTTAATTAGTGTAATAAACAACAAACATGAAACAATTACAAACAGTTAATTTTTTAAATGGAGAGCAATAAACGGCTTAACTATTAATAGTTAACCAAGGAAAACCTTAATTACCAGATAAATAGTCCTGGAGGTAAGTAAAAGCTTTAATTGTTTGACGAATAATAAATTGTTCATTTTTGATTTCCATTGAAAAATAAAACTTTTTTCAACAATTTATTATTATTATTAACATTTCAGTTAATCATGATTAAAATCTTAGGTCTAATTTAGTTAATATGAAGAAATTATCTTCAACTATTGATATGAAAGTTAATTATAATCATAATCATCACCAACGCCTTTTATAGTCAGTAACTTGTTGACAGTTAATTGCAGTTGAGTGAAGGCTCTTGACAATTTAATACCATTAAATGTTTTAGTTAATTTTGTTTCAATTTGAGTAAATCTTTTCAAGAGTGACCATCAGCCTAATCATGTCCATTATAGTTGACTATCTCGATGAATATTGTGGTCAACCATTTTGGGTAAGTGGTCAATCAAACGCAATCATGATGATATTTAGTTAATTGTTTGTTGTTGTTTTTTTTTTCATTTTTGTTCACCAGGATGAAAACCTGACTTGGAATACAACCAAACCGATCTTGACCCCTTGTTTCTTGTCCACTGCTCTCACTTGGCCACCATGTATATTCATTTGGATCTGTGGTTTAATCTCATTCTGTTTCTATTCCCGTTTATCAACGGTCAAGACTCCATGGACCTGGTTAATTGTTACAAAAATGGTTGAGTCATTTAATTTTTTCTCCTTTTGTCTCCTAACTGATTTATCATGATAATCTTTTAATCTTAATCTCTAGAGGCTGTAAGATTAATCTATTCCCCTTTCAACATGAGTGTCTTTTACTCAGTCAAATAAGAAAGAAATCAAAAATTAACTATCGATCACTGGAATTGATTACTAAGCTCACTAATCCAACCAACAACCGAAATGGATAATCCATGAATGATTGATGATCAATGAGAATACCTGTTGAAAAAGTGTTAATCAGGATTTATTTTATCCTTTATCCCTAATTAAGGTAAGACTTAATGAATTGATCAGCTGATTGTTCAAATAATATCATGTTAAGAGACACTTAAACAGAGACTCAGCAATCAATAGACAATATTAATTGTAGTCTTGAACAGATTTGCTTATTAAAAAATTAATATTATTTGATATTGAATCAATTTAGATCAATTCATTAAGCCTCATCATTAATTACCTTTAAACATGATTAAAAATCACCTGATTATGATTAATTAATTTATCTATGGGTTGACCATGGACATTGAACTTTCTAATATCTTAAAGTTTTCTTTTTAAATTGCAGCAATTAGAATCCAAGATTTTAATCGTTTAGTACAATTTATCGGTAAAACACCTTAATCAGCCTATTAAGAACTTAATTGTTGGTTTCATTTAATTACTACCTAATTACTGTTACCCGATTTAGCTACTATCAGATTTACATAGGGTTATTTTTAATTACGTTAATATTAAAGCCAAATAAAAGTCCAAAAGTAATAAAAACAATGATTAAAATTAATTTACTTTAATTCGCAAAAATATTTAGTTAATTAGGTACTGCAATTAATATCCAATAGTAATCAGCAGTTGATTCATTTTTATTTCCCCGTAAATATCAATAATCTAATATCAACACTTAGATCTTGAAATGAGTAATTTTTATCCAGAATTTCAAAGGAAATTGAATAATTATCATGAGATTTTTTTTACTTTCTTAATTACAGCTTCTAATTTGCATTCTAATTGCCACTAATCTTGCGGAGATGATCCATCAATTGAATTCAATGGAAAATGGACTTGATTTATATTATCAAACACCGTTGATCAAAGCGATAACTTTTGTGAGTTCAACTGATTAGTTGATTAACTTATTGATGGATTTTAATTTATTTCTATTGAATCTGATTTTCTGTCTAGTTTTTTGCTCTCATTCTGCAAACCACTTACTTCCGTAAGGGTGTTCGTACCTCGGGGATACTTTTCGTCTTCTGGTCATTGATGACATTTCAAGTAGTTCTAAGTTGCTGGACTACGATTGTCACTCTACAGAATCCTGTAAGTTCAATGATGAATACTTGTCATCAAATTCAGGGAGAAATAATTGAACTTTGATTTGTTTCCAGGAGGATAAATATTGGACAATCAGTAAAATGACTTTAATTTGCCAATCGATTGAAACTCTGACAATTATTTCCTATTTGATTGCTATTTGTTTCGCTGACAAACAGAGGGGAAAATACAATGAAGATCCAAAGGTTGGTTTTTGATTAATTAATCTAATCGATAACTTAATTTTTTTTCTCGATATATTCTTTGATTAACCTTTCAGAAAATTTGCCCGTTCACTGAGTCGTCGTTTTTTTCGCAAATGTTTTTCTCTTGGTACGATTCTATGGCCTATCTTGGTTATAAAAAGTCATTAACACTGGACGATATGTGGAATCTACCAAAGGTTAACAGATCAAGAGAAATTTTCGCAAAATTCCGACACAATCTAAATTCATCTAAGAATTGCATTCAGACATCAGAATCACCTCAGAAAAACAATACAAATGATTCTTTGGCACTTCAACCATTGAAGAAAGTTCAATCAGCACCTAAGTCAGATTATTCTGTCTTATATAATCCAAAATTTGACATTCTAACGACATTGATAGGAGGATTCTGGTTCCATTTAGTTGCCTGTTCGGTGCTAAAGTTAATCTCCTCATTCCTAACCTTTGCTAATCCATCACTTCTCGATCAACTATTGACCTTTGTTAAAAGTTCTGACCCTGCATGGCAAGGTTATCTTATTGCTGTGGCGATGTTTGCTTTCTCACTTTTACAGTCACTGATTGATGGTCAGTATGAATTTTGGATTAGTAATTTAGGCTTGAGAATGAAATCAGCGATGGTCAGCACAATCTATCAAAAGGTAAAACGATTTCGGAACTTTAGTTTCTCAACTTGGGTTCTAAATGAATTAATTGGTTTTCTCTGATTTCGTACAATAGAGTTTAAAGTTGTCAAGTCAAGGTCGAAAAGCATTTACAACTGGGGAGATTGTCAACTTGATGGGTGTCGACACCAACAGAGTTTTCATGTTCATCAATCAATACAATTTTATGCTCTCATTTCCCGTTCAATTGGGAATGTCACTGAAACTCTTGTGGAATCAGTTGGGAGTTTCATCGGTTGGTGGATTGATATTTATGCTTCTGTTGATTCCTTTCAATGCCTGGTCAGCGATGAAGATGAAAAACATTCAGCAGAATGTGATGAAACAGAAAGATAGACGAACTAAAACTATGAACGAAATTCTGAGCGGAATGAAAGTTCTGAAACTCTACGCATGGGAATTGGCATTTGGTGACTTCATCAAGGAGGCTCGAGCAGCCGAGATCAAGGCTCTCAAAACTCAGGCCATTTTCGGAGCTTGTACAAGTTTCCTTTTCTTTTCTGCGCCTTTTTTTGTAAGTTTCACGATTTAATATTCTGTTGGAAGCAAAAAAAAAATTACAACTTTTCTTCATCATTTTTATTCACTCAGGTTGCACTGATCAGTTTCGCGACTTTTGTACTAACTGATCCATCCCACGTTCTAGATGCTAACAAGGCTTTCGTTTCGTTGACATTGTTCAATATACTCAGTCAATCATTGACCATGTTACCTCGAGTTATAACAACTGGTGCTAATGTAAGTTTATTATGGTCAAAGATGTCGAAGGTCACTAATTGAACTTTTTTCGTTCGTAAATTTCAGTGTTGGGTCTCAATTAAACGTATCAATAAGTATCTTCAAGGAGAAGAGATTGATTTATCTCAAGTAAATCATGACGGTGATACCAATTTTCCTGTTTCACTTAGCTCTGCATCTTTTACCTGGTCAGCTACTGATAGTCCAGTTTTACGAGATATCGATTGTTCAATACCAAAAGGATCTTTAGTCGCCATTGTTGGTCCAATCGGAAGTGGAAAATCATCTTTACTTTCTGCTCTTCTTGGAGATTTATTCAAAATATCCGGAGAAGTTAATCTAACGGGTTCTTTGGCTTATGTACCTCAAACAGCGTGGATTCAAAATGAGACACTCAAAAGAAACATTATCTTCGGTCAGCCATTGAATCAAAGTAAATACGATAAAGTAATTGAAGCTTGTGCATTGACACCAGATCTTAAGATTTTGCCTGGAGGTGATAGTACCGAGATCGGTGAAAGAGGAATCAATTTATCTGGTGGACAAAAGCAAAGAGTTAGTTTGGCTCGTAGTGTTTACGCTGATTCTGACATCTATTTGATGGACGATCCTTTAAGTGCTGTCGATGCTCATGTAGCCAAACATTTGTTCACTCATGTCATCGGCCCAAAGGGAATCTTAAAGGATAAAACTAGAATATTGGTAACACATCGATTGACATTCTTACCTCAAGTTGATGAGATCATTGTTCTTAAAGATGGAGGTATTCAAGAGAAAGGAACATATTCAGAGCTTATTTCGAAAAAAGGAGAATTCGCCGATTTCGTTGTTCAATATCTGACAGAAAGTGAGCTTGATGGTGAAGAAGAGGTTGATGATGAAGATCAACAAGTATTGGAGAAGATTAAAGAATCAGTCAAACCAGAACTTGAGAAGCGTTTATCTCAAGCGATATCCGAATCTAGTGAAGGTGATGGATCTAAACCAGGACGAAGACGAACATTAACTTCCAGTCTAAGCAAACGATCAATTATATCTAATGGTTTCGATAAATCAGACGAAAATAAGGATAAAAAGAGTAAAAAAGATCTTGTTGTTCAGGGCAAAGAAATTCCTCCAGGCGGTGGAATTGATCGATCGAAGCTGATTGTAAGAGAAAAAGCGGCCGTTGGGTCGGTAAAAGGAAGCGTTTACATAGATTATCTCAGAGCTGTTGGTTTCGGCATGTGCGGCATAATAGTCGCGTGTTTCGGCCTCTCCCAACTATTAACTGTTAGTCGTAATCTTTGGTTAACTGCTTGGGCCGACGATTCTCTCGATTCCGCTAATCTCAATGATACTCATCTTCGTAATTTACGTTTAGGCATTTACGCGGGAATCGGGGGTTTGGAGACAATATTCACAATGGCCAACAGTTTACTCTTAAATGTTGCCGTTCTAACGGGATCCAAATTGATTCACGATCGTATGCTTGATAGGATCATTCGAGCTCCAATGTCCTTTTATGATACAACACCTTTAGGCCGAATCTTGAATCGTTTCTCTGGTGATATTGATACTTGTGATTCAACGATTGGTTTCAATTTACGAATGTTAATTTCTCTCGCTTTTCGAGGAACCGTTTCAATTGTGGTCATTTGTCTTGAAACACCTTATTTTCTTGTGGTCATTATTGTCATGACGGGAATCTACTCACTTATTCAAATGTTTTATATCGCCAGTTCTCGGCAACTTCGTCGAATCGAATCTTCATCTCGATCACCTGTTTTCTCTCATTTCTCTGAAACAATTACTGGATCATCGACAATTCGTGCTTATAATGCCGAGCAAAGATTTTTTGATGATTGTTTCAATCGTGTCGATAAAAATCAATCTTGTTCATTTGCAAATATGGCCGCTGGTCGTTGGTTGTCCATTCGACTTCAATTCTTAGGTAATTTGATCGTTTTTACATCGGCTGTTTTTGCCGTCTCTTCGAGATCTCGACTTAGTCCAGGGCTCACTGGTCTTTTTGTGAGCTATGCATCACAAATTACTGGTATTCTCAACATGTTGGTTCGATCAGTGACCGATGTAGAAATTAATATCGTCGCAGTTGAACGTTGTCTTGAATATACGAAAACGGAACAAGAAGTAAGTTCGACCTCAAAACAAATCCAAGAGATGCAAACAATTATCTTAAAATTTATTTACTTTCTTTCTTTACAATCTCAGGCTCCTGACATAATTGAGTCTAATCGACCTCAACCGAATTGGCCTGACAAAGGAGAGGTCATTTTCAGAGACTATAATACAAGATATCGAGACGATCTTGATCCTGTATTGGTAAATATTTCTCTGACCATAAATCCAAACGAAAAGATTGGTATCGTTGGACGAACCGGTGCTGGAAAATCATCTCTGACTTTAGCAGTTTTCAGACTAATCGAATCGATTTCAGGTCAAATTATAATCGATAATATGGACATTTCCAAACTTGGACTACATGATCTGCGCTCCCGAATAACTGTTATCCCTCAGGATCCAGTTCTTTTCTCTGGTAACTTTAGAAGAAACTTCGACCCATTGGAGCAACACACTGATGTGGAGATTTGGAACGCACTTGAACAAGCTCATTTGAAGAAATTCGTTTCGAGCTTGGAGACTGGTTTAGACTATGAAATTGTCGAAGGAGGTGAAAATCTAAGTGTTGGCCAAAGACAATTGGTCTGTTTAACTCGAGCGCTACTTCGTAAGACAAAGATTTTGGTTCTCGATGAAGCGACCGCCGCTGTAGATGTAGAAACTGATGAACTTATTCAGAAAACAATCAGAACTGAATTTGCTGATTGTACAATTATCACAATCGCTCATCGACTAAACACCATCATGGATTATGATAGAATTCTAGTTCTTGATCAAGGAAAGATAAAGGAATTCGATTCTCCAAGTAATCTACTTGCTAATGATAAATCAGTTTTCTATTCGATGGTCAAAGAATCAAATTTACTTAATCAACAAACAACCGGTTGAAATTAAAACACTAAATTTATGTAGAAATCAATAAAAAAAACTATCCATAAACCAATTGACAAAATACTGAAGCAAATTTCAGAAAATTAAACCAACGAAATATTCACTGTAAAGATGAACGGGAGAATTACGAAAGCGAGATATATTTGTATTTAACTAATTAAATAAGATGCAAAATGCACGTAACAATTAAACGAGACCAATACATGAATAATTAATGGAAGAGGAAAGTGAAATCGTGAATATTGTGAGATCACAGGCTCTTCTTAGATTATGTTGATAATCACTTAGGGATTATCACTGATTGTGGTTCATTGATATTTCAACAAGTATTTTTTACCTTTTATCATTAATAATAGAATAGTTTTATCTGTGTTTACATTTTATTGACCTCATAAAATTTTCGCAATCGGAAAATCGAGAAGTTTGTCCCAGTGATAACTTTTATGTGAAAATAATGTCAATGGGTTATGAAGATTCTTGTGATTGGTCATGTCTACCTACTTGTAAGTTTCGATTGATTTTATTTCTGACTTAATGTTTTTCTATAGTAAGTTTATTGATTTTTGTATCTTAAAGGTGCTTATATTGTGCTGGAAAGAATCGGCGGTGGCGAATTTTATATGATGAAATTTGAAACTATTGACGAGAGGTTGGAGGATATTTATGAATATTTCGATAAGAAAAAGCCAATCAAACACAAGATCAAAGATCAAGATAAATGTGTCTCATTGATAAAATACTATGGAAGCCAAAAGAATTGTGCAAATGCTTTGAAGATATTTCAACTACATCGAAAGGAGAATTCCGATTCGATTGGCTTGATTGAAAAGAAACTGCCGGAACCTGACAACCTAAAAGAGGAAGTAACATTGGTGGACTTGACAGAAGTCGAAAGTCAGAGGCTTGAAAGACATTTTTCAGAATCGTTTGAGGCACTGAATAGTAAACTCGAAGAAGTTAGTCAAACTGTCAGAGATATTGTCACGGAGATACACAGGATCCTGTCAAGAATTGAGAAAATAGAGTGTAACCAGTCGTCAAAAAATACGTTCAGTGACACTTCGGGCAATCAAATATCAGCCCAGTCGATTTTCAATTCTATCGAGCAGTATTTATCTGACTTAATACAATCGAAAATGAATTGCCGTGGATTTAATTTTGCTGAAAAGCGTAAGAGAAAGATAGAGGATGAAGAAGTTTCGTCCAAAAAACAAATGATAACTGCCAATGGAAATACTCAACAGACCAGATCACCTCATCAATTGACAAGTGAACAAGTAGAAGGCACTCAAATTCACCATGACAACGACAATGAAACAAGTCCAACTCAACCAGAATGTACAAATGACGAGGATCCACACCAATCACCTTCTCGTTCGTCTTCTGGTTCGCGTTCTCGTTCGGCTTCTGGTTCGCGTTCTGGTTCGTCCTCTGGTTCGTCTTCTGGTTCGCGTTCTCGTTCGGCTTCTAGTTCATCATCTGATAACTGATCTAAAGACTTTACAACGAATCTAATTAATAAAATTTCTTTCCAATGTGTGAATTGTAAGCCGAACGCAGTCTTACCATCTTGACTCAAATTATCCCAAGTGATATTAATAAGCTTGTGTTGGACTCAAAGCAAATAATTAAATCAAGAATAATAATTGAAAAATGAGAGAAACTATTAATAGATCAATATATTGAAATTTCGCGCATCTAACACCCGATTATTAAAAGAATCGAGGCTTATTAGTCACTAAAAACTCGAAGGGTCGCCTCAGGTCTTATTTTTTCGTGGCACTTTTCACCTATTTGAGATCCTCATATCAGTTGCTGACCAATAAGGCCAATTTTATCATTCTTTTTTCATCCATCTTTGAATTTCGACCTTTATTTCATTTTTACTCCGCATCGAAAGCGATAAAGACCATTGGTTTTTTTTCAATCGATTTTTGGACTCATTTGAAAAGCAATTTGATTATTTTTATTAAAAAACTAAACAACTTTTCAACTCCAATATAAAGATTTTACCATATTCTAAGTATGGTATCATATTAATAATTGATAATTACAGTATAGTAGAGATAAAAAGAGCGATTTATAAACATAGTGACCTTCGAAATTACGATAAAAAACAAACATCGAAAATAAATATCGAGCATGTCGATAGATTTGTATTTCGCGCTTTTTCTTAGATCTTTTTAAATGAAAGTTTATTATTGTTGTGAATGAAATCGGGTTCAAATTGTTTGTTTGTTAAACAAATTTTGTTTCTCTTTTTTAATTAGGTTTTTTTAAACCGAAATGCCATCTCAAGGGAATCCAAGCATCAATGGACAAGGAAAACAAATCAATTGTGATTGGTCATTACCATTATCATGTAAGTAGTTACATTATTGAATTTCAATTGATTAACTTTAAGTTTTACCTTTTCCATTGATCAGCTGCGTTTTTAGTTATGCAAGAAATTTGTGATGGTCCTTTTTATATCGAGAAGGCTGACCAGGTATCGGACAATGGCCCAAGTTTGTTTTTTACGTTTCGAGAGAAGAATTTAATTAGCTACAAGAAGGAGAGGAAAGAATTGGCTTCATTCATAAAACACTATGGTAGTGAAAATGATTGTAAAAAAGTGTTGAATGGACTCAATCAATCTCGTCTTGTGAAACCAGAACCTAAACCTCAGTTGACAATCACCCCTAAGGAAACTTCCGACGGTCACTTACCTGGTCCTGTGACAAGTATCGGTCAAAGTGTCGCAAATGTACAACAAACTTGTAAATTATTTGAACCAAGTGCAACAAAACCCCAAATAACAACAAACAATCAAAGCAATTCCAAGCTGAAGAACAAGAAACAAACCAATGTAAATTGCGAATCCCTTAGATTCAAATTTGATCGTCACATTAGAAACGCTCGTCAACGGGTTAGTGTATTTGTTTAGATTTCGAAAAATATTATTCATTCTAATCATTTCAATCTTTTATTTCAGTGGATTAATTATCCTGAATCGCTGCTGATAGAAGAAGAAAAATCTGAGAAGATAAAAGAAATATTAACGTCCAAAACGACCAATATTACAACAATAGTCAATCGATTGGCTGATATTCTGATTGGTGAAGATCAACTCGCAGATAATTTTCTGAAGATGGACAAAAGTTTGGATAAACCTCGACAAGAGATCTTGGATTTGGAAGATCAGAAGAGATTAAAGAAAATTCTGAAGTTAATTCATCCGAGTATTTTTGTGGAACAACAGTATTTCCGAATGATAAAGAACAAAATCAATTCGCATGGACGTCATCTCGCTGGAAAACTTAAAAAAAGTAAAGATGAAAATCTTTTGTCCACAGAACAAAAACTCGAAGCTTGAAAAAGTTTCACCTATTAAATTAATATTCTAAGACAAACTCAGATTCATTCTGATTGTAACTGTCAATTAATCAGCTAATCAAATAAAGTAATATTTGTGATCATGACTTTTATTCCTTTTGCTCAGTCTTAGTTTTATCTTCTAATTTAACCCACTGAATCAAAGTCTTTACTAGTACTTAGAACGTTAGGAATTTGTAATTTGTAATTTGGTTTGAACAATTTTCCCAGTGATGAATCGACATGAACTATTATCTCTATTTATCGATGGTTCACATTGTAATTGGCTTTGAATATTCCACATGATGTTCACCCAAGAGCTTTTGTCGGACAAAACTCTCTTGGTTTATAATAAAAATAAAATCAAAGTTCTATGTCTGTTATCAAAAAGCGCTAAAAGAATAGAAAAAGTAAAATTTTTTGTCAATGATCAAACAGTTTCTCATTAGTTACATTGTATCGAAGTTAAATTTTGGCGCTAATTTGATTAAAATCCTTGATAAATTTCAGCGATTAATGTTCAGAAGGATCAATTTTTCCCCTTGAGCAATTGACTCAAACTTGTTTGTTCATAATTGAATAAATAAGAGGTTTGATAACAATTAAACTCCACCCATGAAGATCGTTCTTTTTGTACTCTTTAGATTAATTTTACTCTACTGTTATTCAGTATTGGTTTTGTCTCTTTAAACGAAGTGTTTTCATCTCATATTTTTACTAAATCAAAGTCTTTTAAATCAACATTTGGAAAATCAAGTAACTTCATTAAATTTTATCGAAACCGATTTCTCTGGCCATGGAACGAGAAGAACTGGCTCTATTTCCTGATGGAGTTCCTGCTGAATGGTGCTGTCCTATTAATCGTAATAATCAATTGATTAATCTCTTTCTTTTATTGTTTTCTAGTGAAAATAAATTTCTCATTTCTCTTAGGTGCTTACGTTGTGTTGAAAAAAATAACTGGTGGCGAATTTTACTGGAAAAAGGCTGATTCACTTCGCTTGAAGACCTCGGATGATATTTTTCGCTGTTTCAAGAGAAAGGAACCTGTTGATGACAGCGATGCGTTTGTCTCAATGATTTTATCTTATGGAGACTTTGACATGTGCAATAATATTCTGGAAAAACTAAAACGATTTCGTGAGGAAATTTCCGGGTCAACTAATGAGAGTCCATCAGAAGGTTACATCGAGGAAGAGCCTGGTATGGACTTGATAATGTCTAAGAGTGAAGAATTTGTAGGACATCTTCAGGCCTCAATCAACGCATTGGAAAAGAATTTTGAAAAGATACAACGTGAAATTGATGAAATGAAAAAAATAATGGCAGAAAATACCAAGGAAATTCTCAATTTTCAAGCTAGAAAAGATGAATCAGAGTATGACCAACCAATGGATCAAGATTCTGATGGTCAAGTATATCCTCAACAGGCATTCGATTCACACTCTGTTACAAATGTACAAGGTGATAATAGCTCTGTGAACGAGAATAACAACTCATCAACGGCAAACGACCAAAATGTTTCTGATCTAATACAAGCTGAAAAATCTAATTCAACAAAAAATAGCCCAGGTAATCCCAGGCCAAAGAGGAAGAAGATTTATGGAGATAAACAGCTACTGAATTTCCTTACAACCGCCCTTGACAAAGCGCAAACAAAGGTTGGTGTCAGTGTTTTATCTCGAAAAATTTATTCTAATCAATTCAATCTTTTTATTCAGTGGGAAGAGCATCCTGAACAATTGAAACTTACGGGTACCAAATCAGAGGAGATTAAGACATTATTAACTTCGCCACAACGAGATATATGTGAATTTATGAATCAAATCGCAGAAATTATTTACTCGGAAGACTCATTTCTCAATATCAATGAACCTGGAAAAGTGATATTAAATTCAGAGGGTAAAGCTAAAGTAAAAAGAATTTTTTCGTTAATCAACAACAGAACAATTAAGGATAATTTCGAAAAAATGGTGGAAATAATAAGTTCTCACGGAGGCCAGTTTTACAAAAAGAAACTAATAAAAGCAACTGTGTCCTTTGGGCCAAATCATAACGACACGGAACAAGCCAGGATAAATGGGAACTCTTATTTTGACCAAGAAATTTCTGAGCAAAAGGGACAGAAAAAAGTCAATTTCAAGCGTGAAAAAGTCGAAATCGCAACATCCACGACCAATGACAGTAATGATCATCCTGGAGCGAGTCTTGACCCACCACACGAAGAAAACATTCAAGGAACTGACTCGGACAATGAAATATCGATAATAGAACCTACGTTACTCTGAGTACATAAAGACGAAAATATGAATCCAACTTCGCTAAGATTGTCACCAGATTCATTTCCTGACTACGATTATTTACAATTACAATATTAATTTTTTACGCTTTTTGCAATACAGAGATTTAATTTCATCAGAAAAAAATTATAACGATATTAATCATTTTCTAGCTTCAAATACTCTAAAATTTTAATTTCCAACCAAACTTATTAACAATGTAAAACTTTTTTTAACATTTATTTTGAAAACTTTTTAGACAATTTATATAATCAAATATTCTTTATCAATAAAATTAAAGAGCTCAAATATCATTGTAATTTTAGTTTATACAGAAAAAGACTGAGTTTGCAATCGTAACAATTTATTGCGATCTTTTATTTACAAATATATTGAAATGACCATAATCAAATGTTTGTCTAATAATTTATTGATATTCGTTTGATGAGGTATAATTAGAAGATCGTAAAGGAGAAGAACGAGACCATAAGTTGACACAAGAAAATATATGATCATGTTTTTTTATAAGAATAAAATTCTGCCCGAAAATTGATTAGATAAAATGAGAAAAATCAATTGAAAAGATTGATCAGTTCATTAATTTTCATTTCTTGAAGAAATTTGAATTTCGCGCTCGAAACGACTAACTAACTTTAACTTTTATCCTTGAGAGATAATTTTTCGTTGCTATGGTTTCTCATTATTTCATTCAACTTATTATTTAGAAATTCAATTTCAATTAGTGATATTGATTAACTTATAAATCTGTGTGTGTTTTTCCCTATTCATCCCTCTTAGCATCGTCATGACATCTCAAGAGACGCCGATTAATGGTCATTACCAACAAATTGATTGTGATTGGTCTTTGCCCTATTCATGTGAGTTTATTAATCATAAGAGTTGAATTTTTTTCCACCGATTTACTTGATTAATTTTAGTTGTTAATTGTTTTATTTTATTGATTAGCGGCGTATCTTGTTATGCAAGAGATTGGCGATGGTCCTTTTTACATTGAGAAAGCTGATAAAGTGCAACTGAAAACATCAACTTTGTATTTTTCGTTCCATGACAACAAAGAAATCATGTATGTGAAGGAGGGAGAAAAAGTTGTATCGTTTATAAAACTATACGCTAACGAGATTGATTGTAAGAAAGGGTTGATTGATTTGAAACAATCTCGAAGTGAAAGGTTGGAGCTTGATCAACCGTTGGACAATACACCTAAGGAAACTTCCGATGGTCAAGTACCTTGTCCTCAGCAAGTCAACCCACCAAGTGCTACAAATATACAAAGTGAAAGTAACTCACCAAAACCGACTTGTAGTGAAACAAAAAAGAGAAAAAGTCAAACTGATTCCGAGCAGAAAAGCAAGAAAAAAACCAATACAAATACCAATGAGCGAGTTGTAATCAACTCACAAAGTGTCACAAATACCCAAGAAGATGGTAACTCGTCTAATTCTAATGACAGTCCGACAATACCAGAAAACGCTGAAAGAAAGACCAAGACAAAGAAGAAGAAAAAATTGAGTGTTGAATCTAAAGTTTTGGAAGAATTATTTAAATTTCACCTAACTAAAGCTCGTCAAAAGGTTAGTGTATATATTTGACTAATTAATTATTCTAATTCTATTTCAATCTTCTTTTTCAGTGGTCAAGAAGCCCTGAGTCACTGGTGATCAATGATGAAAATTCAAATGCAATTAAAGAGCTACTATCGGACTGTTCAATTACAAAAGTCACCAAAATAGTCAATAGATTGGCGGTTCTCATGTTTAGTGAAGAAAAACTTACCAAGAAATGGTTAAGTGGAAACAAGAATACGAAAAATGTGGTTATAAATTTGGACGATCAAAAAAGACTCAAGGAAATTCTGATGCTCATTCATTCAGTTTATACAGATGAATTCTTTTTCACATTGATCAAGAACAAAATTATTACGCATGGACGTCATCTCGCAGACAAGTACAAAAAAAGAAACGAAACTGGAACAACTGTGCCCAAAGAACTAGCATCGACATCGACATCAACATCGACGGCGACAACAACAACACCAACACAAATACCAATACCAATACCAATACCAATACCAATACCAATACCAACACCAACACAACCACAACCACCACCACCGCCAACAGCTACAGCAACAACATCAACAGCTCATGACAACAATGACCAGCGGGGAGTAAATTCTGACTTAGTAAATATAAAAATGGAAAACAACAATCAAGAAATTGATAGCGATAGTGATTCGGATAACGAAGTATCAATAATACACGAAGAACCCATTCCAAGTACACTAGGACGGAATTTTTCGTTTAAACAGTCACCGAAAGCATCTCACGACGATGATCACTTAACAGCCTAGACATTTTAAGAATATTTCTCGTTACAAAAAATATTCATAAAATGACCGAAAAGGAAAATCGTAATCCAAAACTAAGTTAATCTACTAAATTTAATTCATTTTCTACCTTCAGATGATTCTAAGTTTCATTTGAAGTAAAACTTATTTTTCCAATTATAAAATTTATTATTATTAATAGATAATCAATTATTTTTTTTCTCGTTATAATAGTCGAAAACAAGTATTAAATTGTAATCATTTGTAAATTGTAATAGTTTACACACCCAAAGACTTGAATTTGTACCAATTTGTAAATCGCTTGCGAAAGTGATAGTTATCAATTCAAAATGAGTGTTGAAATGTATTTTCATCCACAATATTTATCATCGTCTTTGGATTAACTTTATCTATTGATAAAAGCATCCAAGTTAATGACTAACAAACTGATACAAACTCAAAGTTTTACTGTAAATATTATTAATATTTGCCTTACTTGCTAATCAATTTTGTAAAAGATCATAAATGCTTTGTTATTTTTTTGTAATTTTGTGTCAAATTAAACAGTAAACAATAAGTGTATTTGCCTTTTGTTGCTAAATTTGATTTTAATTTAAAGATTTTTTTTGCCATCGATGGTAAAAGATTTGCTATCGCTTCAGAGAAATCCGCTATTCTCAGTTATCAGTCATAACCACTTAACTGTCAATAACAAGTAAGTGCTTGTAAGTCCATGCTAATGGCAAGCACGAGCCATTTATTAATCACATTGTTTGCCTCAAAGTTTTATTCTAGATAATCTCTAACTAAGTTTGTATCGTTCAAGAGCATCACTTCGAAACTTTTCCAGGTCAGTAGCAACCCAATCGAAAAAAGTTTCTATTTAATATTCTCAAATATCGATTCACCAAACGAAATGAAGTTAAAACCTCGCTTATCAGCTGATGAAGAACCGATAGTCGATATCAGAATATCGACTTGTCCAAATGTACCGGTCAGAGAGGGTGCGATCAGTAATATTGGTGGCTATCCATGCTGTATATATGTATTGACCGTGCATTAGATTTGATATCACTTGTTTGCAAAGCTACAAATCTATCAATCTTATTGTTAGTCACGAGTGAATCTCCTTTGAACTGTTCAGAGAAAGTATTAATACTTTTGGCATTGAGTCTAATGATCTCATCAAGTAATAATCATCTTTAGTTTGATTAAAGATCGTTATGAGTTTATCGTTACCATGAACTTTGTTACAACATTTAAGAAATTTCTGTAGATTGGTAAATCAACAACGTCTCTAGCTGATCTTTTCTAGTACATCATGATTGAAATTTCCTCTAAAATTCAGTTCTGATCCGAAAACTTTTTATCAAATTTTCTGAAGAATATTGATTCAAATAAATTATCATTTTTGTTTTTCTGTTTTTGATTTAAGATTTTCGACAATCAATTGATATTACATGTATAATGAGTATCGATGAAGTTCTGTTGATTACTGGAATAATTTATCAATTGAATAGCGTTTTTTATCAATCGATCAAAGCTTTACATAGATTACATATTAAATTTGTAATCTTTTGCAATGAAATTAGAAATGATTTAATAAAAACAATTAGTTATCTAGTTGATTATTGTGAATCCAATCAAGAGTATTGATATTTTACTGATATCAAGATATTGTTCAAAGGTTGAAATCAGTTATACATATTAGTTGATGTAAAGTTAATTCAGTTGTTTGGATAAAATCAATCATGGAAAAGTTAATTGTTTTGTTTTTAGTGTTAACAGTATTCAACCAATTGGAAGCAAAAAGTAAAAACAATTGTAATGATCAATGTCAAACTAAATCATTAAGTTTATCCAAAGATGGGTCAATTGGATGTTCGGGTGCTAATTGTCTGATGGAAGCCTCGTTCAGATCAAGTCTAATCAATGGTCAGATAGTTTTCAACATTAATCTTATCGGTTATGATTATGCTTCGTTGAAAGTCCCGAGTTACACTATTGTCTTATCCGGATCAACCTATTTGACTAGATATTCATGTTTACTTGGCACTTATGGTGCTGATTCAAGCTCAGCGACAGTTACCAATGGAGGTCGGAGTTATACAAATGGTTCATCACAAGTTCGAGGTGGTAATTTATACTGTTCTTGGTATATGACTTTTACTGATGACATTTGGCCTCGTGCCGATGGAGTTAGGACTCAATTGTTCAGTGATTCTGATTCAAAGATTTCTTTTACTGTTGATGGAAAAACATTCGCTTTGGCTTCAGACATTTCCACTCTCCCCATTTACCATTTACAGTCACTCAAATGCTGCCACAAAGTTCATGGTAATGATAAATATTCGTTGGTTGTCAATCAAAACGACGTGAAAACAGAGTTTTTCATTCAAGGATTCGATTTAGATACTAATATAATCTCAGTTGAACTCGATGATTCTAACGGTAAAAAATTGGTCTTCGATTGTTACTTTGGGGATTATGATTTGAAAGGATATTTGAAAACTGACACTAATCTTGATGATATTTCGAGTCAAATATCATCGGATGTTAATGGAAAAATAGCCAAATGCTTTTGGTCAATCCCAATCCTGATTCGAGAATCGTTTTCAACTTATGATACTAAAAATGGTGTTTATGATTTAAAAATATCATCTGATGGTGAAATCGCTTATACAGAATCCAATTTATCTTTAAAAAACTTTGGTTTAACAAAAATTCCCAATTTATTGATGATTTTTATTCCGATTACAATTCATCTAATGATAAACTAATTTTTACACTCAAATAAAATTTTAATATTAAACTTAATCAACTGATTGATTTTTCCAATTTCGGGCTAATCTATGAATAATATTTTCGGATTTTGATTAGGAAAATTAATTTTTTGAATAGATTGACGTTATATTGATGGTTATCAAATCCACCCGTTTATTAATACAGAGATAATCATAATCAAAATACTGGTTGATGATAACAATTTAGGCGATGAATTTTTCAATGTTATACCTTTTTCTGTGTAAACAATAACGTTGTCCGCTGTTACCTGAAGATCATAAACACCATTGGTTGTATCGTATCGACCAAATGAACTTTCCAAGGCCAAAGTATGAGACCACGAACACTTGTTTTCGGATAAGTACGTTGAATAGAGCTGATCAGATATGGACCGAGATGAGGCTCCCTTCATAATTGTACCTTGAATGTAATCATTTGCCAAATCACAAGTGAACAGTAATTGTATCTGATTCGAACCAGTTAATAAAATCGATATTTTCGACATTTTCGAACCGATTTTTTGTACAGAATATTGGTCATCTTTTGGTGATTGATTGAAAATGACCATGAATTCATCGTTACCATGAACCTTATTACAGCATTTAAGATACTGTAGATGATAGATTGGTAATTCTTTTATGTCATTGGCTACCATAGTACCGACCTTATCATCACCGTATTGAAGTAAAATTTGATAATTGGGATTAGCTGTAAGATCGGCGATAACCAACCAAAAAGGATATTCTGCATCTCGTTTGGTAAATGTCCAAGTACAGGATAGAACATTATTTGAGTAATAAGATGATCCACTTGAAAATTCGTTGAAAGATGAAGATGAACCAGTTTTTACATGTCCTGATGTAGAACCAAGAGCTGATTTGTAACAAGAATAAGTAGTAAGATATTGTGTTGATGTTGAATAAGGTGTTTGAAAGGTGAGCGATATTGTTTTATCTTCAGTCGATTTGATTCCTTGGCCAGTTAAAGTAAATCCAATTATTTCGTCACCGCGATTCTGTTGTCTCACAAACCATTTAGCAGTAACTAAATTATTCTTGGAGCAATTACTTGACCCATCGGATGAAAGACAATAAGTTTTGGTTAAACATTGGTCGTTACAATTATTATGACCTTTGGCACTTATCAAGTTGATTGGGAGAATTACCAAAAGAATAGTTAATAAGTTCATGATTTACGATGAAAAAGATGTGAAAATTAGAGTGTTAAACGTATGAATAAACAAAATGAATCAAATGTATCTCTCTTTACATTTTTAATCTCATATTTGACTTGCAACTTTCTGTGAAACAATGATGAGCAAAATAAATTATGATACATGTAGTTGTGGTGATTAATCTCACCAATTGTAATTGATAAGGTTGAAAATAATAATCTACCAGATAGATTCATTAGTAATTTTTTCAGTGGAAAAAGATAATCGAGATTTACTTGATTAAACCCAAAGTGAGCTCAATTGGTGTTGATGGATTTTGAGATGAGATTTTCAATCATTTCGACTGCTTTTTCTCTGCTTTTAGTTGATCTCATAGAAAGAGCGATTTCTTTAATCTTTCTGGTCATCTCTTGATCATTTAGCGTTTCTTCAACTGCATTTGAAACAATTTTTTCATCTAAATTCCAAGTGTCTAATCGCCTTCCAATACCACAATCAACCACTCGTTGAGCATTATCGAACTGATCGTAAAAATAAGGCATCACAATTAAAGGTTTACCGAAGTAAATTGTTTCGAGGAAAGTGTTATTTCCACCATGGGTTATGACCATATCGACGACTTTTATAACCGCGATTTGATTGACGTAGTTTTGGCCCCACATGTTTGGTGGTAACTCGATCTCATCACCTTTCGGTCCTTTGGATACGATGAATCGATGTGGTAGTTTAGAGAGTACATCAATGATTTGTCTCATTAACTCGACATCAGCTGATCCTAATGATCCAAGAGAAAAGTAAATTAACTTTCCAGGTAAAGAAGCGATTGATTTTGGTATGACGAATTCACTTTCTTCGTCGGGCTTACGAATTGAAGCATCAATTCGAAACCATTTACCCGCAGGCTCTTTAGGTCCACATTCATTGTAATCAAGACCTTCAGGGTAATGATAGAAACCAAAATATTTCGGATATCGATTAACAAGCCAACATTCTTCTGGTAAGACGGGAACGTTAAAAGATTCCCACCATGAATACAGTTTCTCTTTGAAACGAATACAAGCTGAATCATAGATCTCTTTGAACTTTCGAGCTTTTTCTTTATCAACATTCACAGGGTATCCAGAGAAAGGAGGTGGACCTTGAGGGTAAAAACACACTGGGTTAAGTGCTACCAGGGGTATGAATGGTATTGGCGACCTAATCAAAGCTGGAAATTGGGTTTCAAAATCACCAACTATTACATCAAATGAATTTTTGTTTTCATCGAGAATCTTTTCTATTGCTCTATTAGTTACAAAATAATCATCAGCAATAGATGCGAATATCTCTTTATCTTCATCAGTCCAACCTTTGTATCGTTCAAGAGCATCACCTCGAAACTTTTCTAAATTATTAGCAACCCAATCGACAAAAGGTCCTGGTTGAAAGTTCTCAAATATCGACTCATCGAACGGAATAAAATAAAATCCTCGTTTATCAGCAAGTTTCTTGTGATGAACACGTTGAGTGAAGGTCACTTCATGTCCAGCCTCAGATAAAATCTCACCAAATCCAAGGGTGAAATTAATGGTTCCAAAACTGAGAGTAAAAAGTAGAATGAGAACAATAAAAAACAACACAAAACAATTCGTTCTTATTAATATTCAAAGGAAATGATACTCACGCATCAATAGATGATATTAATATACGATATTTAGGTTTTGTTTTAGTTTGTGACATTGAAACAGTTTTAATTAATTAATTGTTAGAAAACGAGTGGATTATAAACCAATGAATCGCTCGAGCGGCAGTAGATGAATGAATATATTCACAAATCAGAAAGTGAGTCTAATATTGTTTCAAAAGTGCAACATTGATTAATAAAAGATTCGGTTCACACCTTTAATTAATCAATTTATATCTTAATTGTTGATGATATAAATAATCTTAATCTATTGAGCATAGAAACAGAATATTTGATCCATAATAACTAAGCGATTTAATTCTGATCAAAGGTTCATATTTTATATCTCTCATTAAAACTAATTTTATAACAAGAGATAATTAAGATTAATTTAATTAAAGAGTCAAAGCAACAAAATGCTTGTAACTATTGATACAGACCATGGATGTCTTAATCAATTGATAATCTCGGTAATTATATCGTAATCACATCGAAAACTCTAAAACAATTAAGACAATCAAAGCACAATTTTCAAATATTATTTTTATTTTGTTTGAATTCAGCGGTTAACTCAATTTCTTAACAATTGTTTTCACTCATCTAAGATCTTAACCCTTGGATTTGGTGAGATTTTAGCTGAGGCTGGACATGAAGTGACCTTCACCCTTCATCTTGAGAAACTTGCTGATAAACGAGGATTTAATTTTATTCCGTTCGATGAATCGATTTTTGAGAATATTTTAACAGTACCTTTTGTCGATTGGGTTGCAATTTGCAAATAGTTTGGACAAACTTTCACTGGACAAATGCTTGGTGGACTTCACATGAAATGCCTTTACAGCCAATTGAAAGACACTTTCTCGTCAATCTTGATTAATTTGGTTTCTATAACTACCTGGAAGGTCTCGATTACAAAAGAAGTGGACCTAAAGAGCCTGCGGGTAAATGATTTCGAGTTGATGCTTCGATCCGGAAGCCTGACGAAGAAAGTTAATTAATCATAATTTTGATGCCTTATTTTTACGATAATGGTCAATGGGTGGTTGAGTTGTGGTATCGGAAGACGATTAGATACTTGGAATTTAGATAAAAAAATTGTTTCGAATGCAATTTTAGAAACGCTAAATGACCTTCCTGGCCATTGCCAGGAAGATCAAAGAAATCGCCCTTTCACGAGATCAACTAAAAGTCGAGAAATTTCAAGTCTGAAGAATAACAAATAAATTGTAATCAATGCTAAAATGTTTTGGCAAACTGTTCGAGCGAAAAGTAACCTGGAATTGCGTAAATCGCCTTAATGATTTACCAATACAGTTCTAATCTCTGTTCAATTGTCCAATCATTTAAATATTAGATAAATTCATTAGCTGATAGATTTGTTTCTAGTAAATCAAAAGTTTTCGTTAGTTCAGAAGGATAAGTAAGAAAAACTTGATCATATGCTCTTTATCGCAAATTATAAGTGTTTTGTTGTTGCACTATTCTCATATTTATCAATTATCTCGTTAATTATTAATTATTAGCGTAACCAGTCCAAATTTAGACCAACTATCACCTCTTCCGTTGTATTTTGCTAATACTATTCGTTAGTTTCAAGGAAGATGAAGATGATGGAGCAGCTTCTCTACAATGATACCAAGATAATCTATGAAATCGACTACTTATGCTCGTACGAAAGCTCTACCTAAAAAGATATAAGTTTAATCGCAATTATGATCTTCTCTCCATTAGTACTAATGGCTAATGATTATAAATATTAACCTTTGATCAGAACTAAATCGCTTTATTAGAGTTTAAGATTATTTATATCATCAACAATTAAGAATGATTAGTTAGAGTGCACTGAACAATCTAAAAATAACTTTCTGGTTTGTGATATATTCAATCACCTGCCATTCAAGCGATTCATTGGTTTATAAATCACTTGTTTTCCAACAACTAATTAATTAAAACTGTTTCAATGTCGCAAACTAAAACAAAACCTAAATATCGTATATTAGTATCATCTATTGATGCGTGAGTATCATTTCCTTTGAATATTAATATGAATAAAATCCTTTGTGTTTTTATTATTCTCATTCTATTTCATTCTATTGTTTTACTCTCAGCTTTGGACACATTAATTTCACCCTTGGATTTGGTGAGATTTTAGCTGAGGCTGGACATGAAGTGACCTTCACTCAACGTGTTCATCACAAGAAACTTGCTGATAAACGAGGATTTAATTTTATTCCGTTCGATGAGTCGATATTTGAGAACTTTCAACCAGGACCTTTTGTCGATTGGGTTGCTAATAATTTAGAAAAGTTTCGAGGTGATGCTCTTGAACGATACAAAGGTTGGACTGATGAAGATAAAGAGATATTCGGATCTATTGCTGATGATTATTTTGTAACTAATACAGCCATAGAAAAAGTTCTCGCTGAAAAACAAAGTTCATTCGATATTATAATTGGCGACTTTGGAACACAATTTCCAGCTTTATTCCGCTCTCCAATACCATACATACCCCTGGCAGCACTTAACCCAGTGTGTTTTTACCCTCAAGGTCCACCTCCTTTCTCTGGATACCCTGTAAATGTTGATAAAGAAAAGGCTCGAAAGTTCAAAGAGATCTATGATTCAGCTTGTATTCGTTTCAAAGAGAAACTGTACTCATGGTGGGAATCTTTTAACGTTCCCATCTTACCAGAAGACTGTTGGCTTGTTAATCGATATCCGAAATATTTTGGTTTCTATCATTACCCTGAAGGTCTTGATTACAAGGAATGTGGACCTAAAGAGCCTGCGGGTAAATGGTTTCGAATTGATGCTTCAATCCGGAAGCCTGACGAAGAAAGTGAATTTGTCATACCAGAATCAATCGCTTCTTTACCTGGAAAGTTAATCTACTTTTCTCTTGGATCATTAGGATCAGCTGATGTCGAGTTAATGAGACAAATCATTGATGTACTCTCTAAATTACCACATCGATTCATCGTGTCCAAAGGACCGAAAGGTGATGAGATCGAGTTACCACCAAACATGTGGGGAGAAAATTATGTCAATCAAATCGCGGTTATAAAAGTCGTCGATATGGTCATAACCCATGGTGGAAATAACACTTTCCTCGAAACAATTTACTTCGGTAAACCTTTAATTGTGATGCCTTATTTTTACGATCAGTTCGATAATGCTCAACGAGTGGTTGATTGTGGTATCGGAAGACGATTAGACACATGGAATTTGGACGAAAAAGTTGTTTCAAATGCAGTTGAAGAAACGCTAAATGATCAAGAAATGACCAGAAAGATTAAAGAAATCGCTCTTTCTATGAGATCAACTAAAAGTCGTGAAAAAGCAGTTGAAATGATCGAAAATCTAATTTCAAAATCCATCAACACCAATTGAGCTTATTTCTAAATTTACGTTCGCTGTCAAATCAATTTGAATATTAACTAAGTATGAATATCGTTGTTTTAATCGTGTCAGGGTTAATCGAACCTGTAAAATTCATGAGTTATTTTATCCATATAATAAAAATACAGTTAATTTATTTATAAAACCTCTAAATTATGAATCTTTTATTCGTGTTCCAATCTAGAGAGAGAGAGAGAGCTCATACAGTTAGTTTATTGTTATTCACAAAAAGTTGATTAGAATGGGAAAAAGAATCGCAATCAAATGATAAACTGTTGAGGCTCTAGATGAAGTCGAATTCATAAGTCTAACGTTGGACTCAGAATAAACGGAAACTTTATCTGAGCTGATTTGGAGATTGTAAGGAACTTTTTTAGTATCTAAATTATGGAATTCATTTGAGTCGATTAAGCCAGGTAAAGACCAAGAACAACGACGATTCGCAATCTCAGCCTTTGGTAGTTGAATTCTTGTCGATACAGTCCCATTACTAACAAAAGATGATATTTGATTATGTTTATAGTCACAATTAGTGTTTATGGTAACGTTTTTAGGATCTGTTAGTGCCACACTGACGACACTTGGTGATTCTCCAAGAATTTGTAATAGAAAATCAGTTGAATTAATTTGTTGATCAGCAATTAATGAGTAATTTGAGTTACCACGAACAATGTACCCACAACATTTGATGAATTGCATCGGATGAATCGGTAATTCCAGTAGATCATTGCTCACCTTGAAAGTTAATACTCCAGATAGAAGCCAAATTTGATAGGCTGGATCATTGGAAAGATCAACTTTACTCCTGAACTTTTGGGCCAAATAGCGTCACTTTTGGAAATAGCCCACGAACAGTATAAATTTCCATTGGTATAAATGGACGATCCTTTGGTCAAAGTGATCGAACCTTGATTGACATAAGCACTAGTTAATCCCGACTTTTCCTTAGAACACATATACGCGGTACTATCAGTTCCTTTTCTCAACATTAGTCCAATAGTTTTGACCTCCGAGACGCCCAAGTTATAGCCGATCAAAGTGAAATTAAGATATTCATCCAGATACTCTTGTTCAATTACACTGAACTCAACTTTGACCTGACAATTACCATTACAAGAGGCAGAACTGTTTCCAGGTAAACTATAACTTTTGGTTAAACATGATTTCTCACAAGCAGAATCAACGAGTTGGTAAGAGATAAAAGTAAGTACTAGAGACAACAGTTTAATCATGATAACAACAACTGAATTAGGATTGGAATTGCCTTGCTAATTGTTGTCAAGTAAATGAATAACTAATTAATGTGCACGATTGTCTTTAAAATGGAAACAGTTGTCGCTTCGTTAGGTGAGTAGGTGTCGGATTCATTAATCGAAATCCGTTCACATTAATATAATTGATTTACTAATTGCATGATGTAACTAGGGTACAACTCAATTGTCTAATTCACATCCTCTAAATTGTTTTGTAACTTTATCAATTAAAACTCGTTGGTATTGTTGTTAATCGGTTAACAATAGTTGATTACACGTTTTGCTAATTGTTTTGATTTGACAAATTGAAATTAATTGGACACAATCTTACGATTCCATTTGTATTTCCTTTTGGGTGAAAAAATCGTCAAGCTAATAAACGATTAAATTCATTTTTATGCAGAAAAACTAAATTATTATTATTAATTAAAACTTAATTGATTGTCAAATGAACAACAATAGAGATGATAAACTTTATGTGTCTCTTTTTCCGACACATTAAGACTTGGAAATGGTCTTGAAATTTGGCACTTTCACTATTTCACATGAACCATTGGTTATGTTTACTGAGAATTGGTGTTACGATTTATACAGAAGTTATTGAAGAAATGAATACCGACGAATGAAATTGGAAAATTAGATCAACAGAAATTTAATTGTAATAAGAGTTAAAACAACTATTGAATTCGATCTTCTCATGGTACCAAATCCTTGCGGTACATTAATAAAACGTTGTATTGGTACTTTGGGCTCCGAGGGAATGACGATAGCTCGTTTGGTGTTGAAATTGTTTTTCCATTTTTCCAAATTCTTGTATTTTACTATTTTGTAGCCGTTTGAAGTTTCAGTTGAAAAACGTCCACAAATCATCGAGGACTTTGGCCTACATTGAGATGGTTCGATGTATGCAGTTACGTGTTTTGAGCTTGTTACTCCGTTTATCGTTGAAAGCATAAGTTTCAAATATCCTCTGAAAAATTTGCTCGATACTATACAATCAAAGAGATATTGAACACCATCAGTGCCAACGAATTCAGATGACAGCACCATAGGCTTTGAACGGGAACCTTCAATATAAATGGAGGTTTTCCTTGAGCTGTAAGTGAATATCACTTGATCACCATCTTGGTCTTTAGGACAACATTCAGGCGATCGGAATATATTTCCAGAAAATCCATTGAATTTCGAATCGATAAAATATCTTTGATCGTCAACAATGAAAGAAATATTTGAATAACTTTCGTTCCATGGTTCATCGATATCTCTATATTGTCTATTATCCAATTCACTCAAGTACCATGAACAAAATAAAGGAATATTATCATCTTTCTCGAATACTGACCCATTCGAACGGTTGTTGTTTCTATTTTCAACTTGAGCATCATAAGTACGAGCACAAGTATATTTACTTTCGGATGTAATGGTAGACAAGATGACAGAATAAGTAGAATTTTTAAATGGGCTATTACCATGACCATAAGCGAATATATTGACGTTAAGAATGACCTCACCATCAATACGATTAGACCCGAATGAAGCTTCCATTAAACAGTCATCACGAGAACATCCGATTGTCCCATCTTTTGATAAACCATATGATTTAGTTTCACAAGAATCGATACAATTGTTTTCAATTTCATTTGAAATCTCCAATTGAGAAAATACTGTTGTCAAAACACAAAATAAAAGTAAAACAATTGATCTACTCATTTTCGTAATTTAACTCGAACAACCAAATCAAGAAGACTAATCATAATTTAGATATTAATATTTATCGTTCAGCCACATAATTAACTTACAATTTTTCCCTCATAAAATCACATCGACACCATTAGGAATATCAGTTGATAAAGTTAAACTTTCTCAACAAAGTTTATTTAGCTCACTTTTTTTTCATTCAAAAGGATTGTCCTAATTAACATGTCACATCTAATCGCAATGGTAATGGAAATTACAATTGTTTATTTAATCAACTTGGATTTACCCAAAGAAAATCAGTTCATCTGAAACTTTATCAATGAATAATAATCACTGGGGTATAAATACTCATTTAAAGCTTTGTCATGTTGAGGACTTTGAGAGACTTTTCTTGATTCATTCTGCTTTTTTCACCGACTTTCAGCTGGAATTACATGAGTTTATGAGTTTAATTGGCTATAAAATGTAATACAAAAGTAGAAAGAATCAAAATTAGACTTGAAATAGTCTTGGAAGCAAACCCTTTCAAAGGTATATTGTTTTCTGTGAAAACGATTTCAGAATCAGCTGATATCTCCAAATCGTAAACACCATTTGTAGTATCATAAGTGGAAAATGATCCTTTGATGATTAAAGGTAACGACCAAGAGCATTGAGTTTCTTCAATGAAAGAAGTTGACATTAGTTGACTACTAATGTCATCAACCAAAGCTTCAGTTTTGAGATAACCTTTGATAGATTTTGTTTGTTGATAACAATCAAAGATTAACTGTTTCCCATTATAATCAGCGAGTGAAGCTGATAAAATGTAAGGACTCGAGTCAAATGTTTGCATGAAAAAGTTAGTCTGTTTATCATTTTGATCAACAACCAGTTGATAAACATCACTACCATAAACCTTGTAGCAGCATTGAAAAAATTGCATATGATAAATTGGAAGGTCAACCGGACTTGGAGCAATAGCAAACACCTTACTGTCCACTTCGAACATTATCTTCATGTTTCGATCACTTTGAAAAGTCGTCTTGACTCCGTCAAATTTAGGCCAAATATCACTTGCATAGACCATATACCAGGAACAGTAGAGGTTTTTCTGGTTAATTTGGGTCGATCCGTTTACATAAGAAACACCATCATTCGTGACTTGAGCGTCACTTGCACCAAATGCTGTGGTGAAACACGAATATTTACTTTGAGAATCTCCGTTGGTCAGAATAACGGAAAAGGTTCCCTCTTTAAGGGAAGCGAAATCATAACCAATGAGATTGATGTTCAAAACTGTTTCACCGTTAATTAGATGAGCTTTAAATGAACCTTCCATTAAACAATTAGCACCCGAACATCCGATCAGCCCATCTCTGGTTATACTGTACGATTTGGTTTGGCAGGACTCGTTACACTTTTCACCACTTTTGGCCTGTGTCCATCCAAATGATGGTAACAAAATCACCGTTAGTGAAACAATTAGGCTCACCATTTCGGATAACTATAAAATTGATGTTGGTACAATTGTTATGATTAATGACTATCACTTTTAATTGTTACATGATCATAATTTTTTGTGTGTCATGCACAAACTCAGTTAGATAAATTAATTAAAACAATTAGTTTTCGATAGAGCCGATTAAGGACCATTTTTGTTTATCGACTTTGCTTGTTTCATCTTTAATTGTTCTGATCGTAACCAAATCGAACCTCAAGAAAAAGAAACCAATTTATTTAGATCTTTAATTTCATTAGATTTAATTTGTAAATCATTAATTTCTTTCAGTTAAATAATAAGATTACAACACACAAAAAATAGGAGTTTTTTCATCAAACAAAATGACGAAATACTTGATAGTCATAACTGATCATATGAAACAATTGACTAATCCACAAGAGATTAGTGAAGAGATTAAGTTTTATCTTGATTATCTAATTTGCGTATTTTCAAGTAATCAACCAGATTATTAACCAGAATTCCATGGTGATTATCAATTGTATAATCTAAAATAAGTAAATCACCTTGATTTCTAAGCTTGTTATTGCGAAAACAAATTCTATCTAATCTTGTTTTTCTTTAAATCAAGATAATCAATCAATCAAAATAAACTACAATGTAAAAATTACACAACCTCACAATAATTAATCGTTTATAATCAATTGTAAAAGTTTATTTGAACAATTTACCCACAATTAGATAAATTGTTTCAGCTGTAAACTGTGATTTGTATCGATGTGTTTTCTTTGCTAACTTAATCTCGATCTTGCAATTAATTGTTACTCTGATTATTTTTACCCATTGACCTTTAATTTCATCGTCTCAATGACAATGAGATGAATGAGTTGTTATTGAGCGAGATGATTTTGTGACGGTCAAAAACTATTACCTGCATGATAATTAATTGAGTTGACGTTGATTAACAAAAAGATGAGTTGATTATAAAGTCTCAGAATGATGTTCAGTTTAATCCAGTAATCAATATTTATTCCTCTTGTTCTGTTTTCTAAATTGTAATCTAATAAGTTAATCAACATGAAAGTTATCATTGCTTTTTGTCTCATCGGTTTTGTCGCAGCCCAAAGCGGTGGCTGGTCACCAGTTTCCGTTAACAATCCTGAGGTCGTCAAGGCTGCTTCAACAGCTATTAATTACCACAATCAAAATTCCGATAATCCAAATTACAAGAAACTTGTAAGTATCAAAAGTGCTGAATCTCAAGTCGTCTCTGGAACAAACTATGCTCTCAAATTGAATATTCTTGAAACCGAATGTCCAAAGGACGATGTTAACTCAATTAAATGCTCTCCTTCATCTAAAGTAAGTGTATTTACAATTTAATCGTATTTATTTATCGTGATTTGAACAATCTCTTATTCGATTTGAATCTTTTTTCACAGAGCATACCAGAAGAATGTGACTACGTTGTTTATGTCCCACTCAATTCTAATAAAGGTGAAGTGACCAGTAATTCATGTAGTTCCAATCACTCCTACGAATCCAGTCAAAGTCAGTGATTTTAATCAACTCTAATAATCAATAAACTTTTCTGTCCATTCATTTCTGTATTATATTGCAATTTACTATATGAAACTTGAATAAGTTGAAACGGCGATTTGTAAATCAATTTCAAGTTGAACGGAATCAAATAAATTGAATTGATTTGATCAAAATGTTGATTTTGAACCGTTTTTGTTTGAGTTAATGAGAGTTGAAACTGACAAAATCTCATTGGAACAATTAAGTTGATTTTTCTTTCGATCAAATTAAATCAATTCAGTCGGCAAACTATAACATTGTGAACAAAAAAAACTATTGTTTCCCACTAGAAATCATCATAACGTGCCAATTTAATGATACTTGTTTTCAGTGAAAATATTGAAATTTGAGCGAGAAAAATATCAGAAATTGATATCAATGAATCATGAAGGGATTAATTGATAATCATTCATATTAATAGTTGTGCGAATCAGCTGATGGGTGTTTCACATCCGTAATAGTTTCTGGTGCATTTTTCACTGGAATTTAGTTGATATAATATACAATTTTTTATTCGAAATGATTATTTCGTGAGCCGATTCCATCGCTCATCTGACCAATTGAGGCTCGACTTAATCAGTCCACTTTTATCACATTATCGCTTCAAATCGGACCATGGACAGTCATAACTATAAACTGTTGATTACTTAAAAATATGAAAAGTAAAATTTCATAATATGCATAGGAAAAGGCCAAGTAGTCATCTATCGAATCCGTTTAAGCCAAAATAAAGTTTTTGTCCAAACATTAAAACGATAAAAGTAATGTAAAAGTTTTTGATGCTCAATGAGGAGCATGAATTTTTCAAAGTGACCTCATTTTCCTCATAAACAACGACATTGCCAAAAATGATCTGCAAATTGTAGACATCAGTTGGTAATTTCAATATAACTGAACTACTGTAGAGGTGCAATAACGTGGACCAAGAGCAGCTCGAATCAGCAATGTATTGAGAAACAATTTGATCATTAATTTTGGTCTCATTTTTTTCATCGATCAATTTAGCATTGAGAGTAACCGTTGCAAAAAGACACGAGAAGAGTAATTGATTTCCGTAACGATTTTTAAGAGATATCGTTGTGGCCAATGGATTAGAGTCAAATATATGGACCAAGAAATTGATGCCGTTTTCTGCTTCGGCGAAAGTAAATAAATATTTATCTTTTCCGTGAACTTTGTTGCAACAATAAAGAAATTGCAATTGATAGATTGGTAAATCACTTGAATCCTGAGCGACAATCGAAGCCACTTTATCATATCCAAGAGATATTTGGTACAGTTTATCGTCGATAAGTTTAGCAGGTTCACCTTTCAACATGGGCCAAGTTGAATCGTACATGGAAAAGATCCAAATGCAGGATAAAGTTCCGTCTGAATAGTAAGATGATCCACAGATAGTTGTTGAATTGGAATCTTTTTGAAAGACATCGGACTTGGTTGCACCAAGAGACGATTTGTAACAAGAATAAGTAGTTTGGCCTATCGTTGGTGCTTTTAGCGCTTTCAAAGTTAAAGAAATGCTCAGTTCACTGGTAGAATCAATTCCATATCCTAACAGGAGTAAACGAAGTCGATCATATGATCCTGGTTGTTGAATTACGCTAAATTTTGCTCGAACTTTAACTTTTCCCGAACAGTCATTTTTACCATCAACTGAAAGACAATAAGTTTTACTCAAACAATCATCAGTACACGTGGACATTTCCCTTGGTTGAACTACACTCACTATAAGAGTCGTTATTACAAATACAATTAACATCTTCAAATAGAATCACAATTATTAATACATATTAGATTTCGTGCTAATTGAATTAATAAACAATCAATTACGACGAAACTTGAAGTGCTTCATAATTAGATTGAACTAAATTCAGCAAGTGCTCAATTAAAACGATTATATCTGCTAATGAATTTACTAATTGAACAACAATTTATCAAATTTTATTGAGTTAATCATTACAACGATAAATCATTTTCAGGGTTACTTTTTGTTCCAATAATCAATTAACTAGAAATCAGATTTTCGAAAACGCCTTTGAGATTTCAGTTGAAAAGTGAATGGAAACTGGTGGTTTATTTGTTATTCTTTAGACTTGATATTAGATTTTCAATAAATAATTAATCTCATGGAGAGAGCGGTTTCGGTCATCTCTCTGGTTATTTAGTGTTTCTTCAATTATATTTAGAAAGATTTTCTCAGATGAATTTTAAAGTCCTAATTGTTTTCAAATCAACAACATGCTGATGATTTTATTTGAATTTAAACTAAGAGTTGTTTTTAATGGGTGATTAAATTGTTGTTCTTTAGATCTGATATTAGGTTTTCGATCATTTCAACTGCTTTTTCACGACTTTTAGTTGATCTCATGGAGAGAGCGATTTCTTTAATCTTCCTGGTCATCTCTTGATCATTCAGTGTTTCTTCAATTGCATTTGAAACAATTTTCTCGTCTAAATTCCAAGTATCTAATCGTCTTCCGATACCACAATCAACCACTCGTTGAGCATTATCGAACTGGTCAAAAAAGTAGGGAATTACAATCAAGGGTTTACCGGAGTAAATTGTCTCGAGGAAAGTGTTATTTCCACCATGGGTTATGACCATATCGACGACTTTTATGATCGCAATTTGATTGACGTAGTTTTGTCCCCACATGTTTGGTGGTAAATCAATCTCATCACCTTTAGGTCCTTTGGACACGATGAATCGATGTGGTAGTTTAGAGAGTAAAGAAATTATTTGTCTCATTAACTCGACATCAGCTGATCCTAATGATCCAAGAGAAAAGTAGATTAACTTTCCAGGTAAAGAAGCGATTGATTCTGGTATGACAAATTCACTTTCTTCATCAGGCTTCCGGATTGAAGCATCAATTCGAAACCATTTATCCGCAGGCTCTTTAGGTCCACATTCCTTGTAATCAAGACCTTCTGGGTAATGATAGAAACCAAAATATTTCGGATTATCTATGAAAAAATTTTTGATTGAAAGTAAAGGTACTTCATGTGAAGTCCACCAAGCATATAACTTTTCAATGAATTTGGAACAAGCAGATTCATAAGTCTGTTCAAACTCTTCAGCTTTTTCTCTATCGACTTTCTCAGGGTAACCGGAAAACTGAGGTGGACCTTGAGGATAAAGACACACTGGACTGATTGATAATAATGGAATATATGGAATCGGCGATCGGAACAATGCTGGATATTGGGTTACAAAGTCACCGATGAAAGCGTCAAACGAATCCTTGTGTTCGTCGAGAACCTTTTCCAATGCTTGATTAACTATCTCATAGTCACCAGCAATAGATGCGAATATCTCTTTATCTTCATCAGTCCAACCTTTGTATCGTTCAAGAGCATCACCACGAAACTTTTCCAGGTTATTAGCAACCCAATCGACAAAAGGTCCTGGTTTTATATTCTCAAATATCGACTCATCGAACGGAATAAAATTGAAACCTCTTTTATCGGCAAGTTTCTTATGATGAATACGCTGAACGAAGGTCACTTCATGTCCAGCCTCGGCTAGAATCTCACCAAATCCAAGAGTACAGTTTATGTGTCCAAGTCTAGCATTTGTAAGACGCAACAAAATTACCAAAAACAATTCAAAAATTAACTTGATTAAATGAAAATGATTAATACTCACGCGTCGATAGCCGAGATTAGAAAACGATATTTGGGTTTCATTGTTGTTCTTGCAACAATTAAACAACCTAATTAAATGTTCACTTGATAGAAATAACTTCTTCAATGATTAGAGTTTCTTTTCTCAATTTTTATTAAGGCTCTTTTTATTCATAAATAATCTCACAGTTAATTGTTACTAAACTTCAACAATCAATCAATTCTTCAAAGACTAAATCATATCATTGACAATTTCCGATAAAAGTATAATCATCTCTCGAGTGACAACAATGATAGAAAAGCTTTAATTAGAAGAACACTTAACAAACTAATTAAGCCATCAGATTGAATTAAATTGATTGAGTAAAATGAAGGTCATTTTAACTCGAGTACATATTTTTTCATGGCTTAGTGATTCATAAACTCGTATCTCTACTAATTGACATTATTCAGTAGTAATTAAGCGCGAGGAATCAGTAGCACCAATGATAGTTTAATCGGTAAAAGTTACAAAAATTAGCAGCTTAAGATAAACTTGAAAATTTGAAGATTGTGGTAAAATTAAATTGACAAGTTTAAGAAAATGGAGATAATCATAATCAGAATACTGGTAATTGATAACAATTTGGATGCTGAGTTTTTCAACTTGATGCCTTTCTCAGTGTAAACAACTGAACCATCGGATATTATTTTCATATCGTAAACATCAGTCGTCGTATCGACTTTTCCAAATGTACCGGTCAGTGTGAGAGGATGTGACCAGTGACATTGACGATTAGTGTAGCTCATGTATTGATCATATAGCAGATTCGATATGTTAGTTTTTTTGGTTTGATTAGCAACAAATCCTTCAATCTTACTGTAGGTAAAGTTACAACTGAATATCAATTGCATCCCCTTTGAACTGTTCAGTGAAAGCGTTAATACTTTTGGTGTCGTGTCTAATGTTCTCATCAAGTAATAATCATCTTTAGTTTGATTAAAGATCGTTATGAATTTATCGTTACCATGAACCTTATTACAGCATTTAAGATATTGTAATCTGTAGATTGGTAAATCAGCAATGTTTTGAGCTACTAAAGCACTTTTGTTTCCTGATTTAAGCTCAAGAGTACCTCTTTTATCCTTTACCAACTCAGCAGGACGATCGTTGCTTAAAGGCCAAATTTGATCGGACTTTGAGAATGACCAAAAGCAGGTTAATACACCACTAGAGTAGCTTGAAGTGCCTTGTTTAATTACACTGGTTTTCTGAGTGACAAACGCTGTCACTCCGAAGGGTGTTTTTGAACAAGTATAATTGGTTAGAGATGACGACGAGCTGGAAAACTTATATGCCATTGATATCGACCTTGTTTCAGATTGTCCAACATTTTCCGCTCTAAGTGCCAATCCAACAAAATCATCATCATAACCTGGTCTTCCAAGCACTGACCATGTAGCCGATACCAGATTATTTCTGGAGCAATAAGCGAAGGTACCCGAAGATGAGAGACAATAGGTTTTGGTTAAACAATCGTTGTTACATTTATTTTTGGCACTAATTGGGTTGTTGATAAAGATGAGAATAGTAATCGACACTAGAAACAGATTCATGTTGAATTAATGGTTAACAATGATCAAAGCGATGACTGATTATCACATAAAATGTTGAATCTTTTTCTGGTGCTTTTATAAATCTCAATATGATTTAATTGTTTACACAGTGAATAAATGGATCTACAAGATTATCTGAGGATAAAGTCTATCCTGATTTTAATTAGCAGCTAATAATGTATTTCCTTTTTGATTGTAACCAATCATAGTCAAAACTCACTCCTATTAGATGACATTTTGCAGTCCCGATTATTATAATTACATTGAAAGGGTTTCAACTAGATTATTTATTTCACTGATTATTGAAACTAATGATTTCAGTGGAAATTTAAAGTCAAAGGTTGCGATGAATTAAATTTCCAATGAAAAATGATAATCAGTTTTCAATGAAGATCTTGGAACAATTTTATTAATAATTTTATTAATAATATCGAAATGATTTCATCCTTTATTTGTAAAGTCAAGTAATTGAATCATTGTTTTTGGGGAATTTCATTGATAATTCTGCCTACCTCTACACTCAATTCTTAGTAATAAGATGAAGGATTAGTTTTCTCTACCTTTTCCATATAATATGTAGAAAAAAGTATAAAATTACTAGAAAACAAATGAAATTAAAAATTGTCACAATCAAACTTTTCAAAAGTCCATAAATTGTTTGATTATCGGTTTGTGTCTTATTGTCCATCCGTACGGAAGGTAATTGCGTAGCTGTTTGTGTGGGCCGCTGTTCATTAGGTTCTGAATGAGAACTATCAGAATCACTTTCGGGAATGTAGCTCTCTAAGGTGTAAAGCTCGATTTGTTTCAAATACTCCAGTCGAAGCTTTTGTATGGTCACTGATCTTTTTCGAATCTCATCGAATTTGTATGGGTAAGGTGTATCATTTTCTGTAGTCGGTTTGACATATTCATCTGGTTTGAACTTTTGTAAATTTGATTTGTTGCGACGCGAAAATTCATCATCGAAAGGTCCATATTTGAAACACTTAGGCCAATCTCCAATATGAGCCATGGTATCATTCAATAGTCTTGACATGAGGACATTTTTCGGGTACTCGAATCCATAGTACCATTGGTCCATCGACTTCATTTTAAGCTGAGGCCTTAGTTTTTCGATGCGCTCAATGTCAACAAGGTATAATAATAAAGCTAATGCTGCGTCTAAAAGGGGCGAATGACTTGAATCGGGCATAATAAAGTTGAACATTAAAAAGGCACAGAATTTAAGTCCAAGTCCATCATTGGACATGCGACAATTGTAGTATGATGAAACGCAGACGATTTTGGGTAAGAGTTTCAGATGATCATCTACCGATAAAAATAAGGCTGCGAAATCAATGATCTGTCCAGAGACAATGATTCGATCATATTGTAGTAATAACTTGAAGACTTCTTTTCGAACTTGATTTAAACATTTTCCTCTTCTTGTATCTCTCGGAATTAACCCGTGTAGCTCAGTACCGAAATCCTGGTCAATTATGGCTGAATTCGGATGTCGAACAAATTCATGATAAATGATTCGCTTGGGTCGAGTCATAATAACGATCCAAACAGGAACCGTAACACGTGAACCGTCGAGCATTCGTATACGGGCCATTTCCATGTCCATCGAACATACATTCAAGCCGTGTTCTCGAAGTCGCGAGAACAGTCCATCGTTATAAATCGAAGGGCACACTGACCTTAGAAATTTTATATGTTCGATTGTTAACATTTTTTGATATTCTTCATTTCGCTTTGCTGCTCTTCTTTTCTTACAAGCAGCTGATCGTTTTTTTGGCTTTTGTTTATTAGCTGGATCCACATCCGATTTGGTGCTGGACGGCGGCTGAGTGTAAGGTTTGTATTTTCTAGATTCAATGTTCATCATAAATAAGGAGGATTATGATTAGGAACCAAATAGATTTCAATAGAAACTCCGTGAATATGGTGGCTGAACAAAGACCATAAGCCCAAGAAATAGGATCTACACTGTTGTCGGCGGAATAAACACAATTCGAAAGTTAACCATTGATAAGACTGATTACATATTCAAACAATTTGAATGATTACTAATTTGAGAAGAATTCGATGATGAATTGAGGAGTTTTTCCAGTCAACTAGAAACTCGAGAAAGTTTTAAGTTTTATAAAAAATCAAAATTTTTGTAACTATAAACAAGCATTTAGCTATCTAACTTATTAATTGATTCATTATTTACAGTTGTTGAGCAACAAGTTGTTGCTCTTTGAAATGACAGTTATTTCAAGTGCGCGAAAATATGAATTTTTTCTATTATCAGAATAATCAAATTGGTGACTTTACGAAAACGAAAAGTTTAATTCCAAATCCAATGAAAACGTCTAATGAATCCTTTATCCATTAAAAAATATTCACTATTATTGACTAATACAGTTTAATTAAAGGGGTTTTCACTTAATTCCAGACAAAAAGGGAAGTTACAATTAGAGTTTCTTACCTCGGATTAAAGGGCTTTTCCATTGACTAATTTTAAACCAAAGTGATTAATCTGACAAGTTGCAACCTTTCATCAGGGTAATAATTATAACAGCGAAAAATTTACCTAATAGGAGGGAATAGTGACTTTAATTGGACACAACTAATATTAGGAAAAATTAACCAATAGCAAATTTCAGCTTAATGATTCGCCCATGACATTCGGTTCCATGATATCTTTGAAAAACTTTACTTTAACAAAAATCCCGAATTTAATGAGGATTTTCATTCCGATTACAGTTCATCTTATGATGAATTGAACTTTTTATTATGTTCATATAATAAATTTGTTTAAAATCTTAAATAATCTCGTAAAAATTGTTTTGCTAATTTATCACTAATATTGTTGGGTTGTGATACAATCAATGAATTCATTGAATAGATTGATGTTATTAATATATTGGTAATATTCAAATTCACCAGTTTAGCAATATTGAAATAATCATAATCAAAATACTAGTTGATGATAACAATTTAGGCGATGAATTTTTCAATGTTACACCTTTTTCCGTGTAAACAATAACGTTGTCCGCTGTTACCTGAAGATCATAAACACCATTGGTTGTATCGTACCAACCAAATGAACTTTCCAAAGACAAAGCATGAGACCACGAACATTTATCATCGGATGTGTACATCGAATAGAGCTGGTCATAGATGGAGCGAGATGATGTTACATTTATTATTGAGCCTTGAATGTATTCACTTACAAAATCGCAAAAGAACAGTAATTGTATCTGATTTGAATCAGTTAATAGAATCGATATTTTCGACATTTTTGAACCAAGATTTTGTACGAGGTATTGGTTATCTTTTGAAGATTGGTTGAAAATGATCATGAATTCATCGTTTCCATGAACCTTATTACAACATTTAAGATACTGTTCGTGATAGATTGGTAGTTCGGTTATATCTTTAGCCACCATTGTACCGACCTTATCATCACCGTACTGAAGTAACAGTTGATAGTTAGGATTAGTTGTCAGATCGGTGATACCAAAGAACAAAAAAGGATATTCTGCATTTTTTCTGGTAAATGTCCAAGAACAGGATAGAACATTATTTGAGTAATAAGATGATCCACTAGTAAATTGGCTGTAAGACGAACCTGAACCAGTTTTCACACGTCCTAATGTAGAACCATTAGCTGATTTGTAACATGAATAAGTATTAAGATATTGTGTTGATGATTGTGAATAAGGTGATCGAAAGGTAAGAGAAATCGTTTTATCATCAGATGGTTTGATTCGTTGACCAGTTAAAGTAAGTCCGATTATTTCGTCACCACGATTCTGTTGTCTCACAAACCACTTAGCAGTAACTAAATTATTCTTGGAGCAATTAATAGACCCATCGAATGAAAGACAATAAGTTTTGGTTAAACATTGGTCATTACAATTATTATGACTCTTGGCATTTATAAGGCTGATTGGGAAAATTATCAAAAGAATAGTTAATAAGTTCATCATTTGTAATGGAAATGAAAATTAGACAATAAGAGACTTGCACTGGAAAACAAAATGGATCAAATGTATTTTTCATGATATATATTTCTCTCATCATTGACTTGGAAATTTCTGTCAAATGATGAGGAGAAAATCAATTGAGATAATTGTGGTAATGATTGATTCCAACGGTTTCTAACAATAAAAACTTCAATCTATCAGAAAGTTCATTAGTAATTTTTCATTGGAAAAGATAAACGAGATTTACTTGATAAAAACCCAAAATGAACCCAATTGATTTCAATGGATTTTAAGATTAGATTTTCAATCATTTCAACTGCTTTTCCTCGGTTCTGAGTTGATTACATAGAGAGACAATAATTGAAAGGAGGAAGGCCAATTCTGCCTAAAAATTTAATTTCGCTCAAAAATTTGTGCATGGAGAATCTATTCCTATAAAAATCTAAGTATCAAGGGCATCACAATTAAAGGTTTACCGGAGTAAATTGTCTCGAGAAAAGTGTTATTTCCACTATGAGTTATGACCATATCGACGACTTTTATGATCGCAATTTGATTGACGTAGTTTTGTCCCCACATGTTTGGTGGTAACTCGATCTCATCACCTTTCGGTCCTTTGGATACGATGAATCGATGAGGGGACTTTGAAAGGATCGAAATCATTTTTCTCATTAACTCGACGTCAACTGATCCTAATGATCCAAGAGAAAAATAGATTAACTTTCCAGGTAAAGAAGCGATTGATTCTAGCTCAATGAATTCACTCTCATCATAACTATTGTCCATTCTTCTTCATATTGTCTCAAGCAACATATTAGTTTTCTATGTACTTTTGTAGATAATATAAGTTAAAAATTTTAATCGTTTTTCACATTAATTGTGCACTTAGAAGTTAATATAAGTAATTATTACTTAATTAATTATATGTAATACAATTAATGACAAATCAACGATAGTTCCTGATATTAAGTAACAACCTGATTGATTTTTGTTTGAAAAAGGAGAAAACTTTAATATAAACAAAAGTGTCTTTTGTCATTTCAATAAAATATCGTTAATCATCTACCATGTACATTGATCCCAACCGACATCGTAAGTTGGTTCGACCGGTGGAGGTGGAGGTTGACGAAGATTCTGCGAAGTTAATGTTTTTTTCCTCAACTCGTCGAATATGTAAGGACGAGGGACAGAGTTTTTCGCACTGGCGGTAACATAATCTTCTGCCTTGAACTTTTGAGAATTCATTTTATAATAACGAGAAGCTTCGCTATCATATGCATTGTATTTAAACGATTGCGGCCAATCATTGATCAGATCCATTGTCTCTCTCAATAGACTTGACATATGCTCGTTCTTCGGGTAAACGTATCCATGGTATTTTTTCCCGAGTCTTTTAGTTTTAGTAAATTTTGATATGGTTCTCTGATTCTCAAAGTCAATCAGGTATAAATACAAAGTATAAGCGGCATCTACCAACGGCGAATGAGTTTCATCTTGTAAGATCACATTCAACATCAAAAAGGCACAGAATTTGATTCCAAGTCCATCACTGGATTTACGACAATTGTAGTATGATGAAACACAGACAATTTTAGGTAAGAGTTTCAAATGATCTTCTATTGATATAAATAAGGATGCGAAATCATTGATCTGTCCAGAGACAATGATTCGATCATATTGCTTGAATAGCTTTTCAACTTCCTCTTTCGCACAGTGAAAATCTTTCGCATGTTCGACGTCCTTAGGTTTGAGCCCATGACATTCGGTTCCATAATCATATTCTATGATGGAAGAATCTGGATGTCGTATGAACTCGTGGTAAACTAATTTGCACGAGCCATCGACAATCGAAATCCAAACAGGTACCGACACCGGTGATCCATCTTTCATTCGTATTCTAGCAAGTTCCATATCCATTGCACAAACATTCAATCCGCTTTTTTTAACTTCCGCCATGGCTTTTAAAATCTCATCATGATAGTCTTTTGGTGGAGCCATTGCTTGGGCAGATTGTGACACTTTCTCATCTAATAGTTTCTTATTTAGATTAGGATCTCGTTCTGGTTCCTGTTGTTGTTCAGCTGAAGAAACCAAATTAAGTCCTGGCCAAGAATTCATTTGCTCCTGGGAATAGGGAATATATTGTCTTGGTATTTTACTCATTGTGATGGGCACGGAAAAAGATCAACAGGTCAACATGAAAAAAATTAAACTCGAACTAATTTCGATTGTCAATTTGAAACAAATGAAACAGTGAAACAGAATAATAATCAATCCACTCGGAAACCACTCGAATCTCGCTTGATTAATCCTCGGCTTTAACTCTAATTAAGAAATAAAAAAAAACGTAAACATTTGATTAGATACAAAAAATTGATACACTTAATTGATAACACAAATATAATCCCCAAAAAAATTTACCATTTGTTTGTCTGATTAACTTTGGATTAAGGAAAGATACACAATAAGAATTCAAACAATTCAACTTAATGCCTACACAAATGAAACTTGTCGAAAACTTAATTGTAAACAATCAAATTAAATGTTCAAAAGAAACGAAGTGAAAATTTTCATCATGAGAAAAGTTGAACAATTTAAAAAGTGAATTTTTATTCCGGTCAACCAAAAAAGTAGACAAAGTCAAAGAGAGAGGGCAGAGTGATCGGTGTGGAGAATTGCGGGAAATTCAAATTAGATTTTTTAGAAAATTTTCAATTTAATTTAATCAATTTGATTGGATTTAATTTCTAATAAGTGAAATTTACACCATTTGTCTCATTTACTAGTATTAATCTCAAGGTTAATTTAGTGAAGCAAAATAAGTAAAATAGAACCAATGTCAGCCAATACTGATATTAAACACGCCATTTTCGCGTATGAACTGACTATTCACCCTTTTATTCAATCAGCTACATTGATGGAAAATGTTCAAGTTAAAAATCGCGATTTGATTGACATAATTCTTCCCTCATGTTGTGAACTGGTAACTCGATCTTAACAGATTTGATCTTTTGGTTTCGATTAAATGACAAGGAAACTTTGAAAGTATCGAAATCTTTTTTCTCACTCTAACGCGCCGTCCTAATGACTTGGGACTGAGACTTTAGAAGAAAGGAAATAATTTTCGACTTTGACAGCGATCGATTCTACTACAACGAATTAACTTTTTTCGTCTGTCATACGAATCGAAGCATAAATCATGGCGATTGATCATCTTTTTACTTATTCTGCGTCAAGCCACCTATGAATTTTGTATAAACTGTAATAGATAATATAATGAGTATAAAATTAGAATTATTTTTCACGGTTACACCGTACTTAGAAGTTAATATTTTTATTGTAATATAGTTAATTATTAGTAATCAATGATAATAGTTACAATGAAATTCTAATTAGAAGTAATAATAATCTGATCTAATTTTAATGAAAAGGAGTAACTTCAATATAAAAAAGTGTCATTTCAATATAATATCGTTAATCACAGTCATCTTTCATCTACCATGTACATTGATCCCAACCGACATCGTAAGTTGGTTCGACCGGTGGAGGTGGAGGTTGACGAAGATTCTGTGAAGTTAATGTTTTTTTCCTTAACTCGTTGAATAGATAAGGACGAGGGACAGAGTTTTTCGGACTGGCGGGAACATAATCTTCTGCTTTAAACTTTTGAGCATTCATTTTATAATAACGAGAAGCTTCGCTATCATATGCATTATATTTAAACGATTGCGGCCAATCATTGATCAGATCCATTGTCTCTCTCAATAGACTTGACATATGCTCGTTCTTCGGGTAAACGTATCCATGGTATTTTTTCCCGAGTCTTTTAGTTTTAGTAAATTTTGATATGGTTCTCTCGATTCTCTCAAAGTCAATCAGGTATAAATACAAAGTATAAGCGGCATCTACCAACGGCGAATGAGTTTCATCTTGTAAGATCACATTGAACATCAAAAAGGCACAGAATTTGATTCCAAGTCCATCACTGGATTTACGACAATTGTAGTATGATGAAACACAGACAATTTTAGGTAAGAGTTTCAAATGATCTTCTATTGATATAAATAAGGATGCGAAATCATTGATCTGTCCAGAGACAATAATTCGATCATATTGCTTGAATAGCTTTATAACTTCCTCTTTCGCACAGTGAAAATCTTTCGCATGTTCGACGTCCTTAGGTTTGAGCCCATGACATTCGGTTCCATAATCATATTCTATGATGGAAGAATCTGGATGTCGTATGAACTCGTGGTAAACTAATTTGCACGAGCCATCGACAATCGAAATCCAAACAGGTACCGACACCGGTGATCCATCTTTCATTCGTATTCTAGCAAGTTCCATATCCATTGCACAAACATTCAATCCGCTTTTTCTAACTTCCGTCATGGCTTTTAAAATCTCATCATGATAGTCTTTTGGTGGAGCCATTGCTTGGGCAGATTGTGACACTTTCTCATCTAATAGTTTCTTATTTAGATTAGGATCTCGTTCTGGTTCCTGTTGTTGTTCAGCTGAAGAAACCAAATTAAGTCCCCAAGAATTCATTTGCTCCTGGGAATAGAATATATTGGTATTTTACTCATTGTGTGGGCACGAAAAAGATCAACAGGTCAACATGAAAAAAATTAAACTCGAACTAATTTCGATTGTCAATTTGAAACAAATGAAACAATGAAACAGAATAATAATCAATCCACTCGGAAACCACTCGAATCTCGCTTGATTAATCTTCAGCTTTAACTCTAATTAAGAAATAAAAAAAAAACGTAAACATTTGATTAGATACAAAAAATTGATACACTTAATTGATAACACAAATATAATCCCCAAAAAAATTTACCATTTGTTTGTCTGATTGAATTAAGGAAAGATAAACAATAAGAATTCAAACAATTCAACTTAATGCCTACACAAATGAAACTTGTCGAAAACTTAATTGTAAACAATCAAATTAAATGTTCAAAAGAAAACGAAGTGAAAATTTTCATCATGAGAAAAGTTGAACAATTTAAAAAGTGAATTTTTATTCCGGTTAACCAAAAAAGTAGACAAAGTCAAAGAGAGAGGGCAGAGTGATCGGTGTGGAGAATTGCGGGAAATTCGAATTCGATTTTTTAGAAAATTTTCAATTTTCAAATTTAATTAATCAATTTGATTGAATTTAATTTCTAATAAGTGAAATTTACACCATTTGTCTCATTTATTAATCTCAAGGTTAATTTAGTGAAGCAAAATAAGTAACAATTTGTTCCATCACTTGAATCATTACCAAGTCTTGTCGTTAATTTTAATTCAATTAGATCTATGATCAAGTAATTTAATCATTTGGAAAATTTGCGAAAAATTTGATTGGGTTTAATTGTGAGTAAATCAGTCAGATCCAATTGCATTCGAATTGATATTAGTTAACTGTCACCATCGATTCAAAGGTCAAATGTTAAAAGCATAATCATTTTCTTTTCCTCTTTTTCATGGATAATATTTCTTTGAAAACTGACCACAAGTATGAATTGAAATTCTTGTGTCCAGTTTCACTAATTATCGAGAATCTTCATTAAATTCATTTGTAATTGATGAAAGTGTTTGCATTTTTGTCTTTACCAATGTGATCACAATCAAATGGAAACAAAATCCTTTCAATTTCCCAAAAGCATCAATTTAATTTTCTCTAATTGGCCAATCAATGGTCAAAGACAACGAAGGTTATAATTTATCCATTAGGCTTGAAAAAAAAACGACAAACTATTTAAATTATGAAAATCAAGTGACTTAAATCAAAAGATCAAAGCTCAAATTGGATTTACAATCTAAATTCTCATACAATTAAACCCAATCGGCTTAAGAGACAAACAATTAGGGTGTTTTTATTTACTAAAATTAAGAGGCTTTTATGATTAAGTGATTTAAAAGTTAAAGGTTAGATTAGATTAGATTAAGTACAGTGAGAATAGAATTAACTTAATCACTATGGAAAATCAATCATTAAAATAAGACATTAAGTAAATTTAAATTGGAAAACACATTATAACATCTCATTGGAAAAAAACATTTTAATTGCATTTAAAGTTTCAAACAGATTCTGATGATGAAAATATTAATATCTCAAATATTATTAGATTTTAAGTAAAATGATTAAAGCAATTGGCCGAATTGGTAAAGATTCATATTTGAATTAAGTTATCTAAAAATTGAATCTTTGAGAATACAAACTTGGTAAAGTAGCTTCGGCCTTTGAAATGGGCTCGATGCTCAGTTTAAATGCTACGGAATTTTGCTGAATCAATTTCGTTCAAACGATTATTGGTCATTCTGTATGGGTGAGGCAGTTCATCGTCTGGAACTCCGTTGATATAATCATTGGAATTATAGACTCGAGAACACATTTTTCGATAGCGTTTTCTTTCATTATCGTAAGGACTGTACTTGAATGAATTAGGCCAATCGCCGACCTGATTCAATGTATTTCTCAGGAGACTCGCCATGAGTTGATTCTTAGGGTATTGATAACCATTGTAATCGTTTCCCAAATGAATCACATAATCGAGTGAAGGAACGATTCTTTCAATTCGATGAAAATCAATCAGGTACAAGTAAAGGGTGTACATTGCATCGGTCAATGCTGAATGATGTCCAGATTGTAAGATGACATTGAACATAACGAAGGCACAACGTTTAAGTCCAAGTCTTTCGTGGACTTTATGGCAATCGTAATAAGAGGAAATGTCTACGATTTTAGGCAAATAGTTTTGAAAATGATCTTCGGGTGAAATTTCCAATGTTTCGAAATCTTGATATTGTCCAGAGACAATGATTCGATCAAATTGATCGAGTAGATTAACAATAGTTGCACGGGCACAAGAGAAGACAACACCTCTTTCAATGTCTTTCGGGACCAGGCCATGGATTGGAGTTCGAAATCTGGAATCGTAAATTTTACAACCAGGATGTCGGATGAACTCGTTGTAAACAACATCACCGTCCCCATCGATAATAACGACCCAAATTGGTACAACTTGCCAGGATCCGTTTTCGTTTACCACTTCGGCCGTTTCCACGTCCATTGAACAGACTTTCAAATTTCGTCTTGATGCTTCGGCCATCGCTCTCACTATGGTCCGTGAATAACCGTAAGGTCGAATCATCGAATCAGCGGCTTCTTCCAATTTTTCGTCCATTTTTTGTTTTCGTAACATCTCATATCTATTGAGCGGGACATTATTGTACTTTGAGCGTAAATAAACACGTTCACAGTCCTTAGAACAGAAGCGTCCAGAGCCTTGACAATGCATTTTATTGGTGAGAAAAGAAATTAACAGTTAACTGAATCACAATAAAAAGAAAACTAAAGATGAAAATTGATGAAGGTTAGATTAACTTCCACTAACTAACACTAACTAGTCTCAATTAAGAGCTTGGTGTGAGCAGAACGAGTTTACCAACAGTTTAAATGAAAGGCGAGAACGCAAGTCCTTTAAATACTAAATTTGGTCAATTGAAATGAAAAAAAATCTCACTGAAGATGCGTCGAGATTAACATAAAAAGATTAACAAAATGTACAAATGCTGCCATCTAATTATTGATAAATTGACAAGATAAACAATTGACTGAAACTCGGCTTAACCAGGAGGAGCTCAAGTTCCGGCGGTAAACCAACTTTACGGCTCATCTTCAAAAAGCCATCGAGTTCGGCTTCAACTTGTCAATCGAGGCTTAACTAACTTACATTGGATTTCCGAACTAATTTTTCAGATCTTTGCACAGAAAATATTAGTCGAATATGATTTAGTTAATTTGGCGAATGAGAGAGAATTTTTTGAATTTGAATAAAGAATTGATTTTAATTGGCGATTGAATTGTTATTCTTTAGATTTGAGATTAGGTTTTCAATCATTTCAACTGCTCTTTCACGACTTTTAGTTGACCTCATTGAGAGAGCAATTTCTTTGATCTTCCTGGTCATTTCTTGGTCATTTAGTGTCTCTTCAATAGTATTTAGAACAATTTTTTCATCTAAATTCCAAGTATCTAATCGTCTTCCAATACGACAATCAACCACCCGTTGGGCATTATCGAACTGATCGTAAAAATAAGGCATCACAATTAAAGGTTTACCGAAGTAAATTGTTTCGAGGAAAGTGTTATTTCCACCATGGGTTATGACCATATCGACGACTTTTATAACCGCGATTTGATTGACATAGTTTTGGCCCCACATGTTTGATGGTAACTCGATCTCATCACCTTTCGGTCCTTTGGATACGATGAATCGATGAGGGGACTTTGAAAGGATCGAAATCATTTTTCTCATTAAATCGACGTCAACTGATCCTAATGATCCGAGAGAAAAGTAAATTAACTTTCCAGGTAAAGAAGCGATTGATTCTGGTATGACGAATTCACTTTCTTCGTCAGGCTTCCGGATCGAAGCATCAACTCGAAACCATTTATCGGCTGGATCCTTGGGTTCACACTCTTTGTAATCGAGACCTTCAGGATAATGATAGAATCCAAAATACTTTGGTGTATCGAGAATCCAATTAACTTCAGTTAAACAAGACACATTAGATGACTTCCACCAAGCATGAAGCTTATCAAACAATTTCGAAGCTGAATCTCGGTATATTCGTCTGAACTCGAGGGCTTTTTCCTTGTCCACATTAACTGAGTAACCAGAAAACGGTGGAGGACCTCGAGGATAAATTAACAGTGGATTCATCGATGCTATTGGTATGTATGGAATAGTTGATCGAGATATGGACGGATATTTGGTCACAAAGTCACCGATTAAAATGTCAAATGAATCTTGATGTTCGTCAAGAAATTTCCCCATCGCTTGATCTCCAATTTTAATTTCATTGACCATCGAAGCGCAAACTTCTTTATCTTCATCAGTCCAATTCGCGTATCGTTGAAGAGCATCAGATCGAAATTTGTCCAAATTTCTTTCGACCCAATCGACATAAGGTCCTGGTGGGAGATTTTCAAATATCGACTCGTCATAGGGAAGAAACTTGAAACCTCGTTTATCAGCGAGTTTCTTGTAATGGGCTCGGTGGACAAAGGTCACTTCATGTCCCGCCTCAGCAAGAATCTCACCGAAACCAAGGGTACAATTAATGTGACCGAATCTGTGAGTTGAAGTAAAATTATGAATGAAAATCCTTTTCGATTGACTAATATGATTGATCAATACTTACGCATCTAAAGCTGAAATTAATATACGATATTTTGGTTTCATGTTAATTGCGAACAATTAAAAATACAGAAAATGCTGATCAATGTTGACACGATTAAATAAACTTCTTAAATGATCAATCTGGAAGTAATAATAGTTAAGAGAACTGATTTCGAAATTAATTTCAATCGTTTTCATTGAAAATACTTCCAACACATTCAAATCATGGTGCTACCAAGTGATTAATCCTAGTGATTAATTAGTACTTGAATACTTGAGTTATCAAATCATCGGCAATCAAATGTACCGAAATCAATTGTCATTGAGACGATAAAGATTCAAGATTAGTTGAGATTCAAATCACTGCTAAAATCATTGAGATAATTGAAGTAAATGATAAATGAAGTGATTTAATCGAGAGATGATCAACCAGTTTGATATTCAATCTATTGGATAGTTAACCGATAAAAAAGTAAAGATATGAATTATCAATAGTTAGCAAACTTTTCAGATCTTCTTGAAAAACCAATTGATTAACAAAAGAGAAAGTTGATTGTTACAATTATGTGAATCGGTGAATCTGCAAATAGCTTAATTGACAATCAACTAACTGTTCAATAGTAAATATAAAGATACTAAAATCAAGGTTATCAATATTTCTGATCATAAGTAAACCGTAAGTATCTCACAAAACAATCAATTCAATAAGATCAACAATTAAGACTTAAATTAACCTCAATCAATCAATTCATTGGTTAAATTTAACTTTCGTGACTAAGTTTTGATCAAGAATAGAAACTCAGATCAGAGTAATACAGAAAAAGTACAAACAATTAAACTCTTAAATTGTTCAATCAGCTAATTTCTTTGATTTGTTTCCAGTCACAATTAATAAAATCTAAACATAATAAGCAATAATTATGAGCCAAAGCGGACAAATTATGATGAAAATAATTAAGTTGATTCACCACAATTAGTATCAGTCACCAAGAAGAAACTTGAAGGTCATTGAAAGTAAATGACCAATTCAAAGTGACCACAACTTAATAATGTTTCTGTAGATAGTTGTTATCTGGACCGGTCAGTTAGTTTAACTTTTCTAAATCAAGTTCTCATTGTAAATTGTTTGCTGAGGTTTTTCATCTTAATTGACAGTTCAAGTTGCTCACTGATGATAAGATTTTATCTTCATCGTTTCTCTCTCATCTTCCTTGTACCAACTTCAAACTTGATTTAGACTCATTTGATAAGAAATCATTTTCTCTACACCATTAGTGGTCATCATTTTCCTCAACGAAATGTTACCTTTACTTTCAATAATCTTTGTTTTGACGTTTGCTTTTCTTTATAAATATCTTGTCTTTATACCTTTGATCTTTGGATTATTCAGATTAATTGGATCGACGATTGTTTTTATATCATTTTCTTGGTTAATTGCGAAATTGATTCATAATTATATCTCATCTCGTCTTCTTGGTCCAATTCCAGCCTCTGGCAAAGCCATTTTCATCACAGGTAAACTATTGACTACATTTTAATTTCTTTTCCTTGTATCATGTTAATTGATTGAAAATTACTCTCTACATTTAATAGATTAATTTAATAATATGTTAACTAATTGACTTGTTTAATTTGTGTTTAGGATGTGATTCAGGTTTTGGTTATGGATCAGCATTAGAGTTGAATAAAAAAGGCTTCCGTGTATTTGCTGGGTGTTTGTTTCCCGAAGGTAAAGGTGCCAAAGGTTTACGATCATCAGTCAATTACAAGGACAAACTTCATATAATTAAAATCGATGTGACCAAAGATGAGGACATTGAAAAGGCATTCGAAACAATTAGTGAACAGTTAACTAAATCAGGCGATTGTCTTTGGGGTATTGTTAATAACGCTGGAATACCAAGAGTTGGCAAATGTGAATGGGGCTCGTTTGATGATCATTATGGTCAATGTTTCGATGTTAATGTTTATGGGGTGGTCAAAGTAACACGAACCATGTTACCTTTACTAAGAATGACAAAAGGATCTCGAGTAGTCACAATTTCATCAATTAATTCACGAATGACATTTCCAGATACAAGCGCTTATTCAATGACCAAAGCGGCTTTAACACCTTTTCAGGATGCACTTCGTTCAGAGGTTGATTCATTTGGAATTAAAGTGATCTCCGTTGAGCCAAGTTTCGCTGCAACTCCGATTCTTGAACAATCGCGAATCAATTCACTTTACAATAAGATTTATGATGATTCGACCTTGGAGGTTAAAAAAGCTTATCCCAATTCTGATAAGTTAACAAACGGATTACAATTACTTCAAGCAATTCCAAATAAATATCTGTCAATGGATAAGACATATGAGATTGTAATTAACAATATTGTTAAATCACTGACTGATTACGAGCCACCATATAGATTAACATGTTGTCCATTGGTCATTTCAATACTTTATTCAATTTATCCAATCTTACCATCGGAATGGACTCACTTGATTCTCGGCAAGTGGTTAGTTAAATTGTCACAAATTTTCGGTGATTGATTAGCCGAATAATTTGAATCTTCGAAATAAAATTATTTGATCAATATTCAATATTTACAACTGATTTATGTTCAATGGCTTGTAAAACTCGAGCCACTCTCGTTGAAACGATCTTTTGAATAAATTGTTTGACATTGATTGTTGATTATTATAAGTTAATTGATCCAAAGTAAATTGGTTCTTTACATTCTGTAAAATAGAGATTGAAAAAAAAAACAAAAGCGGTAAGATTGAGGTAAATTTGATTGTTTACAAAAATATAAAGTATTCATGAGTAGACAATGAAATAAATTATGATCTGATTGTTGAGTCCACTTAGTTGACAACGGAATGATAGAAGGTAAGATTTTCTTATGTCGACGATTGTTGAGAAAAATGGAAACAACAGTAACTTAACAGAGTATTTTGTCTTCATGGGTTAATAATCAATCGGTAAATATGATGATTTGTCTTGGAAGATTTAGATTAAGAAAACAATCGCCATAGAAAATATTATTAATATATAATTTTTCAGGTACTTGATTGCGATTTTATCACTGATCCGGCTATGTAGAGGAGCCAAAGAGCGACGAATAAAATTAATGTTGGAATCGAGTATTTAAGAGGTCCTCCAAGTTCGCCGGGTCCAAATATGGGTAAAACTCGACGAAGAAGGAGAACAGCGATACAGATGAAGGAAAGAGCCGTGTAAAGAGCGACTGAATAGCCTAGATCACCAGCGGGTACTGGAAATGGTTTTCCTTTGGATGACCAATAAAGAGCAGCCATTAACCAAGGTAATCCAAGTCCAAGGAAAACATTGACTGAATTGCTACCAGTTATATTACCGATGGCATTGTCGGCATACTTTTCCATACGCGCTGCCGTTTTTGATGCAAATGTATCAGGAAGAGATGTTCCCATAGCTACAAGAGTGATCGCCGTTATTGAAGGTTTCATACCGACGAGACAACCAAAAGCTTCGGCAGTGTCACCAACAATTGTCGTAATGAGACCAATAAGAATCAGCGAGACAATAAAGGTTAACCATCCGCCAAAAAGTGTCGGTGGAGGTACGAATGCAAATACAATCTTCCAGCCAAACGATATAACATGAAGACAATGGTCAACAAAGTTCGGTCCAGATCCATTTTCACCCTCAACTTCTGAGCCGTAATCAATAGACATCGCTGATTTAAATTGTTCAATCCATTTGTCTTTGTGAATTTTGAAGCCTTTGCGTTGAGCACTAATTTTAGTCATTAATTTTGCCATGACAGCATTATAATCCGAATCGTTAGTTACAGTTACCATGATTGAATTGTTTTTACCAATTTTCGCTCCATTTGTTGCATTCAGCAAATGTACCTCGAAATATTCATCTTTGATCTCCTCGAAATCGTTTTCAACAGCGATCTCGATTTCTTGCCTGATTACACCATGAGCAAAGATCAGAGTTCCCTCTCCTCCGGAATAGTCTTTACCATTCTTGGCTGTTCCGTCAACTGTTTTCCATTTAACTTCTACTTGACCATCGGAACCTTGTTCACGAAGAACCGGGATAACAACTTTACCAGAATCTTCTTCAACAGTAATTAATCGTTGACCGAATGCAATTATACCGGGAAAATCATCATCAATAATTGTTACTGTCATCATGCAAATACGACCTTTAGCAACTGCAGGCGATTCGGTCTCATTGTTAATCAGAGTTAATTTAACCAAGAAAATGTTATCAGGATTCCAATTGTCATCATCAATTATCTCAATACTGACAGTTTTTTCTTTCTCGTATGGATCAAGTGTAACGATTTCTTTGAAAGCTTTGTAATCGTGACCTGCTTTTGCAGTACGATCAAGTGTTTCCACCAAACATTGAACTGCATTATCCATACGACCATAACGGACGACGGTCACCTCAACAGATCCAGCATTTTCAAGAACAGCAGCCATTGGAGCAGCGAATTGAACAACCGCAATGTCTTTTTCATGGGCGATCTCAGCGGCCACAGTTGCTAATGCAATCGATCCATCGGGAACCGTTTTAACCGTTGATCCACCGCTCATATGATCTTTCATTAGATCATACACCTGCTGTAGCTCTTTGGTTAAATGTGGAAACGGAGGTCGAGAGCCAGATAACCAGCGACAAGCAGATACTCGATAAAACAGTCTAGTATGACGTTCGTGTTCAAAAAGATAAGTGGCCGCTAAACAGGCAGCATCTTCCGTCGATATATTCGGATCAACCTTACGAAGTTCCTTAAGGAATTTAGCCAAACTTTTCTTGGTTATCTTTCCTTTCGGGAAAAAATCTTCAACAAAAATAGGAATATTAAATGGAGATTAAAAAGTGTGTCCAGTCACGAAAAGAAATTTCATTTTTCTCTGTTCAAATGTGATGAGGATTAACTGAAGATACTCATTAAATTGATTGACATATTTACTTGAGAATCGTCATGATGCTTGTCAACCTTTTGTAAGAAATTAATGTTAATTGTGTTACAAGTAATTATTTCACTGATGATGGAAATTATCATGGAAATAAATGTTACCTTAAACGCTCTTATGGTTCGAGTTTCATTGTTAGGAATACCAACCACACAAACTGCTGAAATTATGAATAAATTGTAAGCCGCTGATCCAACGATGGTACCAGGACCGAGAGCTCCAGAGACAAACCTAAGTGAGAGAGAAATGAAAGAATTGAGTGAATCCAAAACAATTAAAAGTACTTGAGTAATCATCTGATTCTCTAATCTTACCCTGAAGAAACAATCTCAATGATCGCTAGTAAAATTTCTGGAGCAGAAGAACCAAGAGCCATAAGGGTAAGATTGGCAACAGTTTCGTTCCAAATTAAAACTTCCATATATTCTGGTGGTGTATTAGCATCTCCTGGATTAACGATAATCTTTCTCGTTTGTGAGGTAATTCGTTCAATAGCACACATGAAAATATCCGCAATTATGGCGATACCAAGGAATAGATAAAGTAAAAATAAGAGATAAACAATTATCCTAACCCAGAGAAACATTGAACCATAACCAAGGTAAGGTAAAAGTAATCCTTTGATAATACATTGGTCGCCATTGTGTTCACCTAATGAATAATTTGATCCGCTGCTAAACATTTTAATAGGTGAAGTGGTTGACATTTTTAGCTATTAAACCGACACAATTTCGAAAAGAGAATAATCAAAATTCAAATCATTCTGATCTTGTGATAAAACAGCAAAACTAAACTGTTGATTAACCAACAATCCAAATACAATCAACAAATAAAAAAGTAAAGAAAAGAAAAGTAAAAAAAAGTTGGTTTTCTGTTTTTCGTTTTTCTTTAAAACAGTGACACCTGTCGATCGAAATTGTAACCAAATTCGCTTCTTAACATTTAACAGTTTTATGGATAATTAAACACCTTAAGTGAAGTGGTTTTACCTGAAATTGAATCAATGGAACAATTTTAGTTTCATAAATCTTATCAATTAAGATCAAAGGAAAGACAAAAGTTAATATTAGCTCAATAGCAGCAAATTTTATCTACAAAGTTAAACCAACCTGAAAATTAGTTGGAAACAATTCGACTCGAAATTAGAGACCAATGTCAATTAGAAAATCAGATTTTTCTTTCCTTTGTTTGTCCTTTCTCACTTTCGATTGTGGGAGTTTGGTAATAATTGATGATTTAGTATAAAAAGAGTGAGAAAAATTAGAATCGATACAATTTGAGTTTCAGCTTCATATCAACAAACAACAATCAACAATCTATTACAAAGTTTTTTTTTCCAAACTTGTTAATAACAAATCAAAAGTTTTTCTTTTTCATAAAATTTTTCCAGTGATCAAATTGAATTCACCAAAAATGAACAAACAATTGGTAAATATTTTCGTTCAATTTGATTTGTATTTTGAAGTTTCTATTGGATTACTTTCTAATTAAAATTGTTTTTTCTTTCTCTTTTTGATTTTTAGTTATTCGTTATTTTTGCTTCATCTCTTGTTCTCTGTCTTTCAATGGTTCGAGCTGAAGAAGAAGATTTTTCAGCTGATTTAGAAGGAGCCGAATCTGCAGCTGGTGGTGCTGGAGGTGCAGGTCTCGCAGCTTTTAAGAAAGGTGCTGCTGGCGGTGGAGCTGCTGGATATCAAGCTGGTGGAGCTGGAAAAGCTGGTTATGCTGCTGGAGCTAAAGGTGCTAAAGGTGGTGCTGCTTATGGTGCCGCTGGAGCTGCTGGTGGTTCCAAGGGAGCTGCTGCCAAGGGTGGATTCGCTTCTGGTGCTTTTGGCAAAAAGTATGGAAAGAAAGGAGGATTCGCTAAAGCCGGAGGAGCAGGTTACAACAAGAAAGTCGGTCTTGTCAAGAAATTCGGAATGAGCCAAGGTTTCAAATTCGGTAAAGCCGCTGGTTATGGTGCTGCTGGAGGTGCTGTCGGAGGTAAAGCCGCCAAGGGAGGTTATGCTGGAGCTGCAGGAGCTGCTGGATACAAGGGAGGAAAAGTTGGTGGTAAGAAAGGTTTCGCCGCTGGAACTTCTGGTGCCGCTGGAGGAAAAGCTGGAGCAGGAGGAGCCGCTGGATTCAAGAAAGCCGCTGGTGCTGCAGGAGCTGCTGGAGTTACCGCTGCAGGTGGCAAAGGTGGTTATGGATTCGGTCGATAATCTAAATCCAATTTCGATTATCCAATTTGTTACATTTCTTTTCACAATCAGCCAAAATCATCTCGAGTCAAAACCATGGAGACAAAAACTTTGAATACCTTGATAACCCAAAGATAATTATCTCTAAATTGTTTCATTCGGATGACTTCAAAATCCCAGGAAAAGTTTCCATTAGATCCATTGAATAATAACCCAACTCAAATTCACTGTCACCTTCCATAATTTGGACAGTGCATATGAATAATTTCAGGATATGTATATTTAAAATGTAAATGAGTTTAATTATCAATTTCCTGTTGCAACTGTAAATCCTTAATCACCAACACCAAATCTTTGCCAATCCCGAACAATTACAATTCCATTTCCATTCTTTAACCTTCCCTTGTAACTGTAATCTCAACATTTATATTGAATATAAATGTAACTAGATAACAAATACATTTCCAATAAACATTTTTGTAAATCTGTAATCAGTTAATTTGTTCATCTTAATAACGTGTAGACAAACCAATTCTCCTGATCAATAGACTTTATCAGCGATTTGTTCCAGTGGAAATCACCAAACATGATTAACTGTGAAAGAGAAATGTAAAATTAATAAAATTTCAACACAAGAAAAACTTTGACAAGTTGAAAGTGAAGCAAATTTAACATTAATCTTGGACTAATTCAAATCACTTTCGGTATCATTGAAAATATGAAAATGAGGAACGTTAATTGTCCAACCAAACATCAAAATCATCATATAACCTCCAATACTCACTTCAGTCTTAACAATTGTCACCAAATTCATCCAAGAAAAACACTCAATCTCTCCAATGAAATCTACAAAATCATAAGTCACTTTTTGATTGTTACATTTTTTTTCAGTTCCAACAAAAGTTGACAACCACTTCGAGTCAACACTTTCCTCAGGAGACAAACCATATTATCCACCCTGGAATCCCAAAGTAACCAATGAATTGACCAAAGACACAATTAGATTCGCTGTCAAATAAATTGGTTGGAACAAAGAAACTAAATTGTTGACAATTAAACAAAGAAAAATAAATTTTCAATATGAAGTTTTTCTCGAAAACAGCGACACCTGTTGATCGAAATTCGGAAATTTTCTGATCGTAATTTTTATATTTTCCCTTCCGATTCTCTCCATGCTTGTTGTCTCTTTGTGTTTTAAACATTAACTCCTCTTACTTAATCGTCTTTTTTTATTTGTTGATTGTTTAATTACTTGGAAATTTAATTTAATTAACTATGGCTCCTCAAACTCAAGTTGCTAAAGGTGGTAATCAAAAAATGGGCCAATTCAAGGACAAAAGTAAACCTGATGACATTCGTGAATCAAATATTCAGGCAGCCAAATCTGTTGCCGATGCCATTAGGACAAGTCTTGGTCCAAGAGGAATGGATAAAATGATTCAACAAGATGATGGTAATGTTATTATCTCTAATGATGGTGCTACCATTTTGAAACAGATTCAAGTAATTCATCCGGCTGCTAAGATGTTGGTTGAATTAAGTAAAGCTCAAGATGTTGAGGCTGGAGATGGTACCACTAGTGTTGTTATCATTGCAGGTATGTTTTGGGTGTGACTTTGTTACCCTTGTTTGGTAATTTATCTTTGTTCTCAACTCTCTTTTTATCCATCTAATGTATTTATTTTTATCTACACAAATTCACCAATTTCTCTTATTTTTATGTATTTCCTTTTTTTTGTTAGGTGCTCTTCTTGATGCTGCTGCTAAACTATTGGCAAAAGGTATTCACCCAACAACAATTAGTGACGCTTTTCTCGAAGCGGCAAACAAGTGTGTTGAAATACTTGAGGGTAAAATGAGTATTCCCGTTGATCTTAGTGATACTGATTCACTTTTAAGAGTTGCATCTACTGCGCTTAATAGTAAGGTGGTTTCACAATATTCGAGTTTATTGGCTCCCATGGCTGTGAAATCTGTACTTAGAGTTAAAGATAATTGCAAGACGAACGATGTTGATCTTAAAGATATTAAGATAATCAAGCGACTTGGTGCTACTCTTGAAGATACTGAGCTTATTGAAGGGCTTTGTCTTGATCATAGGTTTTCCAATGATTTTGGATCAAAGAAAATTGAAAAGGCTAAAATTGGTTTAGTCCAATTTTGCATCTCACCACCAAAGACCGATATGGATAATCAGGTTGTCGTCTCTGATTATACTCAAATGGATAGAATTTTGAAAGAGGAGAGAAATTATATTCTTAACATTGTTAAACAAATTAAGAAATCTGGATGCAATGTACTTCTTATCCAAAAATCAATCCTTCGTGATGCTCTCAATGAAATGGCCATTCATTTCTTTTCGAAGGCTAAAATTGCTATCATTCGAGATATTGAACGTGAAGAGATTGAATTTGTCAGTAAAGCTCTTGGCTGTCGTCCAATCGCCAGTCTGGACCATTTTGTGGCTTCTGCTTTGGCTACAGCTGATTTGGTTGAAGAAATTCCAATGACCAAAGTAATTCGAATCAGTGGAATCAAAAGCACTTCTGCTGGTAAAACTGTAAACATTTTACTTCGAGCATCAAACCGAATGATGTTGGAAGAAGCTGAAAGATCTATTCATGATGCCTTATGTGTCATTCGATGTCTAGTTAAAAAACCCGCTCTACTTCCCGGTGGTGGAGCCCCAGAGATTGAATTAGCTCTTCAATTGAGTCAATTAAGCTCATCACTTTCTGGATTACGAGCTCACTGTTTCCAAGCTTTCGCTGAAGCATGGAAGTCATACCTTACACTTTAGCCGAAAACGCTGGTCTCAATCCTCTCCAAACGGTTACTGATCTTCGTCAACGTCATTTCAAAGGAGAAATAACTTTCGGTATCAATGTCCGAAAAGCAATGGTCACTAATATTCTAGATGAAAATGTATTACAACCACTTCTTGTAACCTCTTCAGCTATTAAATTAGCTGCTGAAACTGTCAGATCAATTCTTAAGATCGATGATATTGTTCACTCTGTGAGATAAACTACTTGTTGATTCAACATCATGATAAAATCGATAACCAGCCCAAGAAATATATTTAACTTAATCTGGATAATGTTTGCTTTTTCATCTTTTGCTCCAATCTAACAATTATTCTGGCCTGGTAATTGATTATTTTATCAATTGAATTTAATTAAAAAAAAATGCTTTCAAATCTCAAGTGGTTTGTGTAACTTTAAATCCATTAAATCAAAGGATTAAAATACTTTTCAATTGTGATTGTTTGGTTACATAAGATTACAACTAATCATTCAGATGAAAGAAAACAATATTAATCTTAATGATTGTTGGATAATCAATCGTATGATCGATTAGATTTTAGAAATGATTGATCCAATTATGAGATTAACCGATTTCATCAGCTTCGGATGTGATTCGCGATTTTGGCCATTTTTCTGTCGACAATCTATTCGAACTGCTAAAGGTTTTACCCCTCGATTAACAAGGAAACAATTAAATGGTGAGGGAAAATTCAGATAAAGTTAATTGTAAATCAATCAAGTAAATCACTCAAAATTGAAAGATTAACAATCGGATTATCACTAATCAAATTCAATTAGCGTTGATTGCAAACACAATCTTATCAATCAACATGAATAAATGTTAGACTTTTTCTGTTTCTCTTCCAGTTTAATCCAAATCTTTCCTTTGTTAAGTTTAAATAATTTATTGGGTGAAAATGTCAACTCATTCAATTGAAACTCGAGCGATTCATGAAGGACAAGAGCCCGAACAATGGACTCATCGTGAAGTTATTCCCCCGATCAGTTTAGCGACCACTTATAAACAACCTGGACCTGGTCAAGCATTGGTAAGGCGAAAGAATTGAAATGATCAGCTGATTTAATTTTAATCCTAAAAAATAACTGTAAATGTTGATCTTTCTTATTGACAGTCTTATGAGTACGGACGAAGTGGTAATCCCACCCGATGTTGTCTCGAAAAATGTTTAGCCTCCCTTGAGAACGCTGAATATGGTAAGTTAATCAACAATTTGATGTTATTATTGAACAATTAACCATTAATTTGCTTTTCTTTGTCAAAGGTTTTTGCTTCAGCAGTGGATTAGGAGCGATTACAACATTAACTTATCTCCTTAAATCGGGCGATCACATTATCTCAGGTGAAGATGTCTATGGTGGGACTAACAGGTTGTTCACTAAATGTGCTGCTCGAATGGGATTGACCACAAGCTTTGTCGATGCTCGAGATATAAACAACATTGCGAAAGCAGTTAAACCCAATACAAGGTTAATCTGGATGGAAACTCCCACTAATCCAACCATGCAAGTGGCTGATATCAAAGCAACAGCGGATTATGTCAAGACTTTGGATAACGTGATCCTCGCCGTCGATAACACTTTCATGTCACCTTATTTCCAAAAGCCGCTTGATTTAGGTGCTGACATTGTCCTTCACTCTATGAGTAAATATATCAACGGACATTCTGATGTTATCATGGGAGCTATCATGACAAATCGATCAGATCTTGCTGAGCAATTAAGATTCTTCCAAAATGGTAATCAATTCAAATCTTGAGACTCCAATTTAATTTCTGAAGGTTGTTACCAAGACTAAGGGTCACAAATCCTTAACCAGTAACACATCTGACGATTAATTGTTTGCTTGATGATTAGATTGTCAGTTGATTATCTGATTAAATTGAATCTCTTTTATTATCTGATTTCCGTTCCCTCCTCTCTCTCTCTCTCTCTCTCTCTCTCTCTCTCTCTCTCTCTCTCTCTCTCTCTCTCTCTCTCTCTCTCTCTCTCTCTCTCTCTAGCTTTGGGTGCTGTTCCCTCACCATTTGATTGTTTCCTTGTTAATCGAGGAGTAAAAACTTTAGCAGTTCGAATGGAATGTCACCAGAAAAATGGCCTGGAAATCGCTAAATATCTTGAATCGCACCCGAAAGTGGTTAAAGTTTACCACCCTGGACTTGTCAGTCATCCACAGCACGAACTTCACAAGAAACAATGTTCAGGATCAAGTGGAATGATTTCATTCGAGATCAAAGGTGGAAAAAAAGAGGCCTCAGAATTTGTCGCTAACCTTAAAATTTTCACCTTAGCTGAAAGTTTAGGTGGCATCGAATCGCTCATTGAGATTCCCTCTCTTATGACTCACACTTCAGTTCCTGAGGAGCAAAGGAAACACCTTGGAATCAGCGATTCATTGGTTCGAGTTTCCGTTGGAATTGAATCAGTTAAAGACTTAATCGCAGACTTGGATCAATCATTTTCTAAAATCTAATCTATCATACGATTGATTATCCAACAATCATTAAGATTAATATCGTTATATTGTTTTTTTTTCATCTAAATGATTAGTTGCAATCTAATATACCCAATCAATCACAATTGAAAAGTATAATAATCCTTTGATTTAATGGTAACAGTTTCAAATAAATGAAATTTATGGTCAATAAAAGAAACCATAACAGTTTATTGGTTTAGCTTTAAATTTATGGTCATTGGTGTTAATTAGTTTAATTTTTTTCTTCATCAGAGTGAAAAAATCATTAATCATTCCGAGATGAGTTCAGTTTTGACCTTGAGGGGAAAAATACCATTGGAACGCAATTGACTCCGGTGATGAATGTTTGCCAAAGAGTACAAAAAATATCGACCTCGAAAATATATTTACACAGAATATCAACTAATAACAATCTGGGTAAGATGAGCGTTAATGGTTGGAGGTGGAGCCAGTGGTTATTCAACACACTTATCGATGGTGTCCATTAGTTCAAAGTGTTGAAATTAAGCTGAATTTTGGGTTAATTGTGCGCCCGTTTGATTGTCCCAGGCCCTCCGGGCCTTCCTCTGTCGATTTTGACCCTTTTAATGAAGACCTAACCTAACCTAATTTAAACAAACACAGGGATAAGTGTGTTGGATAGCTATTAGCTCCACCTCCAACCATTAACGCTCATCTTACCACAATCTGATTTTCGATAAGAGATACAATTAAATCATCAAAAGAATCGATTTTCTTCTCAATGATTCCAATTCCAGCGTAAATTTCATCAGATTATCTCCAAGGTTTCGTTTATCCTAATATCTTTTCCATTTACGATCCATTGTGTCGAGCAACAGAATTAAGATTAATATTTTCGTATTGAGTTTGATTACTTTGTCTTCGAGTTGCACTTTCCATGGCCGATCCTTTAAGACGACGTTTCTTCCCGCAACATCTTAATCCGCACAAATTTTGAAAAGTCGTTTGAAACTCTTTGCGAAATTTAGCTAAATCGATATAAGAGAGAAAGAGAGAAGGATAAGAAAAAGGTTAAGATGATTATTATTACATAGAGAAGATAAATATTAAATTGTGAGCCAATTTTCTTGGAGGAAAAAAAGACAATTAGATTAATCCTGTGAATCGATTAGGATCTAAATTGACTTACCGCTCATGAAGTTATAGATAATTGGATTAATCGCACTGTTGGCGTAACAAAGCCAATGGGAAGACAACGAAAGGATGCTGATAACATCGTTTTGAGGAATTGAGATGAAACATCTAATCAATTGGGAAGAAAAAGGAAAAGAAAACATATAATTTACCTTTGGTAAAGATCAGGAACAAATTCAATTTTCTATTCAAATGTTTCTCTTATTCCATAGAAAATGTTGAGAGAAGAAAAAAAAAGAGGAAAGAAAAGTTTCAATTGGAACAATTTAAGAAGATTTATCATGAAAATGATAGTAAATAAATAAATTCTCTCATCATCATGAATTTTTGGTGATACACGATTCAGGAAATGATTTAATATCATTTATTTACTCATCCATGATTATCTCTTGAAGAATCTCTTCAGAATTTTTATCATCAATGAAGAATAAGTTTTACTAATTGTTTCTTTTCAAGTTCTAATTTTCTTCTTGTCTTTATTTTCTCTCTCTTCTCCTTCAATTCACCTCAATAAATTCAGAACATGAACCGGAAGATAACATAATCCAAACATGATTACAACAGCAATTAACATCTTGGCAACTCGTTGACGTGAAGTAACTTGGGAATCATAAGGATATTTGGATGTATTTTTAGATGTGACTGTCCGTTTATGTCCATTATTGGTTGAAGTTGCAAATTGTGAATCTAATTGGAGATGGAAAATGAATAATTCAATTCATCATTAAAGTAACAATTAGCGGTAATTATTACCTTCGACACAGCGTTTATGATTAGATTTACCTTTGCCGCTCTTCCCTCCATAATCTGACCTTTTTGTTGTGACAATTGTTTCTTTGGCAATTTCATCATTATTATTGTTAAAATTAGTTGAATTCATTTCAATGGATGAAGATGATTCCGGATAGGATTTAAGATGATGGTTATTTTGATGACTATTTGAATGAGCTTGTGATTGACTAGAATTGTTAACATGATGATGAGATGAGTTATTCTGATTAGGAGGATTATGGTGATGATAATGTTGACCAGTTTCTCCTGAACCAGGAATATTTTTATTCCAAAGGACGATGGCGATTTGATGATAAGCGACGGACATTAAAATGATAGGAAGTAAAAAGTAAGTGATCACAATCCATAGTTGGTAAATTCGTTCAGTTTCCCCTGACCAATCGTGGGCACAATCAGTGTAGTAAATTGTTTCGTTTGTGTAAAATGGACTATTGGTTTTCAGGTGAATCAAATCGGGTGAATTAATTGCCAAAGACGCGATCCAAATAAAGATGATCGCTAATCGTGTCTTGGTGATTGTGCTTTTAAATTTAAGAGGACGACAAATTGCATACCAACGATCAACAGATATAAAGGTTAATGTCAACACGGAAACAGAAACTGAGACAAACTGTAAAGAGACCAAGAGAAAAATATTAGTTTAGTGATTAAGATCAATAATCAAAGTGTTCAAAAGGTTAATTGATCATTTCCAATGATATTTATTAATGAATATCATGCAGGATAAACGCCCAACTGATTCTTGATTGTTGTTGATGGAAGAGGATAAAACAACATTGCATTCAATTCATTTTAATTGATATCAATTTTTTTCTTTGCGTTTGGTTAATGGTTAAGTCTCACAATCAAATTATCATCGACTATCATTTGTGGTTAATGATAATAATAATGATGATTATGATTGTGATTGTTGCCATTAAATAATAATAATAATAGAAATTCAAAGTAAACAATCGTTATATCAGTGAGGTTATGTCTGTGATTATCTCGATTGATTAACTTAATCAGTTTCGGAGTCAAGTCAATGATTGATTATTGGTGATTTCAGGATAATAAGACGGAATATTATCATCGATATATGTTGATTGGGTCAACGGTGCTAAGGTGGTTTGAAGGTATTCATTTCGTCAAGAACAATTTGATTAACTTTGTGTAAGTCAATTAAATTGATTGTTACATGGTGAAGGTAAATCTCACTTTCTTGTTTCAGACACCCCGTAGTTGACCTTTATGGACCCATATGAAATGAATTGAGATCTGCTGGAACTGTTCATGTTCATCATGTTCATTCAGAAAACATTAATAGGCAAGAACACATATTAATAGACCAAAATCATGTTAATTAAAATTACTGACCATTAATATGATTTATGTACGACATTAATTGATCAATAGCTTTAATAGTCAATTTTTGTCTTCTTTTTGACCAGAATATCATGAAACACAAGACTTGGGATGGAAAATTATTCCGATTGAAAGATAACACTAAGTAATAGTTATTATCAAGAATCATATTTGTATAAGATGAAAGTAATGATGATGATGATCATCACCAACAAACCACCAAAATGATGATGTCGAAGTAACTAATTATTAGGTGATCAGGCGGTTTTTGACCTGAGTATGAAATGGATGATTATATCGAATTCCATGTTCATTTTTCCACTTATTAGATTACTCTGATTAATAATCGATTCAAAAAATTTTAATTTTTCATGAAGCACGTGTTTAGCACATAAGAATAGAAAAAGTGCTCGAATTTCGTGCATGGTCGCTAAATTGGCCTGAGACTTATTCAGAATCCATGAACGCGATGATTTTGTAGTGATTTATTGTTCATGTGGACCCAGTTTATCGAATAGCAATTTCAATATTACCAATTTTATTTTAACTTTTAATTTTTTCATAATTTTCGGAAATCTGAACCCCTTGAGTACCAATGAACTTTCAGCATAACATGAAGGACATTCGAAGATTCGATTTTTACTGAACTTGTCGGTCTATAGATCAACATTTCTACCTATGTATCAAAACCTTAGAATGTGTAGTTAGTTTTAAGGTTACTAATTTTAGATTAGGTCATGTGGATAATATAAAGGCCACGCCCAATTCCAGCCTAGGGATTTTCCGTCAATTCGAAGTTTCGAGCAAAGTGGCCTTTAATCCAGAGTCGTCAATATTACTTTCTGCCCATTTATTTATACAATCAATACTGCTCTTTCGATCTAAATATACTTCATGACGATAATCGGCCTTATTAATAATTGAGAACGCAAACATCTTAACCCTTCCCAGGCACTGAGTTCGAAAAATTCACGGAAAATCCCCGTGAAACGGGCTACACTGAAAAAAGTTCACGAAACTCGTCTCACATAGAAAACACATGCTGAGAAACATTTAAACCAACTCTCATTCATCAGAACCCACTTCTTGTGGGTCAGGTCAAAAACCGCCTGATCACCCTAATAGATCTCATGAAGTGAATCTTATCTCAAGTTGATCACTGAGATATTAGAAGCAACAAGAACATGGGAACCATATCATGAAAAAGAACCATGAAAATAAGGATGAAAGTGATTACCATGAAAAAAGAAGAAGAAAAAAAATCAAATAAACTAGAGATTCCAACTGAGTGCTACAATAACATGAAGCGAGAAATTGATGATGATTAAGATGACGATCAAAATGAAAAGAACGAAAAGAGAAAAAAAGAATAGAACTTTTTTCTTCTTTTTCTTTTCTCTTTAGAATAAACAAAAAAAAAATGGAATTTCGTTCAACTTTTCCAACGATAGTTCGAAAAACATGATAAACGTTAATTATGATTTATTACATGGATGCAAAGTGCTTAACCTTAGTGATCAATTTTTCGTCACGAGAAAGTCAACAATCAATAACATGATGATGATGATAATCCACCAGCAACAGTCACTTGTTAACCAAATACATTTCATCTTCATGGTTGAACCATTTTCCTTGTTTACTTTTCGCCTCCTTTATGAATATCACCCTGAATATCGTTGGTCATTAATCCGGAAAAATAATACAACTCATAAGATGATTAACAGGTAAAAGAAAGTGAAACATTTAATATACACAAGAGAGAGAATATCTTTTTCTTTTCTTCTTAAATGATAATCTATCTTGTTGATAACGGTAAATAGGATAAGACGTTTCTCTTTCTATCGTACATGTTAATCCTATTATATCTCAAAGGATTTTCCTTTTTTATATCTCTCATTGTTAAGTTTTCGCCTTGTTCTTTAACCTTTATCATCTTGTTTTTCTTTTGTCATCCAAATCATCATCATCGAAGTGACAACAATCAATAAAATATTGATAATTAGCTTTACTATCTACATGTTTTCTTAATTAACCAGTAAAAGAATCTCCATCTTTACCTTTAATCTTTTTGTTCTTTCAAATCTTCCAATTGATCAATTCAATCAATTAGTAAAGAATGACCATATTATGTATTACATGAATCATTCCCTTTCTCTAACATTTGATGATTGACCATTCGAAAGGGTTTTAAATCCAGTGCCCGTACTCACTTTATAAAATGGTCTTATGGCCAAAAGTGGAGCTTGGATGGACCTGATGGTTAACGGTACTTTTGGTTGGATCTAAGCAAGGAAAAGGCCATTTACTCAAAACTTCATTCGAATGCTGGAGGAATAATTAGTCAATTATAATTCATCAACGCTAATTATATGAAAAATAATTCCACTGAACATTAGAATTTCCGATTGAAATTTTGAAAAATTCAAACTTTTTTCAACCAGGACTCGAGTTACAATCAGTTGATTGTTGTCCTTTGACTTTTGACAAGAACTTTATTCATTAGACTTTCCTTGAGAATCCATGATAAGTTCCAATATGAGGGAACTTATTACTTTTCTATGAATAACAATGAACATTTTAACATTAATTGCAATATTCCTGTGGAAAGGATTGAAATTATTTCTAATTGTGTGTTGTATGGTTAATTTATACTCTAATTTAAATTGTTGTTTCTGTTACTCGTTTCATGTGTTTATATGAATTCGCTTTTCATTAGTCAAGTTTACTATTATTAACTAATCTGGTTTTTGTTTGTTTGTTTCTCTCAATTGTTTATCCTCATCGTTATAAAAATAACAATGAAAATAAACAATTAAATAACCAATTTGGTCCAACAATATGTACACATAACTGATGATTATGATTACCAATGAAATTCATTGATTTTCCCATTTCTCTTTTCTTTTAATTTCCATTGTGATGAACACAAACATTATCATGATCAGTGATTAATGGATATATGATTCAACCGAGTATATGTTTAGACAGTGATGATTGATTAATTGTTTACCATCCGATTGCAGCCATGATTGTTGAGGAAGAAACTGCAAGTCAAGATTGTAACTCTTTCTTTTTCTCCATCAATTATTACAATTAAGATTCTGAATACACTGAATTCTCAGCATTCTCTTGACAATTGAACACATTAATTATCATTTAATTGGAATAAATTTGTTTTTAAATACAAAGATTAAGAGTGGAAAACATAATCACAAGGTTTACACTATTATTATTTGGCTTAATGGACAATGGAAACAATCAAAAACGATGACCAACAAATAAATTGCTCATTGGAATCCAAGTTAATCCAGTTGAAGATTTACAGACAATTAAATAATCTCTTCCATCATTATTCCAGTTGACTATCAACAATCAGTCTTGCATTTTAACCCAAATCATTACAATCAACACATATTCAAACAATTAATCTGACAACTTGATTGTCCAAACAAATGTCAACCATTCCCATAATTAACAACATTGTTAATGAGTTAATTTCCCTAACAATTTAACCTACAAATGTATTATAATTGTATTTCCTTTGGCAAATCAAATCAATTCAATGTTAATTGTTAAAACCTAATTGGTACATAGACAATTAACATTTGTATTACAACATGACGATTATGTTTACATTGATAACAAATGATTGATTTAATTACTTTCTTTGATTGTAACCATTTGATTAGCCATCGCAAAGTTAGAAAGTGAAAGATGAATAGATGATTAATGAATTAATAACTCAATGAAAATATGGAACGGGAATTAATTAAACTCCTCGTGCTCATATAATAATAAAAGGTAATCATTAAACCAGGACGAAAAAAAAATCTTTTCTCCTGATTCCTTGGCGAAAATAAATTCTGATGGTGACAATGATTAATCAATTGTTCCCTTTGTAAGTTTTAATGATCTTTTTATTAAGATAGAATTTTTTTATTCCTAATTCTCACATTTTCATGTCGTTGTTTCCATGATAATGAATAAATTACTTGCAACATGATGATAATCACCAGGATCCATTTTTCACAATTATCATCATAATAAATTACTTTTAATAAAGTAGTTGTAATAGTAATTGTTGAACACACAAGTCAAAGAAGACCCATTAATTAGTGCTCTCCATAGGAAGACAATTAGAGAAACAATTAGATTGTAACAATCAAATTTTAACAAATGAATTAACTTTTTTTCATCATTTTTCCACTTCCACTTTGACCCACCCTTTTTCTCATCACGATTTAAAATTGATTAACTTCACATTAC